GTAAAGCACTAAACTCTTATCTGTCTCAGGAGATGGTTTCCACATTTGAGAGACACGTGTTACAAATTAGACACGTGTTACAAATCTGTGATTGGGCTATTCAAAGTTAGGAAGGAGGTTTGAGGCCTTTATGGTCCTGTTCCTTTGGCATTTGAACTAAGTAAAAGCGAAAGTGAAAGTGATTAAAGCAATTAATCTAGAGCCATCTGTAAATATACACCAAATAAACAGTAGCCAATTATATACATTTTTACAGCATAGAGCTTAAAGATTAATTGCAACTGAATCAACATCACAAATGGGTCGCTATTAGTAAATTGTGAATCGCTACAATTATTTATGCAAAATATCCTGTCTCGATGTCATCTTTTGATGTATACAACTAACTCCAAACTATTAGAAAAAGTCTTTGTATAATGCATGATACTTCTATTAATATAGCAGTTTATTTGACACTCTTCTCTCCAATATGATTGCTCCTATGCTTCAAATGTGCACTTTAAACTAAATTGAGCTTTTAAAATATCTAATCTTATTGTGTGTCTGAAAAAGTGCAATTACGTATCTGGCCTATTTCAGTCCATTTAAATTACAGTCATCTTTCCCTGTCTTGTCTGTCAGGTCATGAACACAAGCTATTCTTCTACAGAGCTCCACAGTATCCAAGGACACCGCAGTGATGGATCTGGGGCCTTGAACTTCTGCATTCAAGATAGCCACACTTATTTACACACACTGTGAACTACTGCCCCTAAGAAGTCCATCACTCTCATCTATAGGCATGTTGTACACTGCAGTTATCGGAAATGTGTGATATTATGAACAATGAAACAAATAAACAGCATACAGCCACTGGATCAACTGCATTGCTCTAGTGTGTTCCATCATACGTCATTATTCATTTCAAGGGCAAACTCCTTCATTAAAATGTTTACAGAGGTGTTAATTAGAGGGGTTAATTATTTAATGGGATGTATGTGTAACCCAGTGACAATTAATTTATCCCAACAAATATCTGATTCAATAAATAAATAAATAAATAAATAAGTGAGTTAAACAAAAACAACTGGGCTTTTTTTTTAAGTCAATGCTTTGCTACCAACCAGACAGCTTCGTCGGGGCTCAGTAGGTCCAGTTGTTTTTGTTTAATTTGCTTATAATATCTTATTTTTGGATGTCTCAAATTCAGTGAATCTGATTTAATAGTTAAGTAAAGGTCTTATTGATTCTTGAGCTTTTAACCATATTGCTATGTCATCAGAAACATCCCTGGAGTTGTTTCATTCACATATGTTTGAGTAATCCTTTATTATTATTCCATCTACATCTCCAAAGTTCATGATGCTCTGTTCCATGTAGCGGTAGTTTTCGAGTTAACAATGATCTTTTGTTTAGTAGAGATTGGCAATTCCACAGCAACGTATCCAAATGATTCTTATGAAGGTGTGTGGAGTTTAAAAACACAGAGAAGCACTTCTTGTATTACAATAGGACATCACAAGTGAGTGTTTTCTGTTAGAGAGGAGAAATAAATATGCAGGGTTTGTGTGTTAAACATGTGTGACTGAAACGAAACACCACTCCAGGTATGTTTTTGATGAGGAAACAACATTATAACATAGATCAGAATAAAGCCTACCATGTGCCCTTTAATTAAAACACACATGCTAAGCAAATTCAAACATTTACAGTATATTTCACCTGCGTGTTTTGCTAATATCCACTGTGCTTAGTGTAAAGACAGTAACATTAGAGATTTAATGGTGCAAAACATGTATGTAATCTATCAACAGTTGCTCCGTAATGAGAATGTTATACGACTGTCCATTAGCACTGGCACATAAGTGTTTTTATGTCATTAAGCAGTCTTATGAGCACCCCGTCCCCACTATAAGCATCAAGTCCACTGATTGACGACCACACTGTGCCTGTCAATTAGCACCTCCTCTGCTGCCATGGATATGCAATCAATGCAACTGGCAAGTATGGATCAAATGTCATCCAGACCCCCAAAGGCCAGTCACAATTCATTTTACTCATGGCAAAGAGAACAGAAAACCAAACTAGACGACCTCAGACTCCAGCTCAGTACACATTCGTATCTGTAGGCCTGTCACGATAACAAATTTTGAAGCATGATATATTGCTACCGAGATATACTGCAATAAATGATAATATTGAAACTACTTTTTGCTACTGACACAATAACAATAACGCAAGATAATCCCAGTAAACCATTTTTAAATAGACAGCATCACTCAAAAGGCCTGAAATACAAGAAATACATAGCTAAATGAACTAATAATTAGCCATAAAAATTATTTAATCAACCCTCTACAGCTCAAATCTTATCGTATTACAACAAAAATAACTACAATGTCCACACTACTATAAATAAATAGTACACACGAGAAAAAACGAGTGCCAAAATATATTCTTCCAGGTATCATATATTAAGCAATAACTTGATATAGTAATTATCGGGACAGGCCTACATATCTGTTTGTACCATAGTGAAGAATGAAGATGGTATAATTGTTGTATTGGGTAAAAAAGGGCAGCCAATTTACAGCTCACATTATCAACATTTTCTGAGGCTGTGAAGTTAACTCAAGGTACTACTCTGTCTGAAGATCTGTTACTGAGCTTTATTTTAACAAATCTGACAAGAAAGAACTGACTTAGCTGGAGCTGCTACAGGTGAGATGGTTTGTGCTTTTAGTAGTCTCTCACACATAAAATTACAGTCACAACCTAACTAGAATTAGCCAACAGTTTTTCACTCTCATCTTTTTCTTGAAAATCACACCCTTAAACAAGATCATGAACGCTCGTATTCTGACAATGTGTAATGTGTATGTGTTTAAATCAAATTTTCAGACTATCTTGAACCTTTTTTGACAGTGTTTGCCAAAGTGCACATTATACTTCCATGGTAACTGCTGAACATTCCATCAGACAGATACATGTAGAACAGCCCCAGCGTGATGACACTGCAAAGTATGAATAATATCATAGTAACCATTAAAACAAAGAAACAATCAAAATGTTTAACAGTAGAGTCATGGGTTTCAGAGTGATACAAATTAGCACTGCTCCTGCCATAGAAATTCAAAACAAGCATTTCAAATTATCAAAAGTCCTCAAAATGGGAATCTAAAACTGAAATGGAAATATATGAGCTACACTATAGACATTTAGCTCTGAGGGACCTAGTGCTGCCAATTTATTTTGTACATTTCTGTGCTTTACAGTAGGGCTGGGTTGTAGGCCAAAAAAACAAATATGAACATACAGTAGCTATATTAAAATAAAGAAGCACTGAAAAATAAAATGACAAAACATTGTATTGATGTTACCCCTAAAGTATTTACCAAGAACCATGGCAAGTATGTAGTAAGTCATAGACCAAATTATTACAGATTTTAATCATACTCAGTAGTGTAGTACTTAGTAGTGGCACCCACATAACCCGGTAGTAACACTATGAATCTTTTCAATATAACCTGCTTACAGTGAGTTAAAAGTTAAAACTAAATACTATTAAAGTTCAAAGTAAATACTATAAAGAAAACTTTTATAGCTTTTTTTTTTTTAATTCATGCTTTCAACCCTCCTGTTGATTAGAAAAATGACAGCCATGTTTGTATACACTTCCTCCTCATGCTGCTCCAGAAGGATGGATAATTCATACTCCTCTCCTCTCATCAATGGGCCCTGCTCCAGTTCATCCCAGCAGCTCTTTGGACTGTCATCAGCACTCCATCCGGTGGACGCCTGCCAGTAGACCCTCCGTCCGATCAATAGGCACCGTCGGCTAGCTTTCCCCCTTCACTCCCTCTCTCTCCCTCTGTCTGTGGCTGTCTCACTCCCTCTCTCACCACTACCACCGCTGTATAAAAAGTGTTCTGTTCTGCCGCCACAGCATAGTGATTAGGCATTAGGCCCGCGCTGCTGTGTGAATTAGCTTAATCTGTGTCCGCAATGAAGGACAAGGCTTTTCATGCCCACTGGAGACTTTCATCAGACATAAAAGGAGTTCATGTTTTGGAAATAGTGAGCGGATGGTTCATAGACAGAACAAGGTTACACTACGGATAGTTTGGAGTTCAAAGTTCCCACGGTGTAAATAATTTTAATGCAACTTAAACATCTATTGTGGTTCTGAAGCTGAACTTATAACTTACAAAAGGCAAAGTGAAGATGAAAAAACTATACCTGCGTTAATAATTTAGAGGGGTTGATTGCACGACCAATGTACTTAACATTTCTCGAACATGTGCTTACACAAAGTTTGAAGCACAGAGAAGCAACACACAGCTAAAGGGGCTCAAGCGTGCACCTGAGTGCTGACTGATGTGCAGAGGACTGGACATGTACCCACACAGCATGCAGCCCAGCCCTCCTCCATAACATCTGCTGGATACACTGTACGCCCTTGACAGACTGCCAACACACTGGCTCTCCTGCAGGCTCATATTGATTCTAACACATGTAGGTGTAGGGAGAGGTATGGTGGTCTATTCACATATGGTAAAATATTTCTACAACCATCAAACCATCAATAGCCACTCAGCATCTTTCAGGGGTTCACTAAAGCCAGACGATAACAGGATTAACCTTACATAAAGCTTTGGGATTTGATCCCACTTAAACAATGGCAAGGTGTTCACATTTAAGCACTGGATGCAACTTTGTTGGTATAACTCAAATCCAAGAGGCACACCTTCTTTTGTCTTTGAAAATGCAACTAAGTATGAATAAAAGTAGGGATAATATAATGGCCCTTGGGTTATTGAGATGTCTTGTGCATATTTCCTTTGACATTTCTTAGTTGTTCTTCAACATTATTTTTGTAGTTCTTCCACCTTGCAGAAGCTCCTCCAAAAGTCATACAACAATAGGAGCAATCTTCAGATCCTACCCATTCATCTGGAGACCTGTCACGCCATGCAATCACATTAAGTCCACATTAAAAGAGTATTAGCGTGATGACTTACCCAAAAGAGCTCCTGGCCACTATCAGCGACCGGCTTCTCCTTGTTTCTCGTTCTCTCGCTCCCGATCAGCCTCTTTCCAAGTCCGCAGTGTGCTCAGATCAGATCAGCGCCTTTTTGCTGCGTCCTGCGTCCGGAGTTGCCGGGGGAATGGAGCGACCATTTGCCGGGATGCTCTGAAGAAAAAAGGTGCGAGGATGCTGAGGCATTCGCGGGGAGGAGAGCGGGAGGAGACAGAGGTGGAAGTGAAGGTGGAGAGAGGAGGGAGTCAGCGGCGAGGCGCTGGGCACAAAGCGAGAAAGAAAGAAAGAAAGGCAGAAAGAGAAGCACTGCAGCGACGAGGAGGCAACAGCACCGGGGAGGAGGCAGACAGCAGCTCTCTGTCTAGGTCCTGGACACGCACGAGCAGGCGCATGCACGCCATTGTAGGTGTGGGCATTTTAGGAGGACACGCAGCGCCATCTTGAGGCGGCAGAAAAACGGTAGGGAGGTGCCCCGTGGGCCAATTTAGTGTCATATTATGTACCAAGTTGTTGAAGGCTTTTAGATAAAGCTGCAACAGGGCGCATTTTACGATATAACTGTAGTTATTATGATTGCCAATAAGTGTAATTATCTGTGCTCTGTTATCAGTTATTACTCACCAAGATCCATTAACTTCCCACGCAACCACGCCATTCCAGCATGTCCCTTCCGTCCGCCTCGCCCCTTTGCCTTAAACATAATGCATCACCATATCATGTCCGACGGCCAACACAGGTAGGAACCAAAATTTCGAGTTAAACTTTATTGAATGTGACCGACAGACTGTAAAGTTGTGAAGTTAAACAGGCCAGCATGCCTTCATTGCCGCTTACCTCCTTTCATTACACACTTTGAATTAGGGGAGTGCACAACTGTTCTCTGACTGGACTGTCTCTGGACTGATATTATCCCAATAATGTCATTAAAGCCACTTCACTCTTTGCTCTCATCCTTGTTGGTGATGCCCTTCCCCCACGCGCAACACACCCTCTCTCCATGGCAACCAGCATCCAGCAGAATCCTAGAGGGTTTGGATGATATGTGGTCACCTGACCCTAACCCTTCATCACATCCCCAGCTACGTATGCAAGGGAGGAAAATCGCACTAATACTACTATGACATGCTTTATGACAGTAGTGAAAGCTTGCATTTAAAAGAGAAAGCATTATTTTGTTTTTATTTTTGTGAAGTGAATGTAATATTGCAGAGGTTGACAATGTGATAAAGCAAAGTACACTGAGTAAGCAATAACAGAGGCAGAGTCTGACATATCTGCCGTACTGTATCTACCCCTGCCTTTATGTAATTTTGTTGTGTTACATGCTATAAGTACCTCAGTAGTGTAGGCCTTGGGGGTGATCCTATGGTCCTCACTTTTTTTTTGCACACCCATAGAAAACCATCAACTGGAAGTTCCCTAACCCTACCGAGTGGAACTTCCAGCCATTGTGAAAAAAGTCTATAACATCAGTGCACAGTACAGGGCTTGAATAGTAAAGTCGTGGATGTGCATGTAAAGAGTCTGACTGATACTGTTGTCAGTAATGTAGGAGCCCCCATGGTACAGTCCTGTCTCCATTTCTGTTCACTCTGTGCACCTCTGATTCCAGTAGCTCTGGGTACTGCCACCTGCAGAAGTTCTCTGATGACTGCAGTGGTGGGTTGTATCAGAAATGGACAGGAGTACAGGACACTGCAAATTTTGTGCAGTGTTCCCAGGTAAACCCTTTGCTCCAGAACGCTGACAAGACCAAGTGATTGACTTCAGGAGAAAGAGTACAGCAGTGGAGCCTGTCATTACCCAGGGCTATGAGGTGGAAATAGTGGACCTCTACAAGTACCTTGGTGTCTGTGTGAACAACAGGCAGGACTGGAGGTTCAACAGTGATGATGTGTACAAAAGATGAGTGGATTCTACTTCCTGAGAAAACTCAGGTCTTTCAGTGTGTGCAGCAAGTTACTGGAGATCTTCTAACAGTCTGTGGTGGCCAGTGCCCTGGGTGTTGTTGTGGTCTGCTGGGAGAGCAGCACCAGTAAAAGGGACACTGGGCAGATTGACAAACTGATCTATAAAGCTGGTCACGTGATCGGCTGTGAGCTGGAGACATTTGTCACAGTGAGGGACAGGAAGAAACTAAACAAACTGCTCTCCACCATGGACACTCATTCTCACCCACTGCACCAGACTACTGAGGGACAAAGGAGCTCTTTCTCCAGCAGCTCTGCTCAAACAGTGAGAGATACAACTATACAACAACTCACCCTTATGTAACAGATAAGCCTGTGTCCTGTCAATCATCATATCATTTTTGCAGTTTTTTTTTTTTTTTTTTTTTTTTGACGTGTGCATATACATTTATATAATTATGTCTTATTGACACCTGTCTCTTGCTATCTTTTTTGCTACTTATTTAGAATTTATTATTACCATTCATATTTTTTAGTCTTTGTTATTATAATATATTATGATGTGTCAGCTACTGTGTCCAAGTAATTTCCTTTGCGGTAGTTTGTCAAACTCTAAGTCTAACAGTTTAAGAGCTAAATTGGCTGATACCGTCACATAAAATAAAATCACTGCAATAAAAATATTTATTTATAAATGTTTATTTAAAATATATCTGAGTATAGGTTATATCACAGGTTTACATAACACATAAGACTACAACATGGCATTTATTCTTGTATGCATTGATTCTGAGGGTAATTTGTAACTGCATATCACAAAATCAACACTAGAGGGCGCAACAAACTTTTAAGATCCCACATTGAGGTAAAGGACAGCCCCTTAGAACGCTTTCATTGTAAAAGCTTCTTTGTGGGTCGTTTTTTTTAATTAACTGAACCTGCATTTACAAATAACTACTTACACTTTCTATGTTTCTTAAATGGTCACAGATTTCACTATTCACACCAAATGAATAGTTACATAAGAGATTACATAAAGTTGTCTTTTTTGGCCAGCACAACATTTACTCATTTCAGTGGTATGAATGTTCCATGAAACAGGAAGTTCTTGTTTTATATTGAAGTTATGAGTTTCTCTGAGATTTCTCACACTGGATAAATAAGTCAAATAAATGATATACAAATCATTTTTTATTAAATTATTATTATTTTTTGTATATTTTTGTAAGCAGCTACTGATATATTACTCATAGACAGCTGAAGCTTTTAAACCAATCATATACATTGGTGCATAAAAATTATACTTTATATTAAATGTGTAATTTAATTTTAATTTTTCTAAATGTGCCAAGAGTCTGAGCATTCAGTCAGTCTCTAACAGAGCCTTAAGAGATTACAGGTGAGTATACAGGGAGAGTGCTCTGATAATGTGTTTATCACCGAAGTGCAGTGAATCTACAGTGATAAAGAAGCAGCTATAACAATCTCCACTTTTCTGTCAAGTCCTCTCAAACACTGTTAAGTCTGGTGCACAGATTTACTCGTTTTAGTTCACTCAGACTCTTACACAGAGAATGAAGCCAGCAGTTATCTGGCTATACATGGAAGCTATTTGCCAAGTCAAGTTTCCCATTCATAATAACATGTTGCGAAACAATTTACCGTAATATAGAGTTCATATTTCCCCATTATGTAAGATTTATCTGGGGATTTGTTTCGAAGTCACACCCGTTCTCTATTTCAGTGTGAACATGACAGTAAATACATGTATATCGCAATTTTTTACTCATTTATTAATGTTACAAGAATTCATGTAGTTAAACAAATATGGCAACTGAAACATAACTATTTAATTTATTTATTTGCTAAACATCAATAATCATCAGTGTGCATGAATCTTTAAAGTGTGCAAGCATGCATACAATAAAACTTAGCTAATACTTCAAATAATATAATGTTTAAACAGAGGGCAGAGACAAAAACACTTGTGTCTGTGCCCATATCACACATAGTTTCAAAGTGATTCACAATGCACCAGGAAACAACTGCTTTTTATGTGTATGTTTGTCAGCTGTTACCATGACTACCATGCCCATGAACCGCGTCCCACGATGCAATGCTTCTCAGCACTTGTCACAATCTGATGGATGTCTTTAATTACTGCTGGTCCCATGACTGTGACACATACAGAAAGACAAGCTCAGTTTCACACTTGTAACAACATTCATATAAGGCACAAAATGTGTATAATTGCGGATTCACAAAGACTTCAGATTAAGCACTGTGCACTGTGTAGCTTTATATGATGTTATTGCTTTGCCTTAATTGTTTTTCTGCACTAATTAAACTTGCAATTGAATAAATACAAGGGTGATCAATTAATTTCCATACTGTGGAACATTCTAGGCTGAGCAGTAACATCTCCATGGAGATGTAATCTCCAGGTGTTACATAGAGCACTTTTGATTTGGACTTTGTTCTAAGCACATCTGAAGGCTAAAAGTGTCAGAGAAGATTGTTATCCAATATGATTTGTTGTTTATGTAGCCAGAAATCCAACCTCCATGCACCTGCACAGACCTAAAGATCTTATCTTTGCCAAGCCATTTATACAATTCATCCCATTCACTCAGGCCTTACTTAAACTTGTCATACTTTTGGTTTAATCTACATTCTGTACATGCCCTGTTATAGGTGTCTTAATAGGTCTTATCAAGCTTTAAATTATGTAACTAGTTTTATATTTATATAACAATTACATTATTTCGATGATTTAGAATTTCCTGTTAATGCTTAATGAGCAACTGGATCTTTTATTCCAAGCACAAAATTGTAGAGAGGAACACCTTGAAAATCTCCTTGTCAGTGTGCAGAAAGACTGGCTCACACAATGCACTATAGATGTTTACTCTGACCTTAAAACCTTTGGATGATTTGGGAGGACATCATTGTTCAGTATAGCCTCTATTGTTACAATTTTAAATCAGGAATATCACTTGTTTCAGAAGGGACCTTGTTCTCTGGGAAAACAGGAGGCCAAGCAAACTACAGACAAATGCCACTGAAAATATGCAGGTCATAATCTTTAGTCTAGGCCATAGGTCACAGAAGGAGAAAATCCAATATTTTATATTGGGTAAAGGGGACTGAAGGCTAAATGAGCCCAACAGTGAAAGTGCAAAGGGGAAGAAGAAGTGAACAGTGGATAAAACAGTCTGGAAAACTGATGTATGGGTTAACTATAATGGGACATTGTGATTCTGACTGGCTCCTATTGCCAAGCAGTACAGTAATTCCAGAGAATTGCTTTACAAATAGTGGTGGGTTCAGTTATTATGGCGCAATAGATAAATACCTGTTAAGAGTTAATACGTGGTCCTTTTCTGTATGACAGCTGCCTACGTTTAAGTAATTCATCACAGCAAAATGAAACCTTTGCGTAGGGACGGAAGTAACACAGGTCATGGGACAGTGCTGTATTCTGTGCGCTCAAACTGCAGGATTATTGAGAAGAGGATACTATATCTTTTACTGCGAAATATCAGGCATATTTTAACAGCAATGAAGAATTTCGCACAACCCTTTTCACAACTCTGTGGCGAATATGAATGAAGAATGACCAATGGTACGTAAAGACTGCGCGCAGACGTATCTCCAACAGAGTAGACCCGTGACGCACAAATGAAGGGAGATCAAACCAACTATGATCCGTGACCAAAGCTAACATAAATATAAACTCTGTCGTATATGTGGTTTAAACTATAGAGCAGGTGAAAGTAGCCACAACTCACCGGAGAGAGCAGCACGCGCATCCGTCTTCTCTTCTCTTGCGTCTGGAGGCTTTTTCGCTGGGCTGGTGGCTTTAAAGCTTTACTACTCGGGGGAATTCCGTAACAATAACGTCCATGTGCGAGTCAGAAGGAAACCGAAATTATATGTACAATTTTACAGGAACCACATAAGCTTACAAGAACGGCTGTACTCGTCCTCCAATCAGGAATCCCTCTATTGTTAATTTACACAGTGACGGGCAAATCAAAACAAAACAATAAACGATTTTATTTGTCGTCTTTTATAGGTTTTTATTGTGTTAAAATTTCACTTCCAGTTGGGAACAGTTGGGGAATGTAGCCCTTATCTTTTTTCTAAGAATGCACTTGACACTTTGCAGAAAATGTGTTTGAAATTTATTGTTGTTAAATGCTACAGAACTGAACCTCCTTCTTGTGACCTCGTGTAATCTTTGTCTCTCCTCAGCCTCTTCTGTGTCCCAGAGTATGCATTCTTCTTCTTCTACCTCTTACAGCTCTGGCCTGCATCAGTTCCAAGTCCCCCCAAAATATAGCACGCGAATACGTGCCCTTCATACAAAGAACACTTAACTTTGTGGTAAGACTTAAATTTTTTTCTCTGTATCACCCAGTAAGCTATAGCCTACATTTACCGTGTAGAAACTATCCTTATAATATGCCTTATTCATTGAGCACTGTCAACACTAACAGTGTTTCCCACAGTGAACTGACAGTTTGTGTATTAGGGATTTAAACTTTACACAGTCGCTTATCCATGGTTGTGCATTTTTTCCTCAAAAAGTATTGTATGTTTTTCAGGAGAATAATATTGACAATTCCCTGAACAGTTCATCGCAAACTTGCAATAATATAAAATTTAAACTTAAACAACGCTGCTCTCCGGAAAACACTGTAAGTAAGAGTTCAGTTACAAAGAAACAACTAGGCCTACTACTGACTGGTCAAGATTTGATAATAATTTGTTTTGTTTTTTTATCTCACAGAGCAGAGAGATTGTGTCAACTTTGTTCAGCATCGCTTGCAAAATGAACAACACAGATCACAACATCACCACCATTACACAGTGGTCATGGCTGACCGACTCTGTGTTGTACTCAGTGGGTTGCCGTTGTATGGATAGACCAGTAAGTCATGGTTCAAGATAATGTTCAGTAGACATTAAACCACGAGGAGCAGTGCGTTGCATTGTTTTAACGCACTATGTGTAGTGGTGTTACTTCGCAGCATGCCTTAAAACTCAGAGTTGTTTAATTTGCATATACCATGGTCCCACCAAACTTAACTTTGTTACAGAACAGTGATTAGCTGTTATTGAACTGTGTGGTTATTAAAAAATAATGCACGGCCGTTAGCATTATAATTCTCACTGACTATGGTATTATACACAATACCTATGTATATATACAGTAAACTCATTTACATCATTAGATTTGCTCATGTATGTAACTAATGTACTTTAAAATGTTTGGACCAGCCTTGATTTTGATGAGTCAGGTTCATATTTCTAGCTTGAGTCATCTAATCGGAGTTAAGGCAGCTGTAAACATAGACTGATCACAATATCGCAGAATACTAACTAATGTGTTTTCTAATAATATGCTGTTCTGACTTTTTTAGACAAAGAAGAGGGAAAATAACGAGCACAAAAAACTGTGTCGTGCCAAGGTGTTTATGTCCTCCTTGGTTGAGTGTTACCAGCTGCTGAATACTGTACTATCTCAAACCTGACAGGATATTTGCAATGGACTTGCAGATTCCACCACTTTCTGAGGCTACAATGTATTATAATGGAGTTATTCTCAAACATTTTTTACATTTAAGATAGCTTGTCAAGGAGTTATTTCTCTTCCAGGTTTGTGGCAAATATACTAAAAATATGAAGCACTGCACACTCTAATATGTGAATGCCAACTGGCATAAAGCTAACCAGACAATTTGTGTGACAAAGGCAACTTATATACCATTAACTTTCTAACAGCTGTAAATATCATGGTGCTATTATTCTTAAGGTGCTTTAAACACTTTTGCTTTCACTTTGAATCCAAATGTGTAGCCAAATATTTGCAAAACTAGTTTTGCTTTGGCCTGAGACATCGTTTTAACTGAACAGTGATTTGCATTTGCGATGACTGATATCTTAAAAGCGTACTTTGTCACAGTTGGCTGAGTTTTGCTCAACTTCAGACGATCTCCAAGGTGCATTCCTGTCACATTCAGTTGGTGCTTTGGCACCAGCTAAATGCAACAGGTACAGGAATACCCAGTGGTACATGTGCAAACACAAATCAGGCTAAATGTGTATAAAATGCATTAAAACAAAACTACATGTAAAATAATATAGCAATATATTATATTATTATAGTAAGCTAATACAGCAAACACTCAAGTCTTTTATACAGCTGTCTCCAGGGTTTATTGGTAATGTATATATGGCAGAACATACAGCATGGTGCACAGCATTACAGCATTGCAAATAAATGCAGAGTCAGGGACATTTTTACATGTTATAGACTGCATTTATGATTGACTGGTCAACTACATACGAACCAGAATAAAAAAAATTTAAATAACTGTGGTGAAATGCTGGAATGAAAAATATGGGTTAACAACATTTTATCAAATATTATGAAAGTAACAGGCCAGTATCAGCATACTTATTAGCTCATTTTAAATATACTGTAGAAAATATAACGAGACAAACAAAGCAAATGTGGTCCTTGGGTTAATTAGACATAATGAAATATTTAGTGTATGTTGATACACAACACACATTGTACTGACACTGCCAACAGAAATAGTTTTATAAATGGGAAAAAAAAGTATGTTTGGGCTTTATACAAAATCTGATAAAATTACAATTTAATCTGCAGTGCTTAACCAGATGCAGTCACTGTTTGAAATGCAATAAGAAAATAAATAACATATCAAATTATAAAACAATAGGAAATAATTCTAAAAATGCTACATTAGGAAAAACATGTTGGTAGTGAAGGGGCGAACCATAGCATTAAAGTGACCATTGAGGGAGGATTTCCCAGAACAAAACCACATTTTCAGTAGTCATTGATATTGCACTTATGAGGGATACTGATTTCTAATAAGGAGAAAGAATTTCAGGCATACAGCCTGTAAAGAGTTTAATGCAAAAATATTTTCTTATCTACTCGTGCATCTTGTGAGACACTCCCTTTTGAATGCACCAATTGTTGTAACCTTTGTGGTACCTAAATAGGTCTAATAGGTCTAATAGGTAATAGATTTCCTTCCATTTAAAATAACATTACACTTTAAAATAAAAGTTAGTATACCTTGCTTCTGCTGTGAAACTAGATTCTCAGATTGAACTTTTAGTGTTTTTAGATATTTTGCCATAGATATGTTGTGTTCATTAAATGAGCCAAAGCATTCCCACTCCCTACTACTGGAAATGTAAATGATTTTATTAGATACACATCCTCCGGACACCGCACTCACAGCAAAATTTGGCAGATTCGACTGGATACTTAGCTCCACATTCATGACAGAACTTGCTCTTTATTCCTCCATTTCTGATGTCATTACCACCATCAATCTCATTCCTGGTATTAAAAAAAAAAAAATACAGGGGATAAGTTAGGCAAATAAAAAATGTAAATGTAAATGTACTGCATGTGTGTTTTGACTGGAAGACAGAACACTGATTCTACTGCGTAAAGTGCCTATCAGGGTTAAAATTGCAATTTTAAAAGATTCCACTAGAGGTCAGCCTAAATATTGTAAAGAGTATGCTTTTTATAAGCTTCTTGCCTAGATATATAGGAGTCCACTTTCTTCTTGTTGACCCCAGCCCCAGATGCATTTCTTACAGAGCCATAACCAGAGCTTGTGACTCTCGGCTTCATGCCCACACTGTAATAAGAATGACATCAAATTTCATAGAAAGGAGGCATTGTTTCATGAAGTGAATGCATACACAATTTTACACTGACCCAGAGGGTGGGCTTGTTAGGCCAGATGGACTACTTCTCACTACACCCGCTGAAGATGTCTTACCGGGAGTCCCTGAAAAATAAAAGAAGATGAAGACAATCTCTAAACAAATATCACAGCATATAGAAATGAAATGTATAGATAATATTCATAAAGCCTCACCTGTGGACTGCCCTGAACCTGCTCTTTGTGGTAAACGAGAGGAGGCAGAGGGGATGGTAGAAACAGGAGGTGCGGCCTTTTTTACAGGAGCAGGTGGCTTATACTAAACAAAGTGAGGTAACATAAATCTATTTCTCTTCAATAAAAATGTCAACACCAAATCAATTACAAACTCTTTGAAAAACTGGAATATCTTATATACACTGATATGATGATTTTGTTTAGAGCAGACATATCAAACTCATGCCCGGGGGCCAAATTTGGCCTGCAATATAACTATATTTGGCCCAGAAGATCATATCAAATATGTATTAGAGCTGGCCAGCTGGCTACAGATACGCTATAGAGACATTATTTATTTAAAATATAGTTATTATTTTATATTATGCTTGTTCTGGATTCAATGTTGAGGCAAAACTATTATTAAACATTTATTTTAATAAGAAAAGGTTTAACATTACATATCTCGAAAGAAGAGAAAACATGCAGATGTTGCTGAAATTTTTCAATAAATATTTAGTTTGACCCACGACTTAGGGTGTTTTCACACCGACAGTATTTGGTGCGCAAAAAACGGTCCATTCGAACCAAAAGTGGTTAGTTCGGTTTGTTTGCGTTGGTGTGAAAGCGTCAATCAGACTCGGACCCGGACCAAATCAAGCGGACCGAGACCTCAAAAAAGAGGTGGTCTCGGTTCGCTTGAATCCTGTTCCTCTGGTGTGAACGCGAACTCTGGTCCAAACCAGAACCAGTAGGTCCAAACAGACTATTCGAAATGCATCATGGGAGGGGATGCGCGTCTCCTCTCCCTGAAATGACGCAATATACGCCTTTGGCGACTCCAGCGCAGTAACAGATTGTTGTCCAGACGCATTCATTCCGAATTATTTTACCAACCATGGCCAATACAGAGAATGTAATACACGAAGATCAGAGCAAGAACCAATGTGCGAATGTGTGGCTCCAGATTGAGTCAGAATTATGAATGCGTACCCCTGTTCAGGACCTGCACGCACAGAGAGGTCAAGGTGTTCCCCGTGATCATGTACCAACCAGCATTTGTTATTATAGACTATTAATTAACCAAATAATTTCATGACAATAGGCAATAGCCTATTCAATTGATGCAACATCAAAATGTCCTGTTTTTAGCCCATTGTGAGAAATACAGTCAGCCAAGATCCAAACCAGAGTCCTGACCCAGTAGGAGCAGCTCCGGTTCAGGCCGGGCTCAGATGACGTGGAGCGGGGAGAGATGTTAGAAGCCTCAACCTGAGTAGCGCTTTCCCCGGAAGAACCAAATGCGCGGGGCATGGACGCTCAGAACGACATATAACAAATCAAACTGGACTCACGCTTCTGTCCAGATGCTTTGCACCACCTCGGAACCAGCCGCAATTCTTAAGCGCGGAGGACCAGAGCAGCCCGTCCGGACCTGTAGTCCACAGCGCATTCTCACTTTCCCCGCACCACCAACGCGCAGACGGCGGAATGTACCTGCTCGGACCCAGTCCACTGCACATTGGTCTTGCTTGCCACCGTCTGGAACCAGCACATGGAGGACAGAGCCTCCGGACCATCTGACCAACGCACTTGTATGACGACAGAAGACCAAGGACCAGACTCGAGCCACGTCCTGAGGAGCTGTGCGCTACTGTGAGGACTTTCGGCTCCTGCTGTTACTGTAACTCTCGGCTGATGTGCGGTGAGTTTGTACAAAGTTCTACATGTTGCTGTTTTATGAGTTCATGATGATAATTTGAGATGAGGACGGCCCGTGGTATTAACAGGAATATCGGTATTGGTAATTGGAGGTATCGCTGTTTTCCCGGGAAACAGAGGCACGTCAATCAGACCAATTTTGGTTTGTTTGTCGGTGTGAAAGCGGACCACTCTGGAGTGTATTTGCTACATAGTAACAATTTTATTGCCTGGTGTGGACCAAATAATCGAACTAGCGGTGTGAAAACGACCTTAGTCCCAGTTTTTAATTTTGGCCCTCTGTGAGTTTGAGTTTGATACCCCTGGTTTAGAGTTTTGGAGCAGTGTCATTTAACACATTGCAATAAATTGTTTACCTATATATATGTATTATTGTTGTTTTACCTGTGTCCGAGCAGGGGGTTTCTTCACTTCTGCTTTGGTCTTATTACCCATCCGGGCAGCCTGCTCTTGACAAAACTTAATGTGTCTGTCTGCTGCATTTTCATTAAACCGCCGCTGACAGTAAGGACACTGGATGTAGTCTACAAATAAAATTATTAAGATATGTATTATTTTACATTATTGCCATATATTGCTATTATTTTAATAACATCGTATGCATTTTTACCTGGGTCATAACTTGGAGGAGGAGGAGGGGGTAAAGGATCACCATCTTTCATGCCCTGAGAAACAGCCCGCGCAGCCCTGATTGCAGCAATGAAGTCCTCATGTTTCTTGCGCCAGTTGTTGGGCTTTTTAGGAGGCTCGGCCTGTAAAAATACATAACACATCAGCCATTAAAAAGCAAAAAAAAAAAGTGTTATTACATGTTTTTTTTTTATTTATTGTTTTACTTGTGTGTTACTCTTATGGGACCAGCCTATAAATTAATGACATCTGACAGAATTGGATCACTGATCTGTGGGCGGTGTCTTCAGAAACATGAGCTGCTTCAGTTGGGTTTCCTCTTTGTCTCTGGTTTCAGGCTCGGCTGAGGAGTAGCAGATATTTCTCTTCTGTATTTTCTCCTCACAAAGAACTATCTGGATGTTTTTGTTTTTTTCACACAAGCTATGTGGGGAGTATCAAAAACAAGTAGTAGCTTTATGTCAAGAAATTACCTTGACACATAGGGGTAATACCACATTATTATAATTTTTTTTCTTATATTTTACATGTGAAATAAAGACAATGTGAAAATGAAGAAACATAACAGAACATTTTACAACAACTGCAGAAATGCTACTGGGTCAGCGATTTAGTAAGTATTAGTCAAAGCAAAAAGTATTGACTTCTGTCTGAAAGTCAAAGAAAAAGAAAGAATAGCATTCTACTCAATCAAGTATTTAATTTTCTGTGGATCACTATATAAGAAGCCATTAGTAAGCATGTATTATTAACATAATTAACAAATAACTTACTTTCACAGATGAAGATGAACTTTGTGACTGAAATACAATTAAAAGTTGTTTATATTCAAAATTATTTGCAAACATAAAATACTGGATTAACTGAAGCTGAAAAAGCCTTCTTAAAGTCGTAACATAACTTGACAACAAAGGGTTAATTTGTTGCACCAGATCGATCACCTGACAGACGACTAGGTTCTTACGTAGCTCTTATACTAAGGTTTCTGTCATTAGATCTATACTCTGTTCTGTGTATGATAACACTGTGTAAAGTACAATAAAAAGTAAAGCATCTTAGCTGATCATGTGTCACAAAGCTTTGGTCTCACCTTTGGTTTGAGGGGTTTGAGTGTGGGAATGTCTGTGCCTTCAGCTCTCTGTCGGCTAGAGTCAAACACTTTCCTACGTTTGGCCGCCGCTTTTTGACAGATTTTTACATGCTTTTCCTATAAGAGATACAACATTTCACAGCAGGAAAATGGGACAGGAGAAAACAACTCAACTATTTATACTGTGTTGTTAATAGTTAATGATGAGCTAATAATAAAAACACATAGCTGATTAATATGGACAAACTTTCTTATTTACAATATGAACACCATTCTATTATCTATTATGGTGGAAAACACTGTTAATCAGTTATAACTTGTCTATTTACCAGCACTTTAGGGAAAAAGCTTCTATTACAAATGTGGCATTGAACCAGGTCCTGAGCAGGAAGAATTGCTCCATCTGCAAGAAAAACAAAACAAAACAAAACAAACAAAAACAACTGAATATTGAAAACATACTGGTAAATGTTTTTTGTCTACTTCAGTGTAACTTAATGTGCAAAATATAAATAAAATAAATATAAATACCTACACTGATATAGTCTCTATAATGATCTGATTATGCAGTTGGATGCCATTTCACAAACATAAGCAACTTGAAATTGGCTACACATCACATGTTTCGAATGTGGTTTGTGCTGAATTGACCAACGTCACCTTCATTCATTTATTCATTAATTATATAGTTAGATGCTGACTGATGTAGACAGAATAAACCAAATGCAAATATAAGCGACTCCTGCTAAAGTACTGTATCACACCCATCCAAGATCCAGAGAGAAACAGTTAGCTTCATCTTTGGCCCTGTTACCTAGCGCGCTAAATCACAAACAAAAAGAGGTCGCAGAAAAAACATGAGAAGGAAAGGAGAGCCAGGAAGCCAAAAACACGATGGAAGCATACGCAAACTGTACTTAGATCATGGGATTCATACAGCAAGAATAAAAACGTAAGATACATCTTTACCTTCAAATTCTTCCATCCTTGATTTTCCGTTGTCTGGTGCACGGTTTCAGCCGGCTAACGCCGAGGTAGGATAGTAAAGTCTTCTTACTTCCGGTTTTGTAAAACTAACATTACACCTTAGAACACTACATTTCACTACCCAGTTTTGTAAATATGTTCTACTTTATAGTGGTTATTTGGACATGCATTACAAACCTTGTGCGATACATAGTGTACTATACCTCCTGAGTGTATACTTTGTTAAAAAAAAAAAAAAAAAAGTTGCATTCTACCATCTTGACGTAATTGTTCTTTGGCTACTAATGGCAACTGACGCTTCTTCACGTGGGAACATCCCCTTACCTGATTGGTTATTCCTCAAAAAAGTATTTATGTTGTTGGTGTAGTTGCGTCCTTTTGACAAAAGGAGGCTTATGGGAGGCACCAAATTCATTTTTGCAGACTCCTGCAATTAACATTACAATAATGTTAATTCACACCGACAGTCGGTGTCATTTTAAATTTTAGCCACTGTCTAATTAAACTTAGTGTTCTGAGCACCGCTGCTTTCTGTTTTCTTCTTGTAACGCTTATTCTGGCCCAAAAGGGCCACTTAAGTTCACGCACCATGCTGACCATATTGAACAAGTGTGTTTTTGAATGAAGCATTTCAACAACAGACCTTTGACTAAATAATAACCTCTGTGTTCCCCATGGTGTGGTCTCACAGAAGATGCCTGTTTTCATCTCTCTCTCTCTCTCTCTCTCTCTCTCTCTCTCTCTCACTCCCTCCTCCAATGGCATTATTTTATGCATAGATCTACAGATTTCCCATTATCATAATAGTAAGATAGCTATGTGTTTGAGTTGCCCCCGTGGTTGCCCCATTCTAATTTATTTTGTTTTGAAAGAACCTTTTTTCCGGAAATACATTTTATTATCGTGCACTTGATCCATGGCTCATCATTTTGGTTCTGCCAGCTGTGGATGAAACCAGACGGAATTAAAGCGGATGTGATTGACAATTTCGGATCTTGTTTACCCTAAAAGGTACCGCTTAATTTAATTTTAGAAACTGAGCAAATATTTCAATGTCTCATCTATTTGGGCGTAATACATTAATGTATCATTTATGTAGGTCACCGGGACATATGTACGGAATATGGCTGCTATTGATGAAATGTGTGTCGCCTGTCAGCATTTTCAGCATACTACTACTACTACTACTACTATTACTACTACTACTACTACTACTACTGCTGCTAGTTCAAGTACTAGTACAACTAACATATTAATACTGATCAAAATCATAATAATCATGAATAACTCAAATTAATTTGGCCAAGTTGTGACTAAACCAGGACCAAAAATAATCTTAACTCAAGCTAAACAGATGTAATAAGTAAAAAATAAATAAATTGGTAACATTATTTTTTTTATAGGAAATCTGAGTACAGGTCCAATATTGGCAATTTCCTACTCTACATATTTATTGGTCTAAGAACCACAGACCAAGAGAACAAAAATAATGTATTCTTCCCCATCCAGCTTGTATTGTCATGTAGCGTAGACATGACATATGTAAGTTCATGCTCATTTTGACACCATTCTGAATGACAGCTAAGTGGGAACATGCTCAGATCATAACAGAAGCCATATCCAAAAATAGATCTGGCTGATTACGCTACAGCTTTCACTGCTCTTGAAATGGCAAAATGCACAGGGGGGGGGTAAAGTGAATGTCTGGAATTTAGGAGTAAAAGCAAGATTTCAGTGTGAGCATCCTTAAACTGCAGCAGTGAAGAGGAGAGTAGAAGAAGAATTTTTCAGCAGGCCGGAACAGAACAGCAGAATGTCAACACAACACTTTAACCTAATTCTCTGCCAGCTCCCTTTGTGCCTCCTCCCCATGGGTCATATTTAAACACTGCTCTTCTCTTGTCTTCTCTAATTGTAGCCTTTTTCATTGTGCTCTGCGTTATGTGATGCAACATTTTGTGAAAACCATAATTTATCCTTCCCTGTGGTGCCTTTACTCATTGTTGTTGCAGGTGTATGAGATTAAAAAGATTAATTCAGGATTAGGTTTTGAGATATATTAGCAGGGTTGCATGCATAGCTATACTTGCCCTATAGGTCACATTCTGTCAATACTTTGTAGCCATAACTGCCCTGGGGCAAACTGACTGAAATAAGGCAGCCAATCTGCACTGTGGGCCACATCCTATTCATACTAGGCAATGTGGGTGAAATGTCTTGCATAAAGACACAACAAAAGCGGTCTCCTGTTCAAATAATATATGTATACTGATAATATTTTTGTGTACTTTTGCCAGGCTTTTCTCTGGTGAGATGTCTTTGCAATGACGGATGTGGAGGCGTCCTATGAGGGCTTCTTGGCCTCTCGGCGGTCTGGCCGTAGGAATGCCATCCATGGAATTGAAGCACCAGGGGAAGGAGCCACAGACCTGTCCCGAAGTCTCGCACAGCTCAACATTAACAAGTCAAGTGAGGGAGCTCCTGTCATACTCTCAACTATAAATAACTGACGACGCTTTTGAAATATGTATCACTTCTTCAGGCTTTTCTTCTAAGATTGGTCTCATATAAACACTGATATTATAGGTTAATGCAAGTTTGGTTATTAGAAATGTGTGTTAGTATAAAATACTTTGCATCATGTTAGCCACACACTGTTAACTTCAGACTGTCCCTCTTTCCCTTTATGTGTCAGCTGATGAGGAAGAAGAAGAAAGCACCCAGGATTGTCTGTCTAAAGAAGAGGAAACTCAAGAACAGGGCAGCTAACAGAAACAGCTAAACAAATGTTCACATCTGCTTGACCTAAATAGTCCAAAGGTTTCATCTGAATTAAATGACTTAAAAGACACTACACAAAATCCTGCACTCCTCCTGCCAGTCATCAGCAACTTGTCACTATGGCAACCAACGTACTATCCCAACTTCAGTTGGGCATGCTCCAGTGTCCTCAGAAATTTTTAAGCTGTTGGATAGTTGGTGGGTACAGTATATTATTTTATTTATTCTTTATTTAACCAGGATAATGACAATGTCATTGTCTAAGCCAAGCCCCGTCTATCCAATGAGGACATGCCTGAAGGTCTCAAAGGGTAATTCAGCTCTAACTGAGCGTAGTATTCCTATGCACTTTAACATAACATTCCACATTGGACATATTCTGCTCTGGCAAGTGGCAACACTTTAAAATGTGGACAAAGAAAATAAAATACACCTGACCTTAAAAAAATACATTATTTTTAAATCACTAAACAATTTTAGTAATTGTATTAAAATATGTTACTTGATGTTTCCAATAAATATATTTTCTTAATAGATTGCAATACATTGTTCTATGACTTGTTAACTACACATTTGATTTGATGGAGTCTAGATTGAGTCTGACAAATGTCTGAAATTACGGCAGAACAAATATCTTTTTGCACATATGTATGTTGACCTTTGTATTTTTATATAAAGTGCAAGTAATGTGTTTGGTTTGCATATCCCTGCATGCTTGCACTCCTATTTTTGAAATATTTTTGTTTTATAGTGAAAGTCAAATATTTTGTAGGTGGTCAGTCTTTGCACTTTGTTTTTATATGTTTGATAAAACTGGTGAACTAGTGATATGTTTTGTCTTGCTTGTTTTTATATAAAATCACTGCAAAGAAAACATGTAACTAATTTGAGTCGAAAATGACAGAAAAATATTCTTTGGACAAATAATTTATCAACCGATTCACTTGATTTTTGTCGCCATCTAGTGGTCAAACTAAGCACAGTACACACGCCACATACCTTGAAACATTTATGAAAAGCATCAGCAAAAATTACATTTAAAGTCATTCCAGTAGTAAAACAACATATATAACAGGAGTATGTACATGTTTAAGTCACCAAATCAGTAAAACTATCAATAATATTGCGTCATTCTTTCTAAACAGCTTTATACAAAACCACACTTTTAACCTCCTTCAGTCAAATCTCTAAACAAACATTTAGGGTTAGTTGGTTTTCGGGATAAAAAACCCATGCACGTCTCTGTACAGCTGTCCTTTCACATTTGCACGTGCCACTTCTTTAAATGTTTTTCCATCAAGAATTGCAATGAAACAAGGCTGGCTGGGGTTTGAGTTGGTTATTGCTACTACAACAACACCTGTAAATGGCACAAAACAAGAGAGAGAAGAGATGAGAGAAGTTGGATCAGGGATATTTGTATATTATGTGTGCCTGTTGCCTCACCATCATCTTCCGATTCTCCGCTTGGTCTGGGGATAAAAACAGGCTCTGAAGGAAAACAGTTCTCTTCTTTCCAGTAAATCATCTCTCTGGTTTCTGTGTCAAACTTCCCAATCTGTAAATACAAACACAGGAATTACTACTTTAGTTTTTTAGTGCTTTTTTTTTCCAGAGCATTATCACAACTCCAAGACAGGCAACTACAAGTTACCATGAAGTATACTCTTAGAAGATATACTTTTTCACTGAAATTTGGACATTAAAGGTGAATGTTAGGTGAGAATCATTTCCTGAAAAAGGTGTAATACCACAAATATTGCTTTAGAGATATGTTAAATTAGAATATCAACTATTCCATCCAAGTATATAGATAATTAAAATTAAAAACAAATATGAAAGTTAATTTTTCAAATAGAGGAATAATTTTATGTTTCTGCACATATGTGGTTAATTTTACAGTCCATTCACCTATAAACCTATACCAGGACATATTGAATATACTTAATCTATCCATCTAATCTATGATCATTGTTCATCAAAGTTTTACCTGCTTTGACACAGCAGAATCATCCACAATGCTACCATAGACATAACGGTGTTTCTTTCCATTAAGGTTGTAATTAATTCGTGGCAGTTCAAAGCCTGTATGAAACATTTAGTTCCAGGATCAGAAAATGACATGATAAACCTCTCCTCATTAGTTAGACAGTACTTTACCTTCACACAGCACCTCTGCCTGGCACATGAGTTTACCCTCTTTTTCTTTCACAGCACTGGCAGTCGTATGTTTTAGTGCCACCATATCCTCGCCGATGGCAACACCCTACACCCACAGTCCAAGTTAGAAAAAAAAAACCAATAGCCTTTGTAGAAATCATCTCATTTGATACTGACCTTGTCTGATCTGATGGGAAGTACAAATCTCCTGTAGTTTGGTTGTACATAGGTGTCATCATGGAAGCCAGAAGCTTCCTTGAGCTTGCTCATGTAGAACATGTTGTAAAGGCTGTTATCTTTGTATGCAATCACATCAAATATGACGTGTCCATCTTCCTCAAAAGCATTCACGTGATGATAGACAACCATTGCTCCAGTGTAATATTTGGTTTCTACCTCTTTTCCAGTTTTTCTGTCGATTATATGGATAAGGGTCTGTGGAAATAATAATCAAATACAAACATTTAAGCTGTTGATCCTTCTTTGACTATCACACAACTCACAACATCAAAAAACATACATTCTCATCAGGGAAAAACTTCAGACAGCTTGCCCAGTTGACTCCCCTCATGTAAGCAGTGGCCATTTTAAGGATGTCCAGTTTGAAAGGCTGTTCGATGAAGATGAAGTAGTTATCTGTCATGCCGAAGCTGTGGTAGTAGCTCGGAGTGAGGAGAGATCGACAGGGGACTGTGCAGACCACCTCAGCTTTCTTTAGTGCACCTACAATTAAATTACTTGATGCTACTTTCAAGTAAATGGCAATATTTAAAACACAGACATTTATTACACATATGTTGAAAGCAGCAGTGGAATAAAATGAAGTAAAAGTAGTAAAGTACAGTACTTAAGTACAAATTGTAGGTACTGTAGTTTACTTGAGCAGATTTTCAAGGGGATACTTTTTACTTCAACAAATCTTAGAGAAGATATCTGTTTTTGCAGAAAAGCCTGAGTGTTTATTTTTAACCCATTCATAATTTGGGCAAACAAACATATGCAATTAAAAACATCTATAAAAAACTATTGATTCAACTGTTTCTGTTGATCAAAATTCAGCACAAATTGTATTAAAATCACTACATTTAAAGCTCTATTTGATCTCAAAATCTGTGCAAATTACCTTTACTTTTTACTCTTTAAGGCAAAGGGGCTTCTTCCCCAGAACTGAAGAAGCAGCTTGGATGAGCTGCGAAATGTATTTGACCAAATAAACTTTGTCCAGTTGGCAAATTGAATTTCTCCTTTGCCATGGATTCTACTTGGACGACTGACGGATTTTTCACACATTTTACTCTTTAAGTATATTTTTAAATGGTACTTTAATACTTTTATTTAAGTAGATATTTTCATGTGATACTTGGACTTTTTCTTGAGTATATTTTTGCACTAGTATCTGTCATTTTACTTAAGTAACAAATTTGAGTACTTCTTCCACCACTGCATGAAAGTTCAATTTATTGGATTATCTTGGGAAATTACCATGGTCACATTAGTAGTTGTAATAGGTGAAGTAGGGCAACTGCTTGACTAAATCAACAGTGAAACAGTGCCACACCTCCTCCTCATGTAAACCTAGATAGCTTCTGATTACGTAATCTAGTTATAGTTGCTGTAACCAGTGCACTGCAAGTAATTGACAAGAGAAAACAGATCACTCGAAGCAAGTAAACCTGGATAAGGTACCTTTATCAGGATGAGGTGGAACTTTGAACACCACATACTTGGTCTTGCCCTTCTCCGCTATACATGTGCCCATGTTGTAAGTGTTGCCTTCCTTGTCATAGTGTGGATGGGATGAAACCACATTGACTGGGAGGAATTTCAAGTAATCCACCTGTTGACCAAATGTAGGCGATTAAAACATTTTATTAATATTTTATTTTAACAAGACACATGCATTACCTTGTCCTGTGTTTCCAGGGTCACAGGGTCAATCATTCGAATGTAATTGGTTTCAGAGGTAGCAAAGTATTCATTTCCATACTTGATAAAATTGCTAGCACCATTGTCAGTGAAATCAGGCACTGTGTGGTTGAGAAAGGTAATTGCTCTGAAAAATAACACCATAGCATGAATGAATACAAGTAAACAAATATAGGTTTGTTATATTCACATTGCAAATCATTTATTATACTCACTTGAAGATGAAGTTTTTGCTGGGGTCTGGATAAGCCATTGTGCCCATTTCAGACACAACTATTCTGTTTTCAGCCATGTTTGATTTGTACGTGTCACTTCTAAGAAATCTGCTTCTGTGGGTCACTTCACCTGGAAATTTCAATGTTTATATATAAAATGCAATTACCAAAATTGATCCAATCATGTCGCGATCATCTTTGAACTCTAAAATACGTACCGTCTTTAAAAGTGAAGCTTGTCATGAGGGCCATCCCATCAAACCAGTGTTCGTAGCTGGTTTCCCCCACAGAGAAAATCCCGGGGCCATTGCGCAACAGCGTTCCTTGGAGCCAGTTGGGAATGGTCCCTGAGTCAAGAGAAGACAACTTGAGGTTTAATTTGACCGTGGTTTTGGCTTCCTTCATTAATGTTATGTGTTCCTCTTACCTTTGACTTCTGTTTTGCTGGCCTCGGGGCTCTCAGTTGCGTTTTTGGAGAAATCTACACTCATGATGCTGACAGTGCAGGACGACACAGCAGTGTGGGTAAACAGGCGAATGACCGCCACGAGCGAAACCACTCCCTTTAAAGCCGCGGCTTACTTTGGGGGTTGGATGTCTACTGTATTATCTTATCTGTGTGGGGGGTGTTCTGTGTTCTGTGAACCTCTTAATTATATTTTCCAGCTTATTTCATAGAAAAGTTATGCATCACGTCTGTGCAATCTGGCTATGTGCACATGATGGTTTATAAAGCACATCTGTGTCGGACTTTTCTTTAGGGTGAGGGTTATGATAGTGCGGAAGCCCACTTTCTGGTTGGTCGTTACATCACACTAACCTTTAAGTGTTTTATACGCCTGTTATCACCCATTAGCCTACTTGCCTAACACAAGGAGTAAGACCCCAAAACTCTCCACCTGTTGATATATGGGGGAAGGGAGATGTGTCCCCTGGGGGATGGGGCCACTACAGTCCTTGAAGGACCAGTTAGTCCATTATGTCATTTTAAGTGTGGGCGTACATGTGATTACATGTGCGTAACATGCGTGAGAGCCTATATTCCAAGAAAACAGCAAGGTTTAGATTTTAAAGTCCAAATTTCATTGCATCACGCAAAAAGAGTTTAAAAAAAGAAAAATAACCTCCTAAATAAAATAAAATAAATAAATAAATAAATAAAACGTCCACAAAGTCTCGATAAGATCGCCCTTTTAAAAAGCTATGCAGTTACGTATCAATCTCATACTAAATCACAATTTTATTACTTCTAATTATAGTCATTATCCATTCAAACTAGCTCCTGCCATATTCCTTGTGAAGAGGCGACCGTGAAGATTTAGATAAGGCACATGCAGACCTGATAATGATGCTGCACTTTGCTCATATTTTCAGGTCAAACGGTATGTGGTCATCTCGGGGAATAGCCTAAAGTATTCTTTCTCGGTAAAATGTTTATATAAGACGCGTTTATGTGTTTTCATAACCTCTTGGGATGTACGTTGTTCAGTGTGGTGGGACATGGAAGATAAGTTCATAGCTGTTAAAGCTAACTAATAACACCGTAATAAATGCCTTATTTTGCTTATTTGTAAACGGACAGCATTTTTATTTTTTCAATACACTCAAAAAAGTCTTGTGAAAAATATAAAAAAATATGTATACAAATATTAATTAAAAATATTTCTAAAGCTCACTCTTTAATTCACGTGTCATTGATGAAAAAGTAGGATTATTCTCTAAATGAGTGGGACGAGGGTCAGGGGCCTAAATGGCTGCGCAGTAGAACCAAGAGAGAGAGAGAGAGAAACCTACACCCTAATTGTACACGCGCATAAAATCATCATTTCTAGGTTTTCTCTTCAAATGCAAGTGTTAAGCCAATAAAGCATCTATGCTTTTAATGCATTGTTTACACGTTATTTTATTGTGTGATTTAACCGATAAGATTATGCTTGTTGTTTTGCAACTATTTTTGTCTTGAAATTGTGCCTCCTGGTGGCTATTACCGTGCAATACAGTGAATGTCAACGTTCTAAACGTTAGCGCTCAAAATGAAGGCCAATATATGGCTGAAATTACGTAAGGAAATTAAAGGGTTTAATTCTGTGAGCTAAATTCTTAGCTATGATGTTCAAAACCACAGGCCTACTTTTCATTTTTACAAAACTGTCACTAAAGAAAAACAAAAACACAAACAAACAAACCGGTCATCATAAAAACATCAATATTTCAATCTTTATTGTTAAAACAAGTGAGAATGTAAATGACACATATTTTCTTGTTTTCATACATTCATAGAATGTCACTGAGCATCTATCAGTTCATCTCTCATCAGTACAACATTCAAAACAAAAACTCAACACAATCAGTGCCGTGCGTCTGTTATAGGCATCACTAGTTTGACTTTGAATGGGTAAGTAAATTATAGACAGAAACTGAGCACAAGATGCCAGAGGAGGAGTGTCTATTTGCACGGCCCACTGTGTTTAAACTGTGCTGATTAGTATTCAAGTATTCCCTTCAATGATTATTTGTGTACTGTATATTCTACTAAGATCTGCTTGATTATCATTATTAGCATTTGTGGGTTACATCATATTATTGACATAGTCATCAGTAAACATAAAAATATGCTAGTTTGTTTTACAGTGCAATCTCATGCAATACAACATGCAGTTAGAGGGCGCATGAAGAAGACCTTACTGACCATGCACAACCTAGTGTCCTTGAACCCTATCTTTCTTTCAAAGTAAAATATTGATGTAAATTGAATTCCTTTTAAAAACAGTAAAGCTGCTTTTCCAATGTGCCACACCGTGCATACTGTAGTAATCTATGCACAACTGCTAAGTCAAGATTCTGGTAGGTTGGCACTGATGTATAAAATTATGGTCAAAATAATAATAAAAAACTAAAACTGGCACAAATACGTCAAACATGTAAAATTGCAAAACCATATAACAGTAAATATCCACTTAATACATTTTAAACTGTCAGTAACAAAGGCTATGACAGATAATCACATTGGACAGGCAAAGGCCCGTGGATAAAGCACAGAAACAGGAGTGACAAAAATATTCACTGTCAAAAAGGCAACTAATCAATATGCAAAAACCATGTCAAGAAAATGTGCAATCCTTTTTTTTCTTGAGAACATTTCACAAAAGCAGTTCATGTACAGCATGAATTAGGGAAATCAGCTGTGTTTAACATTGTAACGAGGGCTATTGTAATGTATGTGAAAACCAAACTTTGGCAAAATATATTTAATTTAAGAAGGGAATAATCTGTACCCTCTTTTCTCCTTGCTTCTACTATTTTTGAAAACAGATGTCTGCATTTAGAAAATGCTAGTATGCGAGTAGAGTCTCTTGTGTATTACACTGGGCATAGTTCAATAGAGCTCAACTGTGACCGCCCACCACGAGGTTCTGGAAACAAAATTCTCATTCATATTTGTCATAAACCTTCTCATATATCAATAATAATAATGATAATAGAAATTTGCATCTGGATTTTCGAAGTGCTGAATTGTTGAGGTCCATTTACTTAGCACTAACAACTCATTCAGTTCCACAATAGGAGGATTTTAGGAAAATACATTATTGCAATGTCTAAAATCTCCATGTTAAATAAATGTATGAATGCCTTGATCCCAGCAAGACAAAAATCATACAAAAGATTCAGATAAAATATTATAGTTATCATTGTCCTGAATGTGATATTCACGGAGCTCACTAATCTGGAACACACTACTTAGACCATGTAATAAATTAATGCAAAGCTTAAAATTGAATTGGGAAAAAAAAAAGGCAAAATTATCCCACAAAATAAAAGTATTTCATGGCACTAACCAGTCTTTTTCAAGGATCACTGTGATTGCTGCATCAACATTAAGTTCTCCATTGAGTGTTGGGAAGCCCCCCACACACCTGTGGACATGGACAAGTCATGATGACATTAGAAAAGCAGACATTAAAAGTTTCTCTAAATATATTAAAAGGAACACTAATAAGAACCGTAAACTTTTTGACAATTTGTGTGTTCTGGGTAAATTAGTCCATAGTCTGTGTACAACCTCCTGCTAAGTGTTCTCATGAAACAAGCTGGCCATGCAGAGTATTGCTAAGAGGTTGTTTCATGGCTTATGGGTGGCCGGGTTGGTGGTCCATTCACATACATGTCAAACTGTGTCCTTTGTGACATACATGTATGAGACTTCCCTCATCCTCCTTTTACATTCTTAAGTTCAACTCATTCTATTAATCCGATTTTCCATTTTCCTGCAATGTATCTACTTTATTTTTCCGTGCTGACCGGAGAACCTTGTAGCAGCCCCGTGCTATTTTGTGCATCCACATGACGTTCATAATGTCCAAACAGATACTGGAGCCAATCCAGGCCACACGCCCACCCCACGGCACCAAGTAATAGGCCTGTGTGCCATACACAGCGTACATACGACTGTAGTACACCGGGATGACAGCGATACGGACCATGAAAAAGACCACTGCCATAGCAACGCCATTTGCCATATTTGGTCGAGAGGACTTGGGATATCCTAGGACCTCAAAGAACCAACTGAAACACAAAGTTAGCAACAGGCATCAAAGTATTTATGATTTAAATCATAGATCCTGGGTGCAGATACATACCGCTGGTTAACACAAGGGGTGGAGAATTCTGCTAACAGGCGGAAGTTAGCAAAATAAGGCAACATCCCTTGACCCTGAAATATTGACGTAAGCACAGGAGAGGACCACACATGAAAGTGACAAATATAATAAAAACTCCTGATGCAGTCAGTTGTATGTCGCCACATAATCCATGGTTTTCAAAGTGATGGAAATCTAGCACCACAATTAACAATTCAAAACAAAATATTATATCTTCAGAATGGGAAAAACAGGAGGCTGTAGTAGCCAATTTTTTGCTATGTTGCAACAATCTATTGGAATAGTTTTTATGGGTCTACAGTAGGACCTACAGTTTGTGTATTTAAGCCCTAGCTTTAGATACAGGACGTCTGTGGTATTTGGATCCTCAAACAAACAGGAGGTTGAAAAACAACAAACAGAGCAGACATTTGACCTAACCATTCATCTAAACATCTGATATGCATTTATCCAATAAATAGCAAAAGAATGTTTATTTAGTACTGTCCTTCTCTAATGAACCAAAAAATGTGTTTTATGGTGAATAAATAAGTCTGCAACTAAACACTAAAGCATGAGAGACATATCAAAGTATAATTTATCACTAATGATTGCAGCTCTGAAACAGACAGCTTAAGTCATTTTAAACCACATTGCATTACATGCATTGGTTAACATCTTTCCAAATTACCAAAACAAAATCTTTGTCTATCGTGGTATTAAAAAGCACATTGCAGAAATGTATATATGTAAATGTGTTTTGACCTGTGCCAAGGACATAGCTGTCTATACAGTGATGTTATTAAATGAAATTAAGATGGTAAAACCAAATTACTGGGACAGGCAAATTGTGGTGTAATACAGACAGACTACCAGTCTGAAATCCATGTTTTATGCATCATTATAATGTACGTAAATGGTGAATGAATGAAATAGGCTGAAAATGAATAACAAAAGTTACAAATGTAACTACAGTTCTATGAATTCCAGATGACCACCAAGAGTGGTCCTGAAGGCACTGAATGATTCTGTTCATATGAAGAGAATCATTCAGTGCTTTCAGTGCCGCCCTCTCGTGGTAGTGGCAGTAGAGATGAAACAAAACACACATGTCCTACATGTTTATAGTAATTTTAAATATGTTTCTGTGATACACTTTAGCAGTACTTACCTTTAGATCTGAAACAAAGTCATGTATTATATATACTTACTATGTGAAACAAACAAAGTTAAACCTCATATATTTCCAGCTAGCATTACCATGCTAATACCTCTAGGAACTGGTAAGTCCATACTGTGACTGGGCATCATATCTGCTCAGTGCCACACAACAGCAATAACAGCAGACAAGAAAGGAATAGAGCGCTCCCCATCTAAATCAATGCGTACACTGTTTAATGACTCGAACTCTTCTGGTAGTTTTTGCATGAACAAGGGTGATACAGCCCAACATGTAGTTGGTAGTTTTTGCATGTGGGGTTTGAAAGGGGCTTTTGATGTTAAAATCAGCAGAGAACACAGAGACGGACACATATACATCTATTAGAACAGAAAGATGCCGCCACATAAAATGCAACACACTTAATACATTGATAAGCATGCATTAAAGGCCTATTAAGCCATAACTAATGTTTCCAAAACATTGTTACTGAGAATCACATAGAGAGAAAGACATACATTTCAATGGACATTAGTGGTTGAAATATCTGCAATGTATATTAAGAATTAACATACAAGTATTAGTCAATGTACAACTTAATGTCAGTTTTTAGCAGATTGTTAAGTGTGCCTCATTTTTATTAAGAGGTCAGGAGTTATACGTTAACACAAACATTTCCACATAAACACAGTTGACACATTAACTAAAACTATGACAACAAATGACACATTTGACTGTGTACAAAACTAAATGAAAATGACACTGTATTTTTGTTTGGTCAGAACTACTTTTTAGAAACAGTCATGAGTGTCCAGTAACAGTATGGCCAACCTATTATCATTTACCATTCTTGTACATACAGGTGCTTGCTCTATCCATCCAACAGGTTGTAGTATGGCAAATACAGATTTTTATTTTTCCAGTGCAACTTATGTCAAAATGTTTTACATATTTTACAAATAGTAGATAGTAGTAGTGCATAAACTATTGTATTAATTGCACTTGTAGCCTTATTACTTTTTTGAATGAGAGAAAGAACAATGCACGCTGTATAGCTTTATATTACATAAATGCTAAAGTGGACAATATGCCACAAATAGTACTTTTTCTTTTTTTTTTTAAAATGCTGAATGAATTTTCCATTTGTCCAATAAGACTTATTTGTTTCATTGGTCAACAGTGTGACAGGAGCAGAAGTTAGCACAGCTAGGCCTTGGCACAAAGCAGAAATGCAGAAGGTACTGAAGATAGGCAGAAGAATCAGTGAGTAGGTTAAATACGAGTTGTTATCATGCACAAAACAAAACCCTGTCTGCAAACAGTGCTTCATGCACACAGCTGCCATAGCTTGGACAAGTTCAGCTCACTTCATATTAGCAACAACAAAAGGGGCCCACTATCAAATTAATAAAAGCACAGAAACCGTAGGGCAAAGTGAGGAGGGGAGGGTCAGCCAGTACCATCATTGAGCATTCCATGCAAAAAATACCAAAGTCATTCATTGTCTTCATTTATGCATATATTTTCATTGACCTGAAGGGTTTAAGATAAACCCAAAAGTGAACAGCAGCACTGCCCTAGATGCATGAGTCTTTCCTCCACCATCTAAAGTTTTAAATTCTACCATCAGCTATACCAACATATGGAAAGCAGAAAAAATGTTAGGTCAGCAGATGTGAAGGTTTCGTGATTCAAATAAACAAGACTTTGTTTGAGAAAGAGGAACATGGAACAAACTGATAAGTGGAATAACAAGGATTTAAATGGCTGGGTTGCCCTTTTTTTAAATTTTTTATTTTTTTTTATCAAAACGAGGCGTGGGTGTAATTGATTTATGATGTTAACTTCATCCAATCAAAATATGAAAGTCAACCTTATATTAAGAAGAGTGGCTTTGTGATATTGGAAATACAACAGTTGTTATCTTATCCAGCAACATCACAACTTTATATTACTGTCCATGTCCTGAAATGTGTAGTGTGTCCTAAGCTAACCCTGACCTGTATAAAGTGATCTAAGGTAAAGTAACATTAGCTTTAGAAAGTTATGTCAAATATTCATCTAACTGTTATGTAAACATGTCATTAAGGACAAAGCTGTTCACTTTAGGTTGTCTCCTTCCCATCTTGCCTGCACATATTGCTATTGGACAATAGGGCACTCACCAGTACATAGTAGTAAGCATACAATGCTGCCAGATGGTGAACTACAAAAAACTTGTCGCCTATCGCCTTCCAATAGTAAAATATTAGCAGCAGATCTGAAAAGAAAGAAAGAAAGAAAGAAAGAAAAAAACATACACAGAAAAAAACAAAAGAAATGTGTTAATTAGATTTCACACATTTTACAATTATGGAAACGTGACATTTGGGGTAGAAAACTCTGCATGCCTTACCAGAAATGAGGTAGCCAGTTGTAATGGCAACATTAGTCTTCACTAATGTAGGATCTCCCCTGTAAAAGGTATAGATATATAGATATAGATACACATTTTGGTTCTTGATTTGAATACATGATTGTTTTATTGTTTGTGTGACATTATCTAAATCTCACCAGACTGGGTCTTCATTGACAGCATCATCAAAGAATAAAATGTAGAGACAGAACAGTCCGACTAACAACGCATGGAACGTCGACACTGTCCTGAAACACACAAGTGACAGTGCTCAGCAGGTTTCCATTTGAGCAGAGCTAAAGTACTAAAGAATAAATAGTGTGCCTTATTAGAAGTGACAACACAGTTGAGTTGGCTAAATATAATAATGCATTTGGAGAGCTCTCTGAATGAGCAGATTGCCTGTGAGAGCTACACAAAGACTGAAACCAATTAGACTGAGAGATTAAACACTGCTGCAGGGTCACACGCTGCCAGCCATCCGAGCCCTGAGACGAACTGAGCAATGCTTAGCCATCAGTCAGGCAGCACTACCAACTGTAAGTAAAGCCAGAGCCTGCACCGGGAGCACAACTAAATATGACTTTACATGGGCTCATAAATCACACTTTCAATTTCACAAGTGCACTAAAGCACAATAAAGAGAATATGAATGAATTCTTAAAATTATTGATTAATGCAGTGAACCCCAATGAACAGCCAGACACCATAAATTAAATAAACTTTTGTCCAAGTAATTCCCCATGTGGTTCAGTAACGTTTGTCTAGTCTAAGCTTATTTCTATACAATAAATACAACTTTGACGAAGAAAAGAAGGTGACAGGAAATATTAGCCGTGGACATCATAAACCGGTAAAGCCTGCTTTTCTTGTAGCCTGAGGAGATGCTCTGTAACCCACTTGGCTGTAAAAGCATGTGGGCCTGGCTTAAGAGGGTACCTTGAGTTCCATTCCACCTTCTGCTTGTCAGTGAGGTTGATGAATCCTGGGCTGATGCGCAGAGACATCCAGGGGCTGACTTTGTGGAAAAGCCACTGGAAACTGAAGAAACTTGTCACCGAGATGGTGAGGATGAGCTGGCTGAATGGGTCCATGGCCACCCAACGTCACTGTAAAACAGACACGACTTTAAACACACTTTATTTATTGACAAACCAACTATTACACTGTAGCTCTGGGACAATTGCAACATAAGCTCTGTTTGTGTTGGGCGACCTTTTAGAAGAAGTACAGCTGCTAAAGTGCCCCGTAAATGTTCAACCACAGAAAACATGCTGCAGAAACATTACACTAAACCTCCCTTCAGAATTATAACTGGACCACACAGTCAATGAACTGGACCAATCTTGGGTATACTTAGTATACAGCAATACATTGGCTTGATATTTCTGAGTTTATGCTTGTTGGTAATTATTGCAGAATATCTGGATATCATGAAAGAAAAACAAATATATAAAGCTTAAAGTAGGTCTAGTCTAAAATGACCTAGCCCTAAGGTAGCTTCAGATAATGATTAACCTAAAAGAAGACATACTCAGAGGGCCCCATGTACCACCAAAGGCAACCCACATACCGCAGTTTGAGAATACTGATTTAGGGTATTGTAAACACTACAATACAAAATCCTAATATTTCACACTAACACACAGGCTACTCTCTTCTATATACATTTGGTGGAGCGGACATGGAAGGGCACAGCATGCTCTTGTCCTGACAGCTCACACAAGGACAAGGAGCTGTCAGTTAGTTACTACTGGAATCATCATGAAGAGTCAGCTCAGCATGAGAAAAGCAGGACATGCCTCCAGGCAAATGTGTACGATAAGCTTACACTAATGAGCTTAAAACTTCAACATCCTTTTAGACACCCACAATATGTATTTACACAGTATTAACAGTGTGAGACTTAATGAGATGAAAATGTATATATAATATTGTACATATTTAGTATTTACTGTATTGGAATTTCATGGTACTTTAGTAAGTGCATACTGTGCATCTAAAATGTCACTCTCTGTTAATTACTATAATCACGATAGTTACTGTGTCAACTATACAGATGGAAAAATATTTTTTAGGGTCAATATTCATCGTGTGTACAATGTCTTTGCACTACTGGTAAATTTTAGGATATTTTTTGGCTATATGATAAGATTTGAGCCATAGAAGATTGAATTAATGATTTCAACATAACAGCTCATGTTTTTAAAATAATATTGTAGATTTAGAATAGCTTTTGTTGTATAAATTTGCTTTTGAGTGTTTGTGTGCATAAATTAGTTTCTATATTATCGTTTGCCGTCTATAATTATTTCAGTAATCTATCGGACTTCAAAATGTGTTATTGTGACAGGCCTTTGACTGAGCAACGTTAACTGAACCCATTTTGAATTGCACCAAGCCCCATCACTAAGCTCATCCTACATATTATTTAGTTTAGTGGTGTGACTGAGTTGGTTGATAATTGTGTCCAAGGTACCAAAAGGGGTGATTGGCCTACAGAGCTCGCCCCTGAACCAGTAATAGCAATATGACATGCAAACAGGCCTGCAGCCAAGTTATAACAGTGCCAGAGGTCAGCTTTGGCCAGTGTGGGAATCCAGACCAGCGAACTGTTGCATGAAAGCTGCAGAGCTATTTAAATTTGACCCATAGTAACTCTGTGTAGACTAGCTTCATACAACTCTTCATACAGCCAAGCATGTGGTTTGAGTGCATTTGAAAGAACTTTAAAAGCTGCCTGCATGCTACGTGACTCAAGCAGATCTATGTATGCTCAAGGACAAGTAGTTGCAGTTTAAAGGTCAAGAAATCGTAAACATTGCCGTTTTAAAGGGAGCTTAAAATAAAATTAAACATTTAAAAAACCCGAATTTGTCTGCACTCAGTTGACGGTGGTGATATAATGACATGAATGGAAAGGAAGCCTCAATGTAAATATCATAAATGTTTCATGAAAGGAGACCAGTGGCTTACTTAAAGCTATATTACTAGACAGCAGCTTACCCCATATGGCCTCCCCCCAGAAGGCCTATATATTTTCAAGTGAAAGCCATGCCAAGACTCTGGTTTATGTTCTGAGAAGCAAGCTATACCAGGTTGTTCCTCTGATGCCATCTGATAGGCCTATGCGTACAACAACTGTTAACTGGGGTGATGCGCTTGCGTAAGAAACGGGTGGTCCTTTTATGAGCGACCAGGAAATGACACCCGTATGGCAAAACTTATATGTAGCCTATGTGCATCAATGTATTACATGGTAGCCCGTGCAACTAAGCAGACAGATAGAACTGGATTTGAACACGCGTTGGGCAGCATCAGTTTCCGATGCAACGCACTGTCTGTAACCAGCTGCTATCGCCTGTTTGGAGGAAACGGGTGAAACAAAACCAACCAAATAACACTGGCCTGTTCGCAAATGCTCAGTCAGCCACCAGCACAAAAAGCAACCCTCTCGCTTACCTAAGACTTGCATTAAGAAGACTGGGCATTCACTTTCACTATCTCAGCTGGTTTCGTTTGTCGCTCGTGCAGTCGTGAACGCCGATCCGAGGCTACAGCCATTTCGAGTCATTTTTGATAAACAACACACAGACAGATCGCCTTCTCTCCCCGCTCTCAAGCGCATCCAAACACACAAATGCTCACAACTTGTAGCGGATGAGAGGGAGAGACGAGCCCGAGTCAGCCTTCGCTGCGTTGTTTACTGACATTCCCATCTATCCAAAACGTGCGTAATTGCAGAGGCGCAGCGAAGTCAAATCATGCAGCTCGACGCTCGATTACAGAAATGATTGGTGGTGGGAGGAGGGAGAGAGAGAGGTAGAGAGAGAGAGAGGAAAGGGGTTGAGGGTGTTGATTTTGAGGAGGTGGGTGCCGTCTCCCTCATCTCATCTCCCTGCTCCATAGCGATCAAATTACAGCTGAAACCTTAAAGATACAGGCGCATGAGAAACAAACATAAGCGCTGGTTTAGCCCAAAATAGCCATTTTCTATAAATAGCCGAACCACAACGAACTCCTACCATTATGACCCAAGCGTTTACAAAGGATTTTGAACAAATGGGATGATCTATTTGTTTACATGTTTAGCTGCAGATTTAGAGAATACCTGTTTATCTGCTGATGTTAATTTTCTGCAGCTGATGCTCAGAGTAGTCTTTATTTGATAAAATGTATAGATAAACAAACTCGGCTATAATTGTTTACAATATTAAATGCATTGAATACACGTTTATTGAATGGCCGTGATTCATTTAATTATGTAGTGTGGTAAAATCACGATTCCAATGACCAACTTGTGCCGCTTGGTGGTGCCCCGGGTCTTCTAACCATCATAGACGGCTATATAAGGTCATGCTGGTGGCCTTATATTGTATTCTTCAATATTGCATTTCTCGATGTAAAAGCATGACACAAACATAATTTAAAAAGTATAAGCTACATTTTATTTATATAAAATAAAAAACATGCATTACTTAAGTCATAAATACAGAATGGACAGCATAAAGTGTGAATAGCCTATACAACAAAATAAAGCCAAATTTCACTGCATCATCCTTTTTTGAAAAATCCCATTAGAATCTCATCTCAAATGTATACAAATAACAAATGTAATACTCAGATATAAAATAACAAAATGTACATAAAAATATAAAACTTTGGTCAACAGTTTAGTGTACTGCAAGTAACTGTGCTTCAAAGAAATGATTGCAAGTCGATTTAAGGCACTCTTGCAGTATTTAGTGTCGGCAAAGGCAATGCATTGAAATGTAGCACCTCAAAATACCAAGTATGTGTACCATTTGTCCAGTCTCTAATAACACCAATAATAATGCCTATGTATTTTACATAGTTGCATATCTTAAAAAGAGTCTGTGAAGAATAGTGCTATGTTCAGCTGAAAAAGAAATGTGTACATGTGACAAAGTAGCTCATTGAAATGCAGTGTTATATTGTTGCTTCCAACCCTATAATCATAATCACTGCTGAGTGTGACAGCAATTACAGCTCGGGAGTTTTTGAAGCATACGTTTTTGGATAGGCTAGCACCATGAAGTTAAAGGCGCATTGTGTAACTTTTCTGGTGGAGGGTCCATCAAATACTTTTCTTGCTGGAGAGGTTATTGCTTTGTGCGGAATATTTCACAGTATGGCATTAAACCTTTCTATCTTCATGAAGACCAAACCAGACCAAACTACAAGTCAGATCTGTGGAGAGACTCACATTCAGAAAGCCTGTTTTTGTAGGTGTTTTGAGCCATAAAACTACCTGCAATTAAATAAATGTAAGGTGCAAATGTTTAATGTCATATTGTGGTACAGAGCTAAGCAGAGCAATGACATATCCATAGAAACAAGCAGGTGACGCAACCCCAAAAGAAAGTTAGACAGTGCCCCTTTAAAATGAAGTAAAAAGTTGTATAATACCACAACGTAAAGCAGCAGATTAATCTATAAACAAAATATGTCCATTCAGATAATTATGCCCTACACAGACACATATATGGACAAAAGAGAAAACAGGATTAATCAAACAGACAACTTGTAAAAATGGTTACTATTTGAAATAAACGAATATATATTTTTACAGTAATGGATAATACTTGCTTTAAATGATCTGTACACCCTTAAGGCACAAGTTGTTTAAATTAATCTAACCCTATACCTCGAATGAAATTATGAAATCATAATTTCTACAAGATGGATGAAGTAGTCAGTGTTTCACAACTGAGTTACTAGTTCCTTATTATTGAAAATGCAGTCATCATTACATTGGTCATCATGTTTTAAATAGTAGTAATTATATATTTCTTCTGCAGTACTTCAGTAGCGCTTCTCTAGACCATGAACTGTGTGTAGCCTTCTGCTCCTGTAACAATCACGTCCATCCAGATCCTCATGGCCTCAGGAGAAGGAGCCACCATATAGTAAACTCTGTCGTGAGTCTTTACACTGAAGGTAAGGGACGGGTTTGGGCTCTATGGAAAAAGACAAATGGAAATGATCAGAGAAGAATATTTGCATAGCTCTGAATATGGATACAGACAGTGCTAGAAGTATAAAAGTCCTGTATTACACAAAATTGACTCCTGTGAGCTTTAAGCCACAGGAGTTGTTGTTGTTACCTCATCAAAAAATACATAGCTGTTGTGTTTTGTTGCCTTCACACATGTTTGAGTAATCCTACTTTATAAGTCAATCTACAGCTCCACAGCTCAAAATGTCACAAAGTGGTAGTTTAAGTCAACAGCTACCTTTTACCTTTTGTTCAGTAGAGACTGAAAATTCCAGGGCCGAAATTATCCAAAAGGTTCTAGTGAAAGTGCATGTGGTTTAAAAACACAGTGGAGAACTTCCTGTATTGCACTTCCTGAGTGTTTTCAGTTTGGGAGAAGAACTAAATATGCAGGAACTGTGTGTTAAACATGTGTGAATAAAATAAAACACAACTCCAGGTCTGTTTTTGATAAAGTAACCACATAATAACATAGATCAGAAAACAGTGTAATATGGGCCCTTTAAACGGAGGTGTAATAATAATCTATGTATAAACATGTGTGCATACATGAGGCGTAGTTGTATTCCTTCCTCCAACCTGTGAAAATATTGTAAACTAAAAGCTAAAAGTGAAAGTCTAAAAAAGCTCTAAAAAAGAGCATCAAAATATCATCAACGTACTTAATTTTGAAAAAAAAATACTGATGCAGGCAATATGTCTCATCTACATTGGGACAAGGAAAACAAAGCATACTGCTCCTTTAGGGTTATTTTGGTCACTTTTCAGAAAAATGTCTGGACAAAGGAGCACCGACAGAAACCATAACAGGAACACTATAACTGAAGAAAGGCTGTGAAAAGGAATGTACATCAAACTCCAAAACTTCAAACTCACCTTATGTGCATTCTTTAAGTGGTCATAATAAACTTCTTCAATAGCTTGAAAGTAAATGACACCCTTTAGCTTAGCTTCATGTTTATCTGCAAATACAACAAAAGTATGTTACAACTTAAATGCAATTAAATAGTAGATATACATTACCTCTCAAAACATTAGACTAAGAATGTGCATTTAAAGTGCCCATGACAGATTAGAGTACTCATTTAAAACACAGTTGAGACCAGTATATTTAAGATTCTTGCAAAGATATGCACACATTTTCTTAATATGGCAATTTTTTAGCTTCAAAATTTGACTTCCTGGTTGGAAATCGTAGCATCACACTAGGGAATTACATAACTATTACTTAGCAATTCTCCTCTAATTAGGGATGGGCATGATTAATCGATTAATCGATAATTGATCATTAAGAATTTCATCGATTACGTTAATTTTAATCGACAAACCGAATGTAGGTTGCTGTGCGTAGCGTGACCAAACAGGGGTCCGTACATGTAGCTCTCTGCACTCAGAAGGAGCGAGACACAAACAGTAGGTCAGCCTGCAGCGTACCGAAGCACAAATGTGTATTTAACGATGATTTGTACAAGAAATTCCACGCTTTCTGTTGCGTTCGGGACAAGTGTGCGTCCATGTGCACAGTGTACAAAGCAGCACATATGTTTCGGTGTCCAGTGGGAAAAAGCTTTGCCAGGTGAGAGTCGCGCAATGTCGATGACGAGTCCCAACCTCCCACCCCCCATACAGTGTCCTGGTTTTGACAAACGCAAATATGGTCACACTAACCTGTATTCCACTGAATCATGTCTTTTAATCCGACAGAAATTGACCGCATCAGCGACACAAGAGCTGTAGTTTTATCTTCGCTGAGTTTATGCAAATTAGCGATGCAGTTTTAAGTTTTGTTTCTGTGAGAGTTGCGCAAAAATGAATTAAACACATTATAATGTCAAACGGATTGATGTGGCTCTAGAGTCGGTACGGTTTATATGTTGTAAAGTTGAATTTATTTATGCAGATTAGTAGTGCAGATAGTAATAATAATGATGATCATTTTAATATAAAAACGTTAATGATTAATCGATCGTTAATTCTTCCAACGATCGATTAAGAAAATTTCATCGAATGCCCATCCCTACCTCTAATGCACACAGAAATTATTATCTCACCAATACAAATATAAGAAAAGCTTTTGATTGAAATAATGTTTAAAGTATCAGAAAAAAAAAAAAAAGAAGTTTCTTCTGTGTAAATTTTGTCACACTTTTGGACAGAATTCCTCCTAGTGTGATGTCAATATGTAACAGAACTCTCTACGTCCTATAATTTTCAACAAAATTTTCATCTTTTCTTCACAAATTGCTACTTGATTGGTGTAAAACTGTCATTTATATTTACAATAGTTAGAATCCCACCAAATTAAGTCAAAATGAGACAATCATAAAAATCTGTCACACGCACTTTAAAAATTTGACTGGTCATGTCAATAGATAGTAATGGTAATATGTAATCCTATGTTACCTGAATAGTAGGATAGTGTGCGGCGATTGCGGTCAAAGACAAACCAGCGTTTCTTCCAGGTTTTGATCTTGCCCCCCATCTTGATCAGGTATCCTCGACAGGTCTTCTCCGAGAGGGACAAGTGGAAGCAGGTGTCAGCATTGTGTCCTGCAGACTCAATGTGTGAACGCAGGTCAAAGTCATCCTTTCGCACAGGTAGGTACCGAGTAAGAGGCCGAGACTGGAACGAGAAAAGTTGTTTTTAAAATATGTTTGAGTGATTTATTCAAACAAGTACATTTCAATATAAAAATAGCATTCTTTCTTCTACGGCCAAGTTTGAAAATCTAAAATGTGATGAACTGTCAGGGGAGTGTGATTAAAACCATACAGAAGACAAACAGATCCACACAACAAAAAAAGCAATATCAATGGAATAAGTGTGTTTTTCTTAATTCAAGCAACACCAGATTTTGTTTCTTATTTCAAGTTACTGTTTTTCTTATCTTTTGTATGTATTATAATATTTTAAAGGTGCACTGTGCAACTTTTCTGGTGGTGGGTCCATCAAATGCTTGTCTCCATGGAGATGTTCTTGGTATCTAACCTTTCTATCATCATGGAGGCCAAACTGGACTAAATTATAGTTCAAATCTGAGGCAACCTAGTCAGAATGCCTGTTTTTCTAGGTATTTTAAGCTATAGAACCACCTGTAATTTAATAAACATAATGTACAGCTGTTTAAAGTCATATTGTGGACCGTTCCAAGCGGAGTAATGACATATCCATAGAAACAGGGAAATAACGGACCACCAGAAAAGTTACACAATGCACTTTTAAGTACAAAAAAGAGATGAGATTGGTAGATCATTTTACTTTACAAGTGAAATTTACTCAAATAATGATGACACTTTAATTCAAGTAATCGTAACTTGGCTAGATTAGAGTTTTTGCAGTGCAACATGTGAAAACAATATCTTCTTCCAAGAAAGACTTAATATATGTAAACTACCTAAACCTGTTTCTTTGACGTGGGCCATCTAAGGTTAGCTGATGAATAAATATGACATGTACAACACTGGTCCAAACTTTCCAGCTGTGCGTTCTAGTGGAAAATCTATTATAATATATTCTCACCTGTGCTCTCTGCTTCTCCCGGAGCTTCACTTCGCGGTCAATGAGTTTCTGTCGCCGACTGGTCTCCTCCTGGAGCCGTTTCTCCAGCTCCTCCCTCCTCCTCCGCTCCTCATCCAGAGCCTGCTTCCGAATTTCCATTTCTCGTTCCTTTTAGATAAATTAGGTAATTACTGTACTGCACTTTGTTACTACACATTTTCATTTGATTATGTGAAAGCGTTTAACATAGTAAGAGTTTTTAGAGTTTAAATTTAACTAACCATTACAGTTAAACATATTGCCAACTTGATTTATAGTGTTTTTTATACTGCAGTGGTTTCCAGTTGATCTTATTGAAGCACCTTGTCAATTAGAAGCTGAGTTTGAGAACCACTAACCATATCTAACATATGCTCATAAACTATTTAAGTGAAACTATGAAGTAAACCTGGTTGCTAGTAACATTTAAACAATTACTTGATATAATGACCAGGGAGCAGAAAAAACACTATAACTATAAAGGTGCATGTAAACTTTGTCTTGGTGCAAGATAGATATGTTTAATGCCTAGCTATGAAACATCACAGGAAAAACAAAAACATCAGTGGAAAGGAGCACGTGTCAGAATCTGCACCAGAAAATTTACACAAGCACAGTCTCACTGGGTTATGTTCATTGACTTTTGCGCTTTGAATCTTGTATGTACCTTGTGTTCCAGGAGACGGTTCTTTTCAGCTTGTGCCTCTCTCAGCATTCGCTCCATCTCCTCCAGTTTAGCCATGTTTGACGTACTGGCACTGAATCAAAAACCCCAAAAGAGCATGTTAATATTTACTCATGAAGATGGATAATTTTCAAAGTCAAAGGCAATGAATGAACTGTCAGTCTATTTCCAGCTTCTAAAGACGTTGCTTTGTCTCACAATTAGCCCTCCTATTTTTTTCTTCAATAGCTGCTTGACTTTTCAGTTCATTTTTCAGCTAACACAAAGATGTAGGCGCACTAGCACAAAACGTACACAAAGATCTTTTCATCTGGAGCCAAAAAGGAAAAAAGGAATCCAGATTGGTTTAATAGTGTCACTGCATTTTTGAGACGAATGGTACACATTAAACTCAGTCCAAACAAACCAGAAATATGGGACACAGAAATAAAAAATGAACAAGAACAAATGATAAGATCATTAACAGCACAGCCAATCAGAAGACAGTGTTTCCTGCTCTCCCATGTTTTTGTAGTATTCAAAAAATACAGCTCCTACACTGCATCAAATGCAATAATAACCAATTATATCAATAACTTTATAAGCTAATAATAATTAGCTGCTACAGAAAACTCACAGAAAAAACAACCAAAATATCAAATCCCTACCTTATATGACGAAATGTTACCGCACTCATTGTCATTGTAGAGTAGCTTAATTACAAATATTAACTAAACAACTACACAAACTAAGGCAAACTCCTGCAATTATGTTCTCCACTCCTTTCTAAACCTGTGCAACACAATCCAAATGTAGCCATTCTGAGATCAGAGAAATACCAGGACAAGTACCAAAGCAGAGAGGTCTGTCTGCAACTAGTTTGAAACCCGGGCTTAAAATCTATCTGCAGACCATACCATTCAGAGAAGCAAAAGGGGGAGAAGAAAAGACACATGTAACAGTCGTAAAAAGAAAAGAATGAAAGAACGCACACATGTTTTGAGTCGGGACATGCACCGGACCCCCAAATGTACCTCCACAATTCAAATCTCTCTGGATCCTGCAGGGGCTGAGCCAGTACACACACATGTGCATTGTGTTTCCGTCTATATATCAAATTAGCAAGCTTAACTTCATGTTGACTACACAAACAACAAATTCGTAAATCAGAGGACTATCCAAGAAACATACTTTTGCAACTATAATCTCCGTATGTCATTTTTAGTGTCTTTGCTTTTGATTTATATCCTCAGGAGGAGAAAATGAGGCTACACTCTCGGCATTTCAAGTTTTCCGTCTTCCGTAACCTGACCCTGAAAGCACTAATCAAGAGCCTCCTGGAGCCAGAGTACAAATCCTGTTCTCTACGAGGAGGGAAGGAAGAAAGGAAGGACACCTCTGCTATCCACAGGCCTTTTCAATTAACTTCATGTATGTTCTGCGCAGTGCATGTCTTATATTAAAAGGTGCACTATGCAACTTAGTCTCCATGACAATGTAATTGCTTTGCTTGGAACAGACTTAGACTTTAACAAACTATATTGATACACAACGGAAATTATTTGGACACAGTAGCTCACACATCACAACATACAGAAATAATAGAAATAACAGAATGTGTCACCATATGTTATTAAACTTAATTATCTCCATGGAAACAAGCAGGAGATGCCACCAGACCAAGATACCAGTCAGATTTGTGCAAAGGATGGCCCATTAACTATAGGTGTGCATGTTCATTGAGCAAATAAAACACCCATAATTAAATGAATGGTAGATTCAGTAATACCATCCCCATGGAGACAAGCAGGTGGCAGAATCGCTATCTGAAAAGTTACACAAATCATCTTTAAATGATTATAGTGAAATAAGCAGCTGCCACAGTGATGATTAGACTCTGAATACAAGATTCAAAATGTAATCATGCTTTAGTTTGTCTCACAAATAATCAGATTCAGTATACAGAAAGTAATACTGATACTGAATATGGGATTTTATTACTGTAATCTCACTTCAATCAATTAGTTTTTAATGCACTAAAACACTAAAACAACTATGTTCTTTTCCATCCTTTTGATTTTAAAGGTGCATTGTGTAACTTTTCTGGTGAAGGGTGCACCACCTGCTTTTGTCCATGGAGATGTGATTGCTTTGTTTAGAATATTTCACAGTATGGTATTAAACTTTTCTACCATCATGGAGACCAAACAAGGCCAAGTTACAGGTCAGATCTGTGGAGTGGCGACCCCACTCACAGTCAGAATGCCCGTGTTTCTAGATCTGTTTAATGTCATACCATGGATTTTCATAGAAACAAGAACGTGACAGACCCCGAACTGAAAAGTTACATAGTGCACCATTAAAACCAGACTGATAAATTGTAGTGAAAAATCTAAAGTAAAAAGACATAGTAGTGAACATTGCACCTGCACTGTAAACATACTGACCTGGATACATTGTCAGGAGAACAAGCAGAGATGCTGGTTTCTATTGAGTCTGTACTATCCACGCTCATTGTGTCAAAGGCCTGGTCTCGATATCCAAAGCCATCGAGGTAGACATTTGTCTGAGAAGCAGCTCTTGAGCCAGGTTGACCTAGAAACATGAAAAGAAACAGAGGTGACTTCAGTACAACGTTCTTTTGTAAACAGAGCTTTTCTGGATTGTATACCTCCTGGCACATCCTGTCCATTTGGTTGGATTTTTAAGTCACTATGCCCCGCCAGAGTGAAAATCAATCCAATATGCTCAATTAGGAGAAAAAAAGACTATAATACAAAGTTTAAGATTTTCGGATTTTCCAGTGGTCTCAAAAACTCTATGCATGAACAATATGACAAACTGTTTTCGGAGAGACAGTGTATGGACAGGAAGAATCCACTTTTATACAAACAGCTTGATAGCATCTGCCCAGTGTACTAAGCCCACCCATCTAATGAGCAAGAGAAGTTAGAGACCAAAGCGCATAAAACATTTTACCAGTTTATAAATCATGAATAAAATTACCACAACATTACAGACATATAATTATCCACTAACAGACTCCAGACATATGAAGAGTTACTTTAGTAGTATAAGTACTTAGGATTGTGTGGGGCGTGATGTTCAACACGGACTGTCATTAGAGAAAGAAGATAGTGATGGAATGTGCAATAATTAGTGTAGGGACGTGCCTTTTCTTGGAACAAGGATGTTTCTTCTTTTGCCCATTTTGATAGCAACATTGGTCAGTTAGTTATAGAGTTAGAGAATCTATTATACCTTTGTGCAGACGGCGAGAGTCACTTTCTTTGCTGGATAAGGAGAGCATTCTGGGTAAGATGCTGCCGCAACTTGTACTCTGCACCAAAGGCTGATGAGACTGAAAAATATTTAGGTTTATCATATAACATTTCATAAAAGAAATAATAATGATCATGATTTACACTAGAAAATAACGGCCCATATCTACCTTAGTGGGAAAGCTTCTCCCCAGGGTTGCACATGTAAATTGGGGAGTAACAGCTGGTGTTGTTTTCTTTCTGGGTAAAGTGTCACTAAGGTGAGATCCACTGTCCTTATCAAACCTTTTCCTCTCCTCCAGCAAACGGAAATGCTGCACAAAAACACATTTTTTAAAATTTATTTTTAAATCATTGTTTTGTTGAGTTAAATGATGACCCATATAACAGGGGGCATTGCTGCCATCTGGTGGTTGTATAAAGAAAGACAACTAAACTAAGCTAACTGCTCACACACACATTACCTGCCTGTGGCGGTGATGGTGTTGTTTGGCAGGGAGGGGAGGAGGGGGAGAGTCGGGGAGGGGGGAGGGGTCCCGATAAGTCACCATGACTTCAGGCCAGTGCACAGAGTACACCGTTTTGGGGAGGGGGCGAGGAGGAGGGTCAGAAGTAGAATAGTAGGCAGGTGAAGAAGAAATACAAAGCTTTGAAAAGAAGAAAGAGATTAAAAGAGTTTAAGTTGAAAAAGAAGTAAAGGAGATACATTTAAAGAGCATAAATCAATGTGTGTGAGTTTGTGTGTATGAGAATATTTAAATAAATAAGTAAAAGTAAAATCAGAAATTTAAACAACTACACAGAAACTGATATTGAAGCTGAGATTTTTCACCATCTCCAAAATAAGTACTAAAAAGAGAGAATTAAATATAGATGATCCTATTTGTATAACCTTATTATATTAGACGTGGCCTCTCATATGCCTTGTTACATACAAGCTCCTCTGGTTTCTGTTTCAACAACTTTCTTATAATTATTGTATAAATAAATGTTGCTACCTACAACTACCTACAACTTCAAGCTGTGAATGCATTATAAAAAGAGTAAAATCCCTCAGTATCACAGATTTCATTTTTTAAAAATGTACATCCTATCTTTATTTTTATCTGAAAAACAATCATTTTGAATCGCTCTCCACACACCTGTTCCTCCATGGGTTTGCTTGGTTCCTCGTCACTGGAGGAGTTAGCCTTGGTATCAGGACAGTCAGTGGAGGGAGCGGGGGCTTTAGGGTCTCCCCCCAGTTGTGAGTAAAGCTCATTGAGTTCACTGACTGTGACATATCCCTGGAAAGTGCCGTGGGGACATGGGTTAGACAGAAAGGGTGAGGCATAGCAAGAAGCAAGTGGGTCTATTTAACACATTATTGCAACAGAAGTGCCTGGAAATGCTGTGATTTTAGTGTTAGCTTGCAACGCTGCAGGTTTAGTTAGCAACAACTCATTACACAATCAAGTAAAAACAAAAATTACACCATTTTGGTTAAATGATTCTTATTGTGAGGTTTGCAGTCATTTAGTAAAACAGTCATACACAAATTCTTGCAACAAAAAAGTTTTCATGACAGACAGACACAGCAAAGGGACAAAATTACCTTGGCATTTTTAATATAAAGAGAGGAAAGGAGAGTAGTGAGGCTGTACAGCTTGTCTGGATGTGGGAGGGGTGAGGTGGGGTTGGGGTCAAGGCAGTTTTCAGTAAATGACTGACACACATCAGTCAGAGAGACAGTGTCCTGACAGGGAAAGGAGACCCAAGCCCAACCATTAGATGCTATTCGTAGATCTGTCTCTTTAAGGAGGAATTGAGGAGGCTCACTCCGGTTTGACAGCTGTCCCTCAGGCTTACCTCTCTCAAAGTGAAGTTTCTGCCACCGGTCAGCTCAGCATACTTTCTTTCCAGTACAGCAAGATTTTCCTTTTCCTATAAACAGAAAAGGACATCCATTTTAATTCCAAGAAACTCTAACCCCAAAAAGTGATTTATTATTTTTTGGTCTGTGTGAAGATGTAATATTAGGCATTAGCTTACCAATATACTATATTGGTATGATGCAAAATGTATTTTTTGTGTTTTTATCATGTTATAACATTGTTCCCTCATCAAAAACATGCCTGAAGAGGTTTTAGATGTAATCCATGCATGTTTCAGTAATCAAGCAATCTCTTCCGGGCCCATTCAAACTTTACTTGTAACTAGCCTGATTCTGTCAAATGTTCAACCCGTAGGCTTCCATATAAATATACAAAAGCACAAAACAAAACTGTACACAACAACTTGACAAAACTGAAGCGATGTGCAGTAGCTTCATTAGCAGAACACACGAAGATTGCAATAGTGCTCTGAAGGGGGAGTGATTTTGCTCAAGGAGCAAAGGGAGGGAGGACTCAAGAGCCTCAAAAATTAAAATGAAACTTCTAAACGATGTAAATACGTTTTTTCAGAAAATATAGCATTTCAAAACAATAAAAGGAAACAAGATGATTTAAATATGTTATGTGGTAGCAGTAAATCCGTTAGTAAATTTTTTTAGTATAATAATGAAACTACTTTGAGTACATACCCTCTGGAGCATTGCCTCTAGGTTGGTGCGCTCTTTAAGGAAGCTTTCCTTCTCTCTCTGAGCCTGCTGTGTGATCTGTGCTGCTTGTTTCTTCAAAGTCAACAGTCGTTCCTTACGAAGACAATAAATCAGAATTACACATAAACTGTTGCCTATCTGTGATTTCTTTACATAAATAGTTTAACTAGTCTCAAACCTTTCGAGTGACAGTGCTCCGTTGGTAGTCTGCAATTTCCCGAAGCAGCTCCTGAGTTTGTAGCTCCTTTTCCTCATCCTGGCGGCTCTCTGTCTCCAGCTGCTGGAACTCCAGGTCCTCAAAACGCTTTGTCTCCGCTTCCAGCACCTCACAGTCCTAAAAGAAAGTTACATATTATGATACAACAACTGCATTATGGGAGATCTATGCAATCAATTCAATCAAAGTGACCCACACACACCAGACATTTTGCCAATACAGAAACATGTGATGCATTATAGTGCACATTAGGCTACCAAATTATCTTGTTAGTTTACACCTTTACGAAGTCCATTAAGGCAGAGGCACAAAAACAAACTAAACAAAGCTCAGCAGCATGGTGTTCTTTGTTTTGTCAAAAGCTCAAAGCCCACATATTTTCCACATGCAGTTTATCATTACTTCTGTTCTGAAACAAGCAGGTGGCTATGTGAACCCAGAGTCCATTTACATGCATTTATGCACTTCTTTCTCATATTTAAAATAGAGGACAAACTGAAACTGTTAGTAAACCAAATAATACATTTTAAACATTATCTAAATTAATGCAGAGTTCAGAGCTCAGGAAGGAGAAAGCAAGTTCAAAGCTCTCATGTTTATGTATATGAACCAATATGGTGTTACTGTGACCTGTGAGTGTGGATGTGTACTGACCCTGGCTAGCTGCTCCTGCAGGGGCTCCTTGGTGGCTTCAGGGCAGCTGTCCAGTTGGGAGCGCTGCTCACACACAATCTGAGCCAACCTCTCTACTCTGCCCCTTTCTGCCTGCAGCAACTCACAGGCCTGACACACACAGGCGTGCACACAAGCACACAAGCACACACCATGTACACAGCGTGTGTACATCCGGGACAGACACACACGAGAGACAGAGAGGATGGCAGGTTAGTGGGAGCGGGTGTCATCGTTAGTCACTACAATGATCAGATCATTAAATGGGAACATGTGATTGATAGTTTGATTGGTTGTGAGTAAGCATTAACGGTCTCACGCCTTTCTCAGATGAAAAAGACAGGGAGGCTGGTTGGAGATGAAAGAGCAACAGGGACAGATTTGGAGTTGCTAAGAAAGGGTTAACTAGCACAAACGTTAGGGATTCTCTTTGAAAATAATAGACAGCCAAAATCTGTACAAGCACTTCCTTCCCCTACATTACGTCACTTAATTCAGCACGGAGCAAAAGACACTATAGTTGGCATATTACTGCATAGCTCTACATATATGTAAAGCTGACACACAGATGTCAGCATCCCAGTATATCCAATATATGTAGTACAGTGTATTCAGTGCTACTGAATGCAAATAAAACCTATATTTGTATTCAGTAGCACTTTTGTTTAGTATGTTGTTCTGTTACAGACCCTTGGAGCACATCCACAGGTGTCCAACTGCAGTGTTTGTTAGATGTGATCAGTGTGTGACCACTACACCCACGGCAGTGTTAGCAGATATATATTTGGACTAGAGGCAGTATGAGAAGGATTAGCACCTACCCTCGAGTCACATGACCCACAAATGTAGGAGAGGCCTTCTCATACACACTTACCATATTTTATAAGGACATTTGTTGTTACGCTTGACACCAACAAAAAAAAAGTCCTTACAGTAATTATGGCATGCAAAATACCTTGTCTTTTTCTTGTTTTGATTTGTTCTCTAGTTCGGCCATCTTGTTGTGGAGTGACTCAAGAGCGTCTTTCTCCTGTTGCAGAGCAGCTACCTCAGACTCTTGTTCAGCCTCAACAAGAGCTCGCTCCACCTCCACCTTTCATAAACACACATCATATTTAAGGGTCTTTTACTAAAACATATTCCATTAAAGGCTGTCGTTAATGTGATGGTTTAGTCTTTACCTCTCTGGCAGACTCCTCAATTTGGTTGTCCAGCTCTTTTATCTTTTGCTCCAGCTCCTCCATGTTATTCAGGACTTGGATCCTTTCTTCTTCCACGCGCCGGACTTCTCCATCAGATGAAAGCTGATTCTGTCCTCTCCGGTGAAAAGTGTCCAGACCCTGATAACAAAGACAAATTTAAAGATATACCTCTATATTTTAATATATTTGATTAATCTGTCTCCAAAGATACCTGCAAATATGTTCACATAAAAATATAAAAGCCAGCTGCCCTTCTAAATAGTAACATGTTCCCCCACAACTATGGTTTACACACTCTTAAATGTATATTAGTGGCACTTTAACATGCTGTATTTCTTTTTACAGCAAAACACAGAACAGGTGTCATGTCCAAACTCATTCATCTTATAAGGATGCCATAAAAATTTTTTAAAAGTGTTTTTGTACCTCACTGGTCCTCTGTCCACGTGGTGATGGAGAGGGAGCAAAGCTACGCAGACTCACAGCCGGAGACTCTGCCCTATTGTCCCGAGTACCGCTGCTGTGCCGCTGACGTACCGGGACATCATCGTCATAGAAACCGTTCTCTGAGCCAGGTGAGGTCAGGTGACCATTTCCCATAATTCCATTAACAGCTGAAGAGTCGGAGAAGACTGAAGGTGCATCATCGTCATCATCGTTGAGTTGGAGTTTTTCGAGTTCCTGGTTGATCTTTTGCAGGTCGGCCACAGCAGAAGTGGGACTTGTTCCATTTTCTTCTCGGTCAGAGCGGCCCAGCTCTGTACACAGAGACAAAATAGTCTCCAAACGCTGTCTCTCCTAAAATAACCACAAAAACACAAACATGTACTGAATAAAAACTATGAAAGGTTGCATGAAATTTACAGAAAATAGTCAAAATATAAATTTTAATCCACAAATATTTGAAATTACCTGAGGCAGCATCCCTTCTATCCTCTGTTTATATAATATGTACAATATATTTAACTGTTCAAATCACTCAGAGCATGCAGCAAAGTGTCCTAACATACTGCTACTGTTTTGCCTACACCACTAAACTGCTGTGGCCAAAGAGGGGTGGAATACATCACTCCAGAAACAGGGAGGGCAAAATGCAAATGTGTCAGTGAAAAAAGAGAAAGGGACAGCCTGGAGGAAACAGATCTCCATACAGACTTATGTGCGAAAGAGAGGAGAAAGAGAGAGGAGAGAGAGAGAGAGAGGAGAGACGGGCAGCGAGCTAATAACAAGGTGGACAGCTGTCAACTGTGGTCACAAGTATGCACAGTACAACAAGAAAGCCTGACACCATTCACATGAACGTGCCTCTAGGAAACCCTGTGTGGGGCCCAGGACAGCCATTCTTAGCATATATAATTCACACAATGTAATCCAGAAATAAAAATACTTTGAAATAATGATATGGGATTGAACTTCAAAGCAGCAGTGTTCATTAATAGCATGTGATAAGGGGACATCGTTGGTTTATCACCTTGTTCTATTCTAATGGACACACGCCATTTGGAGCTTTTATAGTAATCCACTGTCAACTACACAGCCAACAGCAAGAGAAATATTTGGCGTACAGGTTTATTTGCACTTATTCTGTTCCACCACTAGAGGGCAGAGTCGTTTTAAATATGACCAGTAAGCTTTAGCTGGACAGTGGGTCTTCGATCTGCATGTGCAATTTTATGTCAGAAACTGTGAACATCCAATTAGTAAGATAAGATAATAGGCTAATTTAAAGATGCACTGTGTAACTTCATTGAAATGTTACGGCTTTGTCTGGAATTTTCTACAGTATAGCTTTTCATTTATCCATCTACTACATGAAGATGAAAAGATGATGCAGGTCAGATCTTTGGAGAAGGGACTCCACTCATTTAATAAACCATGTTCTTATAAGGTGAAAAATACACACACTTGTAACCTAGTAACAGTAGTTTAATGCCATACTGTGGAACGTTTCAGGAAAAAGGTCTTCATGCCAAAAAAGCAGGTGACACAACCTCCACCAGAATAGATACATTGAGCACTGGAACTACAAAACAAATGTGTTGAAGTGCTCATGTTACACTATTTTCTGATCTATGTTATAATGTTGTTTCCTCAACAAAAATGAATATGTAGATAAAATAAATAAAATAAAAATACTAAAACAATAGCTGTTAACTCCTGCTTCATGACAGCTGGAGCAAAGAATTTTGAGCATTGGAGATGTAGACAGAATAATAAAGGATTACTCAAACATGTGTGAATAAAACAAAACACAACTCTGGGTATGTTTTGATGAGGTAACACCATTATAATGTTGCTTAAAGTTAACAAGAGTCAGTATTGCGCAATATAGAACCTTTGAATTTAATAAATATGATTTCTGACCCGATTAAATTACGTTGAGTGGAAGTACATAGGCTATATCATGAAATTTAACACTACTCGTCTATCATTCAGATGGCTTGCTGCATAAACCGTATCAAGTGGCATGCATAAAATAAAGTTTGGTTTGTAAATTGTCCAGAAAATATTTCTCACAAGTCTTAGACCACATTTATTATACGGCCGTGTGAACCATAGAGATATGTCAAGTGAAGACTGGAGGGACTTAAGCCCACTTGTCATTATATGTGCTCCATGCTTGTGTTTATCCACCTGCTATGCTATGACTGCACTCTCTAATCTTCTTATTTCACAAGCCCACATCTGACTCCAGGGCTGTGCGGGTCCTCACTGGCCTGAACCAAACCGCAGGGACCTCCAGATGACTGACATAAACATACACCACACATACACCACACATACACAAACACTCAGCAAAAGAGTTAAGAATAGTTCTGTTAGTTTGGGCAATGGTCCAGAGGCATCTGTCTAGTGGTCAACCTCAGTATGCGCATATGTGTGCGTGTGTTGAGCTCCCTGGGAGAGTATGCATGGCAGGATAACAGCAGGCTAAAATCAAGACAGGGAATCCTCAGCTTAATATAACCTAATAACTTTTCTTACCCTGAATGTTCAACAATGTGGCATTAAACTTATCTAACTGATGAACGCTACGAGTAACGTCACACTTCCTTAGTCCACTTCTTTAACTTGGTCTAGACTAGTGTTTTCCAAAGACTGGGTCATGACCCTCAGGTGGGTCTGCAATATACAGTTCTGACACATGTTGAAATGTTAAGACATGTTCTGTATAATTTCTAATCTTTTTGTAATTATTTTATTATTTAATATTTTTTAATACTGGTGGTTCAATGAATGCTGAAAAGAAAAAGAAATGGGCTACATTTAATGTCCATATAGGCACCTTATGGATCCTTTTTATTACTGGTTCAATGACTGAAACAACTTGAGTCAACTTGAGTTACTCAGTCAACAATAAAATATCCTCATTAATGTTCAAAAATGGTCAACTCCACTGTTATTTTGTGATTTACAAGCAATGTCTACTGACTTGGGTCACAAAGGTGTGTGACTTTTAAAAAATGGGTCCCCAGAAAAAAAGTTTGGGACACACTGGTATTGACCATAGACTGTATACAGGCCTGATAAGGAAAATATTGTACACAGTTAATTTATGTTTTATGTATATTTTTTCCAACAACAAACCACCTGCAACTGAATAAAAGTAAAATAGATTAGCTAAATAGTATACTGTAGAACATTCCAAGTGAAGCAATAATATTTACATGGAGACAAGTAGGTTGTGGACATGTCATCAGAAAAGTTACATATACATACTCGCATTTTGGTTTTGAATGTTTACTTTGTATTGCAAAGGTGTTTTTATTTTGAGAAAAACTAAGGATTTTTTTTTTTTTTTACCATTTTTTCTATAATTTATTCACACTGGGAGAAACATTGTGCATAAACACAATTCTTACCTAAAAGAAATCGGAGATGTACAATATTAATATGAAGTAATAAAACTCACCAGTCTTTCCACCTCTTGTTCTCGAAGCCTCTCCTCTTTTTGGCGTTGGTGATAATCGGTCAGTTCCTCTTTACCACTCAATGAGCTGATGCTTCCTCTTCTTTCTCTGAATCCACCTGGAGGTACAATTCCTGCTTTTCCAAATGACTGCCTCCTCTCTCCAAACCCTATTCCCGACTCTATCCCAGCCTTCCCAAAAGATGCTCTCCGCTCACCTATCCCAAAACCAGGACTTGTATAGTCTGTTCCAACCCCGCGCCTGTCCCTCTCACCTAGACCAGAATCATTTCCATTACTGACGCCTCTTTCTTGATCTGAAGGACTAGAGTTTGTTGATCCTATGGAGCTTGTGGAAGTCAGGCTTAGCTTTTTGGCCACACGAGGAGAATTGGAGCCCCCAGCCCGGGAGGGGATAGTCACATCTGGGGGAGCATTCGTCGGTGAAGTGGGCGTGCTTGTGCTTGTCTTGGGAGCAGAGAGAGAAATGGAGACAACACCTTCACCCAAAATTGTGCTCTGATTTTGATTCCTGCTTGACGACAGTTGACTGGAGTTATGGTTCAAGTCTAGATTTGAATTGACGTTATTATTATAATGATCTCTGCTATGTTTATAACTTCCAGTTGTATCAGATCGCCGTGTTGGCAGGGTAGATAGTGTCAACATCCCATTGCTGTTATCTCGTGGTGAAGGGGAGGGACAAAGGCGTGGCAAAGATCGGCTGTGCCCTCCTGCCATCATACTGTTAAGGGAGCCAGCGGAGTACTTCCTGGTTCGAGTGGTAGTGGTTGGCTCTTGACTCCCAAAACTACGCCTTCCAAGTCGAGGGCTGGAGGGCATGCTCACTGCTCCTCCTGAAGACGGGGTACGAGAAGAAGATGGAGGGAGGGTGAGGAGGAGAGTGTCACCCCCAGCAACAGAATTTGAAGACCCGCCTCCATTCCAAGTTGACAGCAGTGAGGAATTTTGGTTGTAATGTCTGCGACCATCACTCACGCCAAGGAGGATGTTGTCTTGGTTACGGCTGGATGGTCTTGATGAAGATGGGTCAGATCGGCGCCCGGAGGAGAGAGAAGTAACGGTTTTAATTGAAATGGGTGGACGGTCAGAGCCATAGATCCGCCTGGCCTGCTCCTGATAGGCTGATGAGGATGAGGGAGGCGTGGTTATAGGTGTTGTGGGCGGAGACTGGGAAGCAAGAAAAAAAAAAAAAAAGTTATTCCAGTATAAAATGGGAAGAAATTGATCCATCTTGTGATAGGCAAAAATTGGCCTATACTCAGAACATACAACTGAAACAAAACGATAAATTAGAATTCGATCCAAAAAGTATTATTAATATTTCTTTAAAAAACACGAGTTGCAATAAATAAATAGCTGAATGTATTTTAGTTTGTATGTATCTATAATGAGCCACAGACTTTATACAGCTCAACTCTTATTATTTGCAACAAAAAAACCCAAAAAAACACACACACACTAATACAACCACTAGTACAAACAAAATGTATACACGATAAATATTGACCCCCAAAAATTGTTGTTCTATCTGTCAAATACTGATATCACAACAAAACAAAAAAAAACACAAAAAATTTACAAATTTTAACCTTTCCTGAAAGCATTTTGAATGGTCCTCATGGTCTAGAAACTGCTATTATTTAGTGTAAAAAATACCAGTTATATCAGTATTATGAATAATTTTTCTTAGTATCGACATTAAACACTGAAAATGCAAAAGGAAAAATAAACGATAATTGTGATTTTTGGTACTGTTACTTTATGTTTGTTGTGTCAGTTACCTGTGTGACGCTGAAATAGGAGGGGTTAGCACTTCCATTTGCTCTGAGACTATTTTCAAGGGCGATCTTCTTGCGTTGAAGTGTGTCCATCAGATCACGGAGTTCAGATGCCGAGCGCATGCCCCGGGCGCTGTTGGTCCCTCCCACCACGCCATGGCTGTAGTCACTGCTGAACTTCAGGTAGTCTGTAGGTGAGAAGAAGGGAAATAATTAACACATTAATAGGTTGAGTTCATGTGACATAATGACTTAAATAGATCCTGTTTTGAAATTGAGGTTAAAGCAAGGCCGGGCCTGGTTAGTACTTGGATGGGAGACCGCTGGGAAAATGAAGGTGCCACAGGGGGGTGTCAGTCTCAAAAAAACTGTAGTTGTGTCCTTAGGCAAGACACTTCACCCACATTGCCTAGTATGAATGTGCTGTGTGCGTGAGTGATGGTCGTGGTCGGAGGGGCCGACGGCGCAGATTGGCAGCCTCGCTTCTGTCAGTCTGCCCCAGGACAGCTGTGGCTACAATAGTAGCTTACTACTTCCAGGTACAGAGTGAATGAATCAAGATCTGTAAAGCATCTTTGTTACATATATCTGTGAAAAGCACTATATAAATAAAAAACATACTAACTTACTTACTTAAAGGTCTTATATTATGCAAAATTGAGTGAGTTTTAGCCAAAGCTTGAATGTTGTTACCTCCTCAAAACATACCTGGAGTTGTGTTTTGTTTTATTCACAAATGATTGAGTAATGCTTTATTATTAGCTAATCTACATCTCCAAAGCACAAAATGCTCTGTTCTACCTTGCGAGGTCATGCTGTGGTTGTTTTCAGGTTAACAGCTGCTTTTTTACATTTGTTTAATAAAGATTCCAGAGCTGAAACCCTCCAAATGATTCTGGTGAAGATGTATGGAGTTTAAAACACAGTAGGGCTCTTCCTGTATTATATGACATTACAAGGTGGAACAGAGTTTTCTGTTTTTTCTCCAGGCATGTTTTTGATGAGGAAACAACATTAAAACATAGATCAGAGAATAGCATAATATGGGCCATTTAAAGACAGGTCATCATTCTATAGTAGAATTCGCCTTTTTACTGTGTTATCTGTAATCACTGAACCTATCCACTTGAAGCAAAAAGTATTTTAAAAGGTCTCAGGAAGTATTATTCACCAATGCTTGTTGTAAAAGATTGAACTTTAAGCCATCCGATTAAAACGATTATGGTCCCAATCCCAATCCAAAAATTCTAAAGCCCAATGTTTGTGGATTTTCAGTTAGGAGATTTCCTTCAATAATAGTTAATTGCTACATAGAGTAATCTTCAGTAATACCCTCCATTTGAGATTATAATTTTAGAAAGTAAAACCAATGAAGGTTACATTGTCATAAACCAGTTGAGTATATATTAATTCAAAGAGGCATAATAACGCATTCAGTCAGCAGTAAAGCTCTTAATAAAACAATGTACTTTTCTACTTATGAATGCTACTTATGAAATCTCTTGTTCATATCTGCCTATGTAATGCAACAGAAATAGGTTGACTCTAATCTGGTTTGAGTTTCTTAAGTTTAGATTTTTAAAAATAACCACAGCATAACTACAGAATATTCCTGAAATCCCAGAGAAGGCACCCGCCCTTTCCTCTTTCCTTTTAAGTGCCTTCAAAACCACCAAGTCCACGTCCATTTCGGTCCATTCAACTTATTTTTAAGAAAGCTACTATCAGCCAACATATATTTCTACCTCGCTCTACTTTGGGGCAAAATGATCAAAACAAAAGGTGATGGAATAGAAAGACAAGGTAATAGCAATAGAGGGGAAACCTGGGCAGCTTTCTTTAATCATTTGTGGATTTATGTGGAAAAGACGTTATTACATTGTACAAGCAGAGACCACCCAGTGTTTTATGGCTTCACACACCCACACAGCAAAGCCTTACCCTTAAAACATAACAACAGGAGTAGCACAAAGATGTATAGTCCCATATGTATCCAAAGGTGTGCCAAGGAATTTAACAGAACATACAGAAATCTTGTGAAATTAGGAGTAATGCGACCATAAGTGAACGCCATTTGTTATCATCTATGTGACAGTCCAAACATGGTGGAAATGAATGGAGCAGAAAGTCAAAGGCATCATAAGATCTAGCACTGCAGAGACATACGCACAGCTTATGTCCATACATGGGCAGACCGATGCTCATGGTCCAGCTCTCTTCTATTGTAACTCCTGGACGGGTTTGTTTTGTATGGCTGTTCTCCCATTAGGTGTGTACTTTATAGTCAGCGGGGTAAGACTTTGGCATTGGCAGTTTAGTTTAACATTTCTGGACCAAATGTGTGAGAGAGGCAGGAAGGAGGTCTCAGGAGGGCAGTGCATTTCTGTGGTATGGCAAGAAACTGCTTATGCTGTAGCTTTGGTAATTTTGGTTTAATTGTGATTTTGTTTTGCTTTTTGTTATTAATAGGTTGTGAATATTAGTAACTATGATCCAAATGTGAGTCTTGGTTTAGCCATGTATTTGTTTTGACCTAGTTTAACCTGGACTAGTGATTTAAAAGTGCACTAGGCCTATCTGAGATTCAGCAGAGGGGCAGAAACCTTCTCCATGGAGATGTTCCTGTTTTGCCTGGAATGTTCCAAAGTATGCCTTATGCTGCATTCATGTGGTCCTTGGGAACTCGGGATTCTGAGAGGAGATGTCAGGGTTCTGACTTGTTTGCGTTCATGAGGTTGTTTTTTTCACTTTGAATCATTTTAGTCTTTTCATCTTCATTTATTCACATGCTTTTATCTCGGAAAGTCGGGATATTGACGTCACCATCACTAAAATCACAGAGCCGCTCATTAACAGTGTTTAAAATCTACTAGCTTTCTAAACTAACTAAGCGGTGATTTCCGTTCATCTCCACAAAGCAGTGACGTCAAGTGCAGAACACGGGCAGACGTATTTGGCCCAAGTTCCCAAGTTGTTTTTCCAACTTGAGCTCCAGTCATGTGCATTTTTCAACTCGGAAAAACATTTTCCTAAGTTCCCGAAGACCACATGAACGCAGCATTAAAACCCATATATCTCCATTGAGACGGGTAAATGAAGCCAAGGTCAAGTATTTATTTAATTTTTTTGGAATTAAATGCCTGAACTGAACAAATCTGAACAAATGCAAGATTGTGGCGCTTATGCCATACAACATTCCAGGCAAAGTAATAATATACCAATGTGACTTTCATAGATCACCTTTAAATGCAATAAGTTTTCTTTCTGTTACACCATCTGTGGTGGAGGGCGGGTCAAACTCTTATGGTAGAATCTGTCTTCAAACTGTCATATTGCAGATGTTTTGACTTGGTTTATGGAGTACCTCTGTAATTACATGAAAACTGGCACAAAAGGTCAAGGTCTTCTCTGTTTGCAAAAAATGTGCAACTTCTGTTTGGATATTACTTTCCAAAAATGTCATCTGCCTGACATGATAATTACTATATTGACTTGTTCAATATGTTATATTTATCGTGGGTACATCTAGCTTTGTAGTGGTGAGGAAGGTTTTGTTTTTTTTCTGTGCTACACTAAAATATGAGTTGTAAATTGTGTTGTAACTGAATAGGTCACGTTCACGTACAGAAAAATAGAATTTGAAATACATGATTCTGATTCGTTTTTTTTCTAATTCATTTTAGTTAATTCTAATCCTGTATATTATGCATGGAGTTTTGCTTACTCATACAGACATTACCATAAGAACATGATAGTGTTAAAAGACTGTGTTTAATTTTTGTAGTTTAAAGTCAAAAGGCCAGAGATCCCACTGATTATGGGACAGAATGATAAATCACCATGGAGACAGAAATCCAGCTGTATCTCCATGACGAAGAACCCAAACATTCCACTGTGCTCCCACGTTAAGCTCCCACATGTGTGCAGCAGTAAAGGTGTATCGGAAAGACATATGAGAGAGATAAAAAAAAATATTTCCACTCTCCCAATGTCCAATTCCCAGGTCAAGGTTATTTTTTATGTACTATTATCAGATTTCTATAAAGCTAGATGGATTATGTGTCTTTGAGGTAGCACATATGTATGCTATAAGCGCAATGATCAATATTGGATGTCCAAAATATAGGCTTACAGCTGCAAGACTTTATCACAAAAGAAAATATAAAAGTGTATGAAAATGTTATCTAAAAAGAAGGTATAAGTTGTGCCATAAGTTATACATTTTCAACCATTTCATTAAAACATTACTAAACCTATATTATGATATTTTCTGATCTAAGTTATAATGTCGTTTCCTCATCAAAAACATATATGGAATTCTGTTTTGTGAATGAGTGTGAATAAAAGAAAACGTAACTCCAGATATGTTTTTCAGGAGGTAACAGAGAATCACAAGAATCCCTTTTGTGTAATACAGAACCTTTAAGTGTTACTCAAGGCAAGAAAAACAAGCTCAACAACAGGCCCTAATAAAATTAAATGGACAATTATTCTTCTTGAGCAAAACAAGTTACAACACCAATGGAGCAAACTAATTGGACTCACAATGAAAACACAATGTATAGACTTTTGTGTTTGGATGGGCAGTGGACCAGAAACGAGGAATGCACAAATAAAGCATGGTGTGAGAAGCCAAGAAAAGAAACCTGAGTTAAGACACACTGAGGTCGGACAAAGGTTTGTGTACCTGTGTTATAAGCCAAAGCTGACACGGGGCTCTTTTGTGGAAGCATGCTTTTCATTCGTGTTGCCTCTTCAGGATGATTGAACCGGAAGAAATAGGATTTGCCCAGACACAGCGAGTAACCTGCAAAAAAGAAACACACAAACTTAACTTCCTCTTCATCATTGAGATTTATAAGCCATGTATTCTTTATATATTTGGCCTTTGAATGGGACCAGAACTCAAGATACAAAACCTTTATATTACTGTGTTTTGTATTGTAGGGATAGGCGACAGCAGGTCCAGTATTGAAAGTTTAGAAGACATTTGGTACAATTTTCTTCTTCTGTTCCAGTCTAGGTGTGCCTATGTGTCAGTCCTAGTTTGTCTTCAGTGCATTTCGATGATTAGGCCTGTCATGATAAATACATCAACTTCATAACTTTTGGGAGTCAGTTTTTATTTAGGGGACTTTCTCTTTGTACTGATTGGAAATTTTTGGTTATTATTCTGTATTATGATACGATTTGAACTGCAGAAGGTTGAAATCTGAACTTTTATGACTCATTATAGATACAAACTTAGTACTTAAGTGTTGCATTCTGTCATTTATTTATGGCAGCTCATATTTTTTACAATATTGTACATTTTGAATACTTTTTGGGGGATAATTTCGCTTTATGTTTTGATTACAATATTATTGCTTATTGTCTATATCTACTTTGGCATTTGTACTGTCATGACAGCTAATATTTTATTTGATGTAGGCCGATCATTATCTGCTCAAAAAAGTCCATATCGAACCCTCCCTATCGCATTGTCTACTGTGATTTATGTCTCATCCCACATCTATTCTTTCTAAGTCGAGAGTTATTTCAGGAAGCACATTTGGCATTAAACCGATACAAAATACAAACAGCTGCACACAAAAAGTCATGGCAATGTGATTGTCAAATATTATGAATGACACTGTTTAATAATATGGATGGGATACAATTTCCAACAGATGAGACATGAGATGCAGTCTATGTGAAAAAGACAAGGTAAGATTTTGACTAAAGACAAAATAAACTAATTGTACAGGTCAGTTCACAATTTTGGCCTTATCATTTTTTATTTATTTGATTTTATATTCTTATCACCATTGCTTTTTGGAACTACAGCTTCTCAAAGTACGTAACTCAGCAAAGCGAACCCTTTACTGCAAATGGAAATGTAAACACATGGATCTCAAGATAATTTTTTCTCATTCGTGCACAGTCTATTCTCAACCCAAACTACTGAAAGTGTTGACAGTGAGTAGAGCTTTTACAATACAGTTTAAGTGTAATAGAGAAACAGTTAGTCCAGTTTTGAATGTAAGCCCGTAAAGCCACACACATAAACGCCTGCTTGTGGTGATTTTGTCAAAGCCATGCCGGGACCACAGTGTTTACTCTGGCCATCATTTAAGGAGAGAGAGCCAGGTATTAAACAAGATGTCAGGGTCACAACCTCTGCAATACACACAGCCAACCACAGCTGTCCAAATACTTCTGTAGAGACCGAGAGAGAGACACACGCACACAGGAGGGCCGACATAATGCAGAGAGGAGCAAAAATAAATACGGATACAATGATGCATATTCTAAGGAGGAGCAGAGTCTCTGTCACTGTTATGCACGTGTTTCTTCTCCCATTCAGATAAGCATGACAATACTCCCCAGTTCACATACAAGTGTGAAAAGTCTGTAATAGTCCTGTTAAAGTTATACCAAATTCCTTAGACCTAAGTCACACATAAAAACAGTTTTAGTGGAAGAGAGTAGGTCATAAATTAGAATCAGATCAATAGTCCAATGAGGTTCATTTGGTCTTCTGATAATTTATGCTATTAGGTTCTTTTTTCAGACCAAGAGTTTGTTTTCATACCTGACCGTTTCGACAGCTCACTAGCGCTCTTCCTCAGAGTGGTCACATGATGCACCTGTATAAATCAACTGACCGGACATGTCACAGCAAACATCAGGTGACCACTCGGACGAAGAGCGCTAGTGAGCAATCGAAACTGTCAGGTATGAAAACAAACTCTTGGTCTAAAAAAAGAACCTAATAACATAGAATCAGATCAACATTAAAGGGCTAATTTAAAAAAATACCGCTTCCTGACATCACAAGTTGGAACGGAGCATTTTGAGCTTTGTAGATGTAGGACCTTTCAACTGACCAGCTCATATTCTCAAAACACAAAGGTAGGGTGAGGTAATTATTTAGGCAATAGAATGTCTTATGTTGATGATGACAAGATATATTTTATTTTTATGTATAAACCTCTAAACTCGCCTCTCCACAGATTTGACCTGTAACTTGGTCTGGATTGGTCTCCATGAAGACAGAAAGATTTAATACCAACTATGAAATATTCCAGACAAAGCAATAACATCTTCATGGAGAAAAGCATTTGACGTTGTGTTTAAAATGTACACTGAACATGAACTGAACTGCAAATCTAACCAAAGTCCTTGAACTGTTATTTTCCCCAAAATCCTGCAGCTCTGGAGAAAACAGATGCCAAAAATGGAGTGAATGAAAAAAAAAAGTTCAAATTATTCATCGTTCTCTCTTATTTTCTCTCTCAAACCAAATCGTCCGTTTAACACGAACAAACCCAAATGCAAAGCTATAGTTCACCTTAAAGAGGTCATACCTGTCTAGACATCACTGGAGATTACCATGTGTGCAGTCCAAGCAGATTTTTACCTTCAAAGCAGTAATTTCTAAACACACAAAAGAGACCTGGGGTGAGGTAGAGCCAACCAACACCACACACACACACACACAGACACACACACTCGAACACACTGACACACACATTCAAACGATGTATGAATGTTTAGTCTACACAGCTGGAGTGTGAAGCCTTCAAATATATACTTTTGTAAACACTATCTTGTCCAACTGCGATGAAAAAGTGGCACCATGACACAGAAAGATCAAAAGGAAGTTGAAGAAAAGAGGAGCGTGTCTGGACCTGTGACAAAACAAGCCTGATAATGATATGTTGTCATTAATAGTCATTAGTAATACTGTATTTGTGATTTTAACAGGCATGTCCCAACAATGTCTCTGAGTCACAGTAAGGCTGGATATTTTAACAGTAAACACACGCGCACACAGGCACACCGGGCACATTGCCAGATCTTGTAAAAATCTCATTTCCGAGTCTCTCCAGCCCTGCCATGTGCCACCTTTAAAGCGCAGTTAAATTGTGTTGTGCCCTGATTTAGTGATTTACTAGCCAGACTGCTGAGATGCCTGTTTTAATGTCCCTAACTCCTTTGCTAACAAATAACAACCCGCTAATCCTTTCTCCTCCTACCTCAGCATAAAAGGAAAGGGCCATAAAAGTGTTTGTGAATTAAATTAGCACTAGTGTTTGATGCGCAAACATTATTTTCAACGTGTTTAATTTAATTTAAGTCTAACATATCTATAATATCTAACATCAGTGCCACAAAGCAAAGTATCCATGTAGGGCTGCACAATTCTGGAAAAAATATCTAATTGTGATTTTTCTATTGCGATTCAGATTATATTTGCAGAATATGTTCAAAAAGTACAATTCTTTTCATAGTGCACATTATACGCAACTCCAATAGCATTAACATTTGAGGAAAGACTGAAATATGAACTTGTAGTACAAGTTTTTTCAATAAAAAGGCAGGATATTTAGTTTCGTAGTATTTAGTTCTCTGCTGTGGATATTGTATTATATTAAAAATGCTGTCAAATTGCAGTTTCAGTTAGATTGCGATATACAGTGCAGCCTTAACCCAAACGCATAAATGCCACTTAAAAAGAAATATATTTTGAACTATATATATAAAACTACAACTATTATATAGCCTTTATAAAACTTGATATAACTTGGTCCAATAACATCTGGTAAAAGCAGAACACCCCAATCCAATCAAAACTGTAATCTTAACAGGCTCCACACTGCCAACATTTAAGACATTTGTCAGAAATAACTACAGAAACACATGCTCTCTTCACACATAAATAGACAATCCATCCACAACAAAAAGCATCTAATCTGCTTCACGTGTTTGCTTATTTACCCATAAACCCAATTTGCCTCCCATGTTGGAAGTGTGTCCCTGTCATCCACATGTTATAGTAAACGCCAAAATGTACAAAAGTTGAAATTAGTCTGTATACATTTATAGGATAATTTAAAGTTTGCGATCTACAAAGTCAGACCTCAAGAGCTTTGAGGAGACAGATGTAGGAGCTGTGTAGGGTCTGGAGCCAATTTCAGTCCCCAGTAAAAGATTGGAGTAAACCTAGGAACACTTACCACAATGTTATGGGATGGGAAACTTAAACTACTTCAACGTAAGTGGATGAAGTGACAAATTAGACCTATTAACTTTGAATGAATAATAAACCAACAACCCATGACACACACTCAGTCTTGTACAAAACTTTGTTACAGTGCTAATTGATAAGATACTCTGAGTAAAGCATGCCAGTCTTTTCCATTATAATTAAGTTCAGGAATGCTAAAAATGTTGATGTTTATTTTTAGAGTTGTGCCACAGACAAACGTCAGGCCATTTACTTTTCCTCATTCATAGAAAGACAGAAATGCATTCCTATGGGACTCAATTGGCCGGAAAACCACAAGTAAACCTCGTCAGGGGATCAAGGGTCCAGGAGCAAAATCATAAAACAACACTGGTCTGTCTCAAGGGACCTCTGGCAATTAGTTTAGGCACTCGCTCAGTTTAGACTCCCTTCTCCTCACATGACTACAAATATAGCGAATATGTAGGGAAATATAAAAATAAAAGTATAAATCACATTGGCATGTTTTAAGTGTAAAAAACATTAGCGCTTAAGGCAGAGAAAAAACACAATGCATTTATGAACAAAGTAGGTTTTTCTTTCAGGTGTCAGGTGGCGGAGCAGTGTCTGTCTTTATAGCCACAGGCGACTGCTCCTTTGTCGCATGGACTCATGGCTGCCTGTGAACTTGCCTGATTATTTATGGCCCCGAGGAGCACCCAGGTCACTTTCATCCAAATGTGCAAAAGACTTTCTACAACAAAGATCTGAAGAAAGAAAATGTGTCCATGAAAACTAAATGATAATCAAATGCAGTAGGCCTACATAAAACACTCTCAATGTGTAACTGTGATAGAGCAAACCCAGTGGAATGTAACAAAGTAAAAGAAGTACAATACTGTACTTAAGTACTATACACCATTTTAGGTATTTGTGCTTTATTTTAAGACATTTTACAGTGGATACTTTATACTTTACTAAATTTGAGAGCATATATCTGTACTTTCTACTCCATTATATTTTTGAACAGGATATAAAAGTGAAAGTGTTTTCAATTATTGTTTGAAACCTGCTGAAAAGGCGCAGTATTTATTTTTAACATGTTCATAGTTTGAGCAAACAAAAATAAACAAATAGGAAAAAGGCAATTGTTTCTGTTGAACAAAATTCTTTATCAAAATCACTACGTTTCAATCTATAATCTATAATCAAATATTTTAACTTTTTACTCTTTAAGTACACTTTTAAATGGGTATCTTACTACTTTTATTTTTTGTGTGTGATACTTTTACTTGTTTTTTGTTTTTTTTTTGCTCCAGTATCTGTACTTTTTCTTAACTAATAAAATTGATTACCTCTTCCACCACTAAGCAAACTTCAGAAAACCTTGGCAGTGAGATTAAGCAATACAGTGACTGGCGATGAGCCCTAAGCATCACAATAACAGAGAAATAGTGTAAAATGCCACTTTTTATTTATAACACCTGTGCAGAGGCATATGTTTAACCATGGGCTTTGTTCAAAATACCAGCTGATGTGCAAATGATCATCAAACTGAATAATAAGGCTTGTAGGATAAGTATATTCACATTGTGGTTAAAAGCAATTACAGCCTGTCCTTCATTATTGATGGAGCCATAGGGGAAAAAAAGCGTATAAACTGCACTGGGGACTCATGAAATCCCACGAAACAAAATAACAATAACACAATTGCGAAATGTTACCAACTGGCTGTAGTCGCAATAAACACATATACAAACATTAGACTTATACTATTTTAATACCATGTCATAAAGTAGAAATGCACAGACAATGCAGCATCAAAATTACCTTTTCAATTGTTGCATGAGCTACCTTTCCGTGTCCCATTCAGTGAGCGTCAGGACGGTGGATCGCCTTTAGAGTTGCCGTGTTTCTCGTAACATCTACAGCGTTTTTCCCGGTAGATTTGCGTTGTTCCCTTCTTGTCCTCCTCCTCTCAGTGATGGGAGACGGGACGCCCTGCCTGCTTGCCCCGTTTACCCTGCGCCTCGGAAGAAAGTTCACTGATTTACCGTGGCCAGCTCCGAGCCCGGGCTGTACCATTTCCCAAAGGAGAGGGGTGTGTCTCTTGTGGCACTCGTTGGTATTTCACAAAGAGGTTTTAAATTAGATTGACAATTATTTCACAGTAAAAGAAGTATATTAATAAATCTGATTGAAACACCCAAATTTGCCAAATGAAATACTTTAGATTGGCGTTTCTATATTTGGTAGTGGCCAAAGCTAATAGACAGTGAGGTATTTGGTAGACGCCCCCTCGTCTTCCCTTTGTCTGCTTTACCTTCCCTGCTCCTTTCTGTGAGATACAAGCTAAAGGTAGAAATTATATAAACAAAAGTATTGAGGTAGCAGGCTTATACATAATACATTAAATTTTAACCCTATACTGTCTCCCACAGTCTTTCATCCAGGTGTAGGTCTTTTGTTAATGCAGATTTTTTGCTGAGTGAGTAAAAGGGAAAGTGACTTGGAGCAGCTCTGTTTTGTTTGGCTGGTGGATTTGCATATACCTTGGTCAATGTGCCCAGTCAGAGTTTGAGGTTTGCAGGCTAATTTACATCAGTGTGAACTTCAAACCAAAACAAAAGATTCATTCAGACTAGAGAACAAATTAGACCAGTCCTCTTGTGTAGAGTTTCAAATAGGCTAAACTTGATCAAGTTACGTAAATGAACATATTACCAGTAATTTGTAAATAGATTATAGGACTTTTCCATAATGCAAAAGATGTTACTACATTTGCATCAGTAGGCCTAGTTTGAAAGTTGTAGTACTACTCTAATAGTAACATAGTAGGGGTAGTAATAGTGGCACATCCTTTTGAAATGTATATTCAAAACACATTTGCATCAGTAGGCCTTGTTTTCAAAGTTGTAATAACAACAGTAATATGTGTAGTGTAGTATAGCAGGAGTAATAGTAGTAGAAGTAGTAGTTACAGTGGCACATATTTAGTTAATCTTTGAACAATGCTTGAACTGGGAATTCCTACTTGTGAACAGAGAGATGATCAAGGGACTTCTGGTTCACACTTCATGAGTTAAAATGTGATGTAATACATCAGTGCTAATCACAACAACAAGTGCATCTGAGAGGTTAACTACCACTTAAATGGTGTACTCATCTGATATCAATTTAATCTGAATAAATGTGGTAGATATAGCATCCTAATTATTCATTTTCAGTGAATGTCTTGTTCCTTGTCTTTCATGTGATGACAGATATTTTGATTACTATTGCGCAGGTCAAGAAGATGTCCAACTTTCAAATTATGTGATTTCAGGCCAAACTCCGAAGTCCCAAATACAGAACAGATCACTTCCTAAACATAGCTAATGATCTCCAGATTCTGAGCTGACGGTGGGCGTGTGTGTGTGTATGAAGGACTTGTGGTTTTGACTCAGCCCATTTGGATATTACTCCAAGATCCCCACTCTCCCTTTTTCAACATTGTTCCAACCAATGCTCTTTAAGATGACTTTAAGCCCTCCTTTTTTAGCCGTTTCTATGAAGTTCTTTTCTTTTCACAGTTCATTGGCACTGTGGAGACGTACCAAGATGATGTCAAATATTTGAATCAGCTTCTCACAGTGGGAAGATAAATAAACCTGTCAATAGTTAACACAAAATGACCCAGGGACGTAGTACACAATGAAAAGAAGCAAAGTGTAAACAGAAAGCAGGCTCCATGGAGAGGAATAATCTATTTAAATATATTTGTCAATAGGAAATCTAGCCTAAGAAAAAGTACATATTTGTTTAGAGTCAAGAAAGTACCAAAAAGTAAAACTGTGTGAGGAGAGAGGGCAGAGGATTACTAGGAACAGATAAGCAGATAAATACTGGCGGACAAGAGGCAGACCCCTGAACGGTTAGGTCAACATAGATAAGAATACATTGACAAATAACAGATAAAACTCCATTCTCCCTGCTACAGTATCTCAAATGTTTTCCCCAGTTTCACAACACACTGTTAGATGCAGGCTCTGCACTTTATGGAAGCTGTGACTCACAAGTAAGCCAGCTCTCTCTCTCTCCAAACCACAAGTACACACAAATTAAATACAGAAATACACACACACACACACACAGTTTCGATATGTTGTGCAAAAAAGACAAACACATGGTCTCTGCAAGAAGATTTACTAAGCTTGGATAATTCTCCCATCACACAACGTCAGCCATTTCATGTCATCTGTATTACATGTGCCCTTAGCAATGCAATTTTTACCAAACCTCAAACTAATTGCTTAGTACTTTCTGGCACTCTCACTGCAAAAAGGGTTGAAAGATTCCAGTAAGCGTACGTTTATCAAATCCACCAGCAGAGGGTGCTATTTCAACACCAGCATTTGTGTGCTAAACCTCAGCCAGTATTCTCTCTTTGTGTTTAATAGGCCTTTGCTTGAACTTGGCCAAGCATGAATGAAGGATGTAAAAAAGGGAAACAAAACAAGACCAAACAACGTTGGCATCCAGAGGCGGCGCTACCATTAGGCAAAAAGCAGGCTGCTGCCTAGGGCCCCCAAACTTGTAGGGGCCCCCAACCAATTGCCCTCACTGCTGCTGATGGCCGACGCCTCAGAGCAACTTGATTTTCTCTCAATATGACATTAAATGAGAGTAGTTTATGATTAAACAATAATCATAAGAAAAATAATAATCATATGTAATGCATGTAAACAAAAATTTAATTGTACTAGCAAACCCCCCCCCCCCCCCCCCCCCCCCCCCCCCCCCCCCCCCAAAAAAAAAACTCAGTTCTAGTAGGCTTCCTAACTAATAATACAAGTTTCCAATCCACCATGTTTCAAATAAATAGAGAACAATGGGGAAAAACAGACAATAAATACATATAGAAATTTTAAAAATCTGCATTATAGTGAGGGCCCCAAACTCAAGTTTGCCTAGGGCCCCCAAATTGCTAACTCTGCCACTGTTGACATCATATTATCTGTTTAAACTACATAACAGTAAAACACTCTCTTAAAACTGTTCAGCCTTTTTTCTGACTCACTGATCCTCTAACAGGCAACATTATATTATAAAGATTTGCCAGGGGAAAAAAGAGTTCAACATTCTTACCCTGTGTGAGTGGTGTTGGCACAGTGACTTGCACCCCGTCCAGGCTGCAGAGGTGGCCACATGGGTCTAATGTCACAACTCCGCCTGGTAAAATAAAAGAAGTACTGTCATACTGTCATCAATATATTTCATCATTGGTCAATCACAATTTTCATTTTCAGTTTAGTCTTATTAAAACAGACTTTTAATAATTGCCAAGTTTCTTCCTCCTACTGTGAACCGCTCAATTAAAAGGATCCAGATGTTGTTTCAAGAAATCAGAATGTAATTAATCTCAAAGCCTTAGTCCATGGCAATATTATGTAGACAATTTGCTTCTTATATTTACCTTCATTAAAGATAAGACAGTGTTCTGCCTCAATGCCAGGTCCTTCAATTGTGATATCTTGTGGAATGGGGGCATCATCTCGCCCTATACGGGTCACGCCTGAAAAACAAAACAAAAACAAAACATTTATAGATTAAAGTTATAGGGCTTCTTTCTGACCTCACTGACCTTTACATGCCAGTGGGGCTGTTAAACCAATTCCAATTTAATACAGTGTGAAAGGCTTTTGAACTGCAGAGGTAGTCCAGGTCAATGCTAATTCTTGTCCAGCTTCAAAGACACATTAAGGATCTCCAGATATGGGCTGTTCACATTGTCGACATTCCTCACTGAGATGGAGAGACATGGCAGCCGGAGGAAAGGGGAAGTATTTGGGAAACTATGTGGAATTCTGATAAAGGAACAATAATGTGAAAGTATGCAATTTATTACTTGACTGGCATCTTGTGTTTTGAATAATTGAAGTGTGTAATGACAGGATCCTCCAATGTACACTTTCAGATTAACTTAAAAGTAAGGAAAAAACAAGCAGATAGTGTGTCCTATAAATGGCATAAAATTGATTAAAATACAATTATTTCCCAATTCAAAGCATACCATAGTTGATTTATTAGCCAGTTTTTGACATTTACAACTTGAACTGAATAACTGTGCTAACAAAGTGGCCCTGTTTCCTATTGAAAATATAATGGGAGCTTTGTGAGACAAGACATAGCTATCCTCTATTTAGGACTTAGGATAGATTTCAAGTGTTTATCTACATGAGATAGTATAGTTCTAATTTGTCCAAAATATGTTTTACAAGTAGGTTCTAAATCTCAGACAGTGGTGTTAAATCAGGGCTAAAATATGTTGGCTGGATACTGGAATTTGTAATGAAGCTTCAGCACCTGTGGCTGTCTGCAGTGTTTTTATGCAAAACGGAAATAAGACACCTGTGGACCTATGATGACAGAATACTGTTATAATCACCATTACATCATCCACAGGTATTAAAAGTGTCAAAGTGAAGTCAAAGTAGTTTAGAACTTTCGATTGTAGGAAAGTTGTCCATGTTGCCAGTGATTAAAGGTTTTATATTGCACAAAATTGACTTGTGAGCTTTAAACCATGTTAGAATGTTGTTCCCTCATCAAAAACATACCCAGAGTTGTGGTTTGTTTCATTCACACATGTTTGAGTAACCCTTTATTATTAGTCTATCTACATCTCCCAAGCTCACAATCCTTTCGTCCACCTTGTGATTTCATTTAAGTTAATTTAAAGTTACAGTGACCTTTTATTTTTTGTTCAGTACAGATTTTCATTCTAGTCAAATGATTCTGGTGAAGGTATATGGAGTTTAAAAACAGAGTGCAGCACTTCCTCTGTTACCACATGACATCACAAGGTGGAAGGAGTGTTTTCTGTTTGAGAAAAGAACTAAATATGCAGGATCTGTGTGTTAAACATGTGTGCATGAAACAAAACACAACTCCATGGATGTTTTTGATTATAACACGGGCCCTTTAAAACTACAAGTAAACACTGGCCTTATCAATGACTCAACTTAAATGTATTCATGAAAAAGTATTCAAGTGCATTTCCACTGTGGACATGGTAACTAAGCTGATAGTTGCATTAATCATTGTGAAAACTATAATTTCACGCATAATGTGAATTAGCCCATGTTATGTTATGTACCATGTTTCTGCAGTCCTTACCTTCCTTCAGTGGTAACACAGTGATCGCAATACTGAGCCTCCCACTGCCCAGGCTGACCAGATGAGGAGAGGCAGTCTGGACCTTTAACCCTTTCCCAGTGTCAATCAAGTCCAAGGGCGGCGACTAGACAACACACAATGGAAAAGGAAACTCTATACTTAAACTAAACACAATAGAGGTACGTTGAGTCATTTTGAAACCTACCTTTGGTTCATCTTGATGTATCTGGTCTGACTCTGGTTGGAACATCATCTCAGAGTTCTATGGTAAAAAAAAACAGGCAGTTTTAGTTAAGTTTTTTTGTTATTCCACAAACAGCATCAAAAACAGCTGTTTTGCTTGCCCAGCTGCCACATTAGAGGGTAAATCTGTGCGAACAGGCTCCAACTGGAAAGTACCACACCAAACCAGATGCCAAGTAATGAAAATATCAAAACAAGCAATTACGTATAATTGAGTTTTACTGACAGCATATTGGTACAATCATTCAGCATGTTGTCATGTGAGCGAAACTTTTGAGCAACATAGTAAAACTGACTATCTTTGAAAAAATAGACCTAGACAAATATTGTGTAAAAAGAAATATTTAGTAGTAGATACAGTAGTAAGTAGAAGTAAGTAGTAGATAGAAGTGTTAGCAGTAATAACATTGGTGGAAGAGGAGCTGTAATAAGTATTAGAAATGGTAGCTCATTGCAATAATAATAATGCCTTAGATTTATATAACACTTTTTGGACTCAAAGATGCTTCACAATACATTATTCATTTATTTCACACTTGTTGGTATGGTACTATTGGAGCCACAGCTGTCCTGGTACTGACAGGCAGAAGCAATGCAGCCAATGTGAGCCATCAACCCCTCTGACCATGACCAATGTGCACACACAACACATTCATACTTTAATAAAACAATGGTAGTAGTCAAAGTAGTAGTATACAAGTAAAAGTAGCAGTTGTATTAGTTCTAGCAGTAAAAAAAAATCTAGCCTTTAACTCAGCAACACTGGAAATCATAGTACCAAACTCAAGTACAGTACAACCGGAAAGAAATTATCAACTACAAAGAGACATGAAAACATTGTGTGATTAAATGGAAAATACAGTGGTGTGGCCCATGTAAACACTCAGATCTGGTGCCAGGGACTGCCTCGCTCTAACCTTCAATTTGAACAAAAACAGCCTGGAAATGCTTCTCGCCAAAGCACAGATGATTACAACACGTTGGAAACCACTCCAACCACTTCTTCTTGCACCTTCAGCCAATATTTAGTCTAAACACCTACTCTCTTTCCAGCATCTCCCCATGTATTATGGAAACACAGCAGTGATTTGATGTGCATTCAGTCAGAGGTGCAAAAAACCCTCCTTTTTTCTTAATTACAAGAAAACATAAAAAATGCATTGGGACTGTCTAAAAATATATTAAGTTAAAAAATAAGCATAGTGTTCATAACTTATAAGCCTTGCTTTAGGATAGGGTTGTCAAAAAAAAAGATACCCAGAGCTTGCCTGGAATCCAGAATACACAATCTTCAGTTTTTATGAAGATGTGGGTCTAGTCACCAGTGAATTTCCCTATTTTCAATGGGCGTGATTGACAGGTGAATTAGCCAAACAGGGACACACTTGGTTCACCCTATTGAAAAAAAATAAAACAAATAAAAATATATATCACAGGGAATTGAAAAACATTGCAGATTTCTGTAGAATCAACGAGTGAAGCTCTACACTCTGTTAATCTGAGGTGAGATAAATAAGATTTGATTTGTAATTGAGAGATGACCAGTGAGCTCCTTCATTTCACATGCATCCCTGGAAAAACACATCTGACTGCACAATTACGTTTGGTCGGGCTTGAGACGCAGCGGAGGGCGTAGGGACCAAACTGACATAAATCTGTATAAAAAATACAGGAAGATCCCCAAAAACCCAGAGTAATAATAAAAGAAATCATTTGAGCGAGTATGCAAAACAAATTAAGAGGATGAAATTGGACCTTTCCTGTATAGTTTTAGAATGATTAATCTTTGTCAAAACTGTGTAATCCAAGTTGCTTCTTCAGTTCTGAAGTAGTATGAAAATTATAGTGACAAAGTACATTTTCTAGTATTGTCAGTCGCTATCATTTGTTCGGATCCCATTTTCCACAAGATCTGCTGTCTCTTTTGCTCCAGTCACTAAAAGAGGAAACACAAATCAAGGCCAGATCCAGTTTGTTTCCTTTAATTCACTGCTGCTTCCTTTTTGAGGTCATTTCCTATGGCACTCTGACACCCACACCGATCTTTAAATACCCCTCACACTAACACACCATAGACGACCTTTATAACCCGCATCGAGGGGCAAAACACACACAAAACAGTCTCACATGGCCTCTGCTCTTATCACATATAACCTCACATTCCACTGACTTTTGTGTTGCCAGTGTAGACACAGCAAAGTGAGGTAAACCTGAGGAGGAAGATGTAGGCCTATTCAAATCCAGTTCAAGATTTGGGAGCTAAAGTCATTTGTTATTTTACTTGTCAAACATCAAGATTACTGTTTTTACTTTTACAAATAGTCACACCAGCAGTCTCCAAACATTTTCCTCTGGCAAGCTACCTTTACAAAATGAAAATCCCAGAAAGCATTTCAGTAGTTACAATAAAATCTGAATATATAAGAGCCAAGAGAGATTTACTGTGGTAATTAATCAAATGTTAGTTATTCAGCACATAATTTAGAAATCCCTTTGTGAGCTACTTGGGTTTAGCTTTTCAAAACAGTTCAAAAGATACAATATTTTGCTTTACTTGCTTGGAAACAATGGCATTTTTTGGGACTGAAACCCATAAATGCTGACTACCTACTTAGAGTAAAATTACCATAACTATTAGTACCACTATATTACTGCAGATGTAAGATACTGCTAGTTTTATGAATACTGTTGTGCAGGGTTAGATGAATCATTTGAATATTTGTCTTTCAAAATTCCAGTAATTCATTTAAGTAATAGAATTACTTAAAATATGACTTGAGTATCATAAGTTCAGTGAGGCGTATTATGAGTCTAGTTTGCCTGTGTAGTCATCAAATATTTTCTTTAGTCTCATGTTACTCCTTGTTGCCCTGTCTGCCCTGTACCTCCCTCCTGTTGCCCCCAGTCTCTTCAGAATGGGCAGGTCTGGACAGGTCTGTTTGTGCTCTATATTTCGTGGAGCAGTGAAGTGTGTCAGCTGCCCCAGTCCTGATGTAGGATACTGATTAGAGATTACAGTAAACAGCCAAATCAGATAGTTGGGACCATATCTGATCCACATTCTGTTAAGATGCACACATAGCCTGTATAATAATTTGAGCAAGTTGCAGGTTCCTTGTTGATTCTTCCTGCAGCAATATGGCGGTACTTGAGCTTTCAACTCTACAGACTTACTCCTGGGTTACAAATGACACTGCATTCTACAGCCCTTATGTTTAAATAATCCTATATTATGCAAAATTGACTCTCTTGAGCTTTTAGCCATGTTACAATGTTGCTACCTCATCAAAAACATACCTGAAGTTGTGTTTTGTTTGATTCAAGTTTAAGTAACCCTTTATTATTAGTCTGTCTACATCTTCAAAGCTCAAAATGCTCTCTTCCACCTTGTGTGAGTTCAGTAGAAATGGTCAATTCCAGTGCTGGAATTATCCAAATTATTCTAATGAATGAGTCTGGGGTTTACAGTGGAGCAGTGTATTACCACATGACATCACAAGGAATGAAACAAAACACAACTCTGGGTATGTTTTTGATGAAGAAACTTAACATAGATCAGAAAAAAGCGAAATATGGGCCCTTTAAAATGGATGAAGTTATTTCTATTACAGATTTTTTGGCAGGATAACTACTTTGTACCTTGTAATATGAATTGTTAAGACAAACGGGTGTCCATTTATTCAAACTGTATAATCAGGGATACTGGCTCCAGCCCCGATCTCACAGTCTGAAAATTAAAACCAAATTATTTCACTGTCTGTAACGTAAATAGCTTTCTCAATAAAGTCTCACTGCTCTCTCTCTTGTCTCGTCTGCCTCGCCTTGAACTGCAGCTGGTTTGAGTAAAAAGGTTATGACAGGCCTGCTGTGCTCCACCTGCCCACCACCAGAGGCATACGGTTAGAGACGAAATATCTGAGCTCCAGGCATTGTGGGATATTACAAGAAGAAGCTGCCAAGAGACTGGAGAAGCAACCACTCACTGAAGAATTTGTGTCAATATTTAAACCTAATTGGTTGTTGTAAATTTGAGAGTGTCAGTCCCACTCGGTTTGAAAAAAAAAAAAAATGCAAGCAAAACAAAAATGCACCTGGAGCAATACATGTGAATAGTCAGGTTCATGAATATATAGACTTTTAAGATTGATGGATGAATAATATCGGGGTTACTATGAAGGGTTAAATTGCCTTAAATAGAAATTGTAGCTCATATATTACTTCTTCAACTTTTAAGACACAGTATGTAAGTTTGTAGACAGAAAAATACACTAAAAGCATATATATATAGGTCGCAGGTGACATGCCACTAAAAAGTTGCATAATGTACTTTTAAATGAACACACAGTGGAGGCTTTAAAGGTGCATTGTGAAAGAAAAATGATATAAGTGGTATCCTCCTCAAACAGCTTTTTGACCTACTTTTAATAACACTGGCCCTGGTGTTTTATATCAGAACTTTACCCTTCAAGACTTTATTGTAAAATGATTTTCACAAGAAACCATATTTTTCCATCACAAGAAAGCAAATCCACTCTTTGATCCCATGTGTAGAACAGCTGAGTGGCCCTAAAGGTCTCCTCTGCCCCACATCTGGACTGAGAAATGAGAATATACAAAGAGCATGTTGACTTAAACTAGAAGAAGAGTCAATATATCTATTGCTCTTTATCTAATGTTATCACACTATCTGCACTTTTTACTTTTATGCGGCAGTCCTTCCAACTTTCATGTTTATTTATGGGATAGATTGCGATTTTAGTATAAGTATTCTATCCCTTTGGTATTTTAGTATTAGTATTCAGAGTGGTCCTTGTAATAAGTACCACTTGCATACTTCATTCATCATGCCTAGAATAAAAAAGCATTCCACTTAAAAGAATTCCACTTAAATGGATCTTAAAGTCACTTTGTGCAGTGTTGCAATGTGGACACAACTTTGAACAAAATGTACAGAGCATCAAGTTTAATCTCTTGTCAATGAGGAATATCATAGATGCAACAATGTATGGAGCAACAGAAATGCTCCAAAAACTTCAAATCATGCAAAAAGATGCGCAGACTGATACATGTTTTACGTCAGCTGTTCTTCCACACCTAAAATGATAAACCTCTGATATGGCATTTTGCTCAAATGCTTTGTCTATTAGTCTATGATGATTCAACCAGTGTAAAATAAACATTGTACTTTTTGGATTTGTAGTGCATGTACATGTTCTCTGTTCTCTCCATCTCTCTCTCTCTCCTCCCCACCCCTTACATTCCTGGTCCCACCTGACAAAGCCCCCATTGTATCGGAGATGCTGTTTAATATGGAGTCCCTCTCTCTGTCCCTCTCCCTCTGTGGTCACTGCGCCCCTCCCCCTGCTCTATACTCTGCTCTACTGTTTGGTTTGACAGGACAATTATAAGGTACGCTCAGCTGTGGACTGCCATAATTCACCTATGCATGTAAACTTTGCCTCACAGTTTGGAGTGGGGACAAGAAACTAAATACTTTTAATCATGGAAATGCATTTTCTTCAGTAAATGATCTGAATAAATTTTAATGCCACAGTATTCATACAAACCAGGAATGTTCTATTGGAAAAAACATATTGCTTAAGTATATTTAGTAAGTTGTTTCTGATTTATATTCTTTTTTCTATTGTGATATAAACTGTAAGTAAAAATAGCAGCAAGTTGTAGTCATAACAATAGCCAACAATAGTTTTATAACATTAACCAAATTGAAGATTTCATTGCTGAGAATCTCTTCCTTCTTGATTTCTTCTCTTTCTGTCCCTTAGAACAATGTGATCCCCATACAGGAAAACTCGTTATTGTTGTCACAGCTGACTCAAGATGAAAAAATAAAAAAGAAAGGAAAAGGAAACCAAAGATAGCTGTCTGCAGTGTGTGTGTGTATGTGTGTGTGACTGTGGAAAAGCCCAGATTACCTTCTCTCACCATATGAGGGGGATCAGCCCATGTTTGGTTTTGCGAGGGGCAGGATATGACCAAGAGACAAGGGTACATGTGGAAATGAGGATCTGTAGACCACATTAAAAGACACTATATGCGCTCAATATTAAGGGGAGAAGGATTACGATGCACTTTGAGATAGTAAACCAGAGGATCAAAGCCCTATAGCTAAGATTTAAAGTGGTGAAAACTTCCAATTGTAAGATCAGTATGCTCTTTCTGTCATTGCTGAGGATAAAATAAGTGGGTTTGTGAAGTAGGACAGTCAAATCACTATCAATCTCTATCAAAAAGTTAACAATGAAGTAAAAATCTGATTATGTGTGACAATGTACATATACGCCAATAGTTGAACATAAAATAGTTTATCCATTCCCATCTTGTCTTGTCCGTCGTAAGGGGAATACATTATAGAAAACATTTCCAGACACAGGAATTCACAGGCGGAGATAGAGAGAGAAAGCTTCCCATAGAATTGGACCAGGAAAGCTGAAAGGTGGATAACAGATTTCCATACAGTGTAGGCTGCTATTAGACCTGCAGCTTATTACAGTATTGGCATGTTGAGTCCTACCCCAGTCATGAGTCATGCTTTCCAAATCATGGCTACAGGCTACACATTTTGCTCTACAGCAATTTGAGAGCTTGTGACAGCTAATGCAAGATATCATATGTTTAATATTGGTGCTCTTAAGCCACAGTCATTAATGGGACTTAATAATGGGTCATGTTTGGCCATTGACATAGTTGTTAGCGCTGACAGAAGTGGCCAGGGTGAGGTCAGATATGTGTGCTGTGTGGTTAGATGCTCCAGTGGCAAAACCCAACGTAATAATTAGGAGAAAGATTCAAAGCCACAAGTAACAAGATATTGAGACGGCGTTAGTGTATATCCAAGCTTTCATTTAGCCTACGACTCTTGACATTGCTCACACGTGAGTTCAGAAACGTTTGGATATCACAGTCATTAAACTATAACAACAGTCTACCAATATCTGCCATATGCATGTAAACTGAGATAATAATGAGTTTTCCCGCAACGAATTCGAGCAAACTCACCAATAATGATGAAGGTTTGGCCACTTCTGTCATGATGCAGAAATGTGACTGTCCCGAAAAATCCACGACTTACAAAATCGTTCAAAATTCCTCGTTACGTATGTCCAAACTTGGTAATATCACATTTTGGCCATAGTGCGCGCGTCCAGAGCGCACGACGCGCAGCCAGTGGATGTTTAGGAACTCTTTAATCCCCCCCTCACTCACATAGGGGACGTGAACAGTTAAAGCAGAGACTCCAGCAGAGGTATGTACCAACAGCTGGAAGAGAAGAAACAAGGGGAGGGATTCTCGCCTTGTGTGGCTCCGGTGTCACCTCTGCGCGCTCTCGCACAATCAACCCAGCGTAATGGGCAGGTGTTAACGGAGAACTACACTTGACCTATTCTCTCTCCCTCATTGAGTCACTTTAGCCTGTCTTTGACTTTGAGCTGGTTACAAGTTAATATGAGGAATAGACATGATGGAATAGGAGGTATGTATAAATATACTGACCTTATTTGAATTGACAAAAAGAATGGGCTACAACGGAAGAACACTCAGAAAACGTTTCAGTTTAACAAGATGAAAATTGCATTTGGTAGCAGACTTCCGTAACAGAAGCAGATGAACCTAATTCCATGAAAGTGAGTGTGTCTGGTCCATGAATCCACAGCAGTTAAATACCCATCTTTGATACAGCCTTCTAAGCCTAAATGATAGCATGCAGCCAAGTGTGGCGTGATGTATGTGACAATAAAAATGGTTTGTAATTGTATACAACATAGAAAATTAGAGGTTTTGAAGGTTGGCTGGAAATATTGCAAGGACAGACTCCCCAAAATGTTACAAAATCTAAATCTAATTGGCTACAGATTATTTATGATTTACAAAGACACTCAAATTTAGTAAAACCCTTAAGTTATGTGCGCAATCTGAAACATCTCTGCTGCAAGTGCAGTCTTGTACAACTTTGAAGACACCATCGAGACACGTGGGGATGCCCCATTTAGAAATCAAGTTTATTCATCACTGATTCATGCATTGTCTTTAAAATCAAAACAATGGTGGAGTAAATTTATGATAAGAAAATCCCAAATGACAACATAAGATGGACATCAGAAAATATCAGTTCTGAACCTGCCCACATGCTCAGGTGCCTTATAACTCAGTAAAGATGGTTTTATTCCATACACACTGGTGACCGGCTCTTTGTGGAAATATGAGTTCTCACCTTAAGCATGTCCAAAAAGTCCAAAGCACAGGTTAAACTTTATCTAAGCACTTGAGAAGAAAAGGCCTTGAGCTACAGTGGATCATGAGAAGACCATAAGGTTTTCCTGCTTACATTAACGTGACATCATGTGCGACAGACGGCATTCCCAGCCGAATTCCACACTTTCCATACAGTCCCGGAGATGCTTGGAGATTTCACTCAGTGGTACGACTTAATCTTGAAGGAATTTAAGTTAGTATAAGTGTTGTTGATAGTACTTAGTCATGGCTTACTAAAGTGATTTAAATGAACGAGTTTTAAATCTTTTCTTAATGGTAAATGACACTTTGTAAGCATTTTGTAAAAGGTTTTTCAATGTTTTGTTTACACAGATGGTTTTATATCACCTCAGGGGGTCACTACTGAGTGTATTTTTTGGGGCAGTGCTGAACCCACAAAGAAAGCTGTGTTTGGAAGGGCATCTGGCTTTATATCTTAATGATACTTTAGTGTGTGACTTTGGAAACCGACTGCTGCTAATACTATTGAAAGAAAAACATAATACTGATTGAAAAAGTAGCCCGTTAAAAGAGTACCAATGTCCAGAAGGGAAGAAGTTACCATCCAATCCAATCCACTCTATTTATATAGCACATTTTAAAAACAAAACAGCCTCCAAACTGTTGAACAATACAGTACAGATAAAAAATACAATGGAGCAACACAATCAGAATGTTGTTTTTCTAGGTATTTCTGAGCTATAAAACCACCTATAATTTAATAAAAGTAAGGCAGAGCTGTTTAATGTCATACTGTGGAACATTCCAGGCAGAGCAATGATATATCCATAAAACCAAGCAGGTGACAGACCCCCAATCGAAAAGTTGCATAGTGCATAATTAAGACAATAAAAGTTGTGAAATCAAAAGAGCAAAAATACCAATAAATAAAAAGATAAAAAATGGCAAATTAATAAAATAATAATGAAAACCATATTACACTGCCACCATTTAAGAGCTGTAACAAATCCACTAAGGAAACCATACTTTACTATGACTGAAAATGACATAATGCAGTAAAACTGTCATGAAAATCAGTGAGGCAAATCTGTTGGTTTCTTGGACTTTGATGCTCGCTACTTCACACAGGGCTGTATATCTGGCAGATACACTTGAGTTGAAGCCTTCTCCTTTGAAACCAGGGAAGCCAGCTGGGATACATGCAGTTAGCACAGAGTTAGGACCAATCCAAACAGCAGAGGAATGCTTTCTATCAGCTCCTCTGTCCTCTCACACTTGCCTTCAGTGGTATGTGTAATTACTAGACAATTAAAGTTCCTCTGCTCCTGCTAACTGTGTGTGCGCGCGATGTGCATCTGAGTCTGGTAACCACCCTCCGTCGTGTCAACAATGTGGCTCAGACACAACTATTTCACACAAGTGAAGAAAGTGTAGGCCCCAGAGTTGATAAGAAAACAAAACATATTCTTTCCTGTTATGTGCAATAAAGCAGTGGAGAAAGCAGCTGTCCAGATAAGTCTATACATCCTATTTCTCACTGCATAAACAGCTTTGACTGGATTTTTCCTTTATATTTTGTCATAAATCATGTCTCAATTTTATATTTCTTATCGCATTGACTCAATGGTGCATTCTGTAACTTTTCTGGTTGAAGGTTCATCAGATGTTTTCTTCATGGAAATGTTATTGCTTTGTTTAAACATTTCTATCTTCATGGAGACCAAATCAGACCAAGTTACAGGTCGAATCTGTGGAGAGGCAACCCCACTCACAGTCAGAATGCCTCTTTTTTCTAGATATTTTTAAGTTATGAAACCACCTGTAATTGAATAAATGTAAGGTAGAGCTGTTTAATGCCATACTGTAAATCATTCCAGGCAGAGCAATGACATCCCCAACCAACCTTTAAAATTAGTTTAAAAAAAAACAAAACAAAAAAACAGCCGGCATTTCTAGGTCTAACTGAAATGAATATGTTTCACAAAGTATGGTTCAGAATTTGAGAACAATGCATCTACATTCTGTGCATAGTAAGGCGGTGTTCACACTTAGTCCTGGTTTGATCCCAGTATGGTGATGTAGAAGTGGACTTGAACTTTTAGATTTTTAACATGTCAGTGGTGTTTGAATTTGATTAAATGAATCTAGCTGGAACATACTGACTCAGTAGACAATATTATTATTTTTGTACTGTCCTGCACTGACTCTGACCACAAGAATGCAGCGCATCTTCTGTCCATGTGACACATAGTAATCAGTGGGCCAGACAGACAGAGCATTCATACAAACCCATGGAGAATATACTGTACATTAGTTCTGATGTACTTTAAATAGAGATAGGCAATATATTATCCATGTGGCACTATCAACATTGTTTATTTATTTTTTGTAAGATTTGCTAAATTTGAAAATAATAAAAAAAAATGTAAAAGAAATGTAAGAAAGAAACATTTTTTTTTTTTTTTTTAAAAGCAGCGTAATCTCCCAAAACAATGAGGTATATTGTGATATTTCCAATGCACTTTTTTCGATCTATATTTGAGCATCAACCAAACTTTTACATGCACATTTTAAAGGTGCACTTAGTAACTTTCTGGTGGAGGGTCTGCCACCTGCTTGTCTTCATCTAAATGTTATTTCTTTGTCTAGGAGGTCCCACTGTGTGGCATTAAACCTATCTATTTCTACGGAGACAAACCCACAATGCCTCCAAGCCAAGTTACAGGTAATATCTGTGGAGAGGCAAGCTTACTCACTACAGAAATGTAGAAATTTCCATAGTATTTTTGAGCAGTAAAACACCTGTAACTGGATAAATGCAACACAGATGAGTTTATTGCCATTCTGTTAAACTTTGTGGAAACAAGTTTGTGCCGAACCCCCTGCCAGAGAAGTTACGCAATGCACCTTTCACACATTTCTTATGGATTGCAAAATATGATTAAACTTATCATGGAAAAAAAAAAAAAGTATATAATTATTGTCAATATTACCCACCCCTGCTTGGAATGCCATATTACTTCCTACAGTGGTGTGGTGCCACATATAGTCTTGTTATTGTATGCAGTTTCCCATGTAAGCTGCATTTAACTGGAGACATTCTACCCCTGCCTATCTAGTAAAGCTATGGAAGTGGGTAAATATATATCCTTTATGCACAGCTCTGTCAGGTTTACAGCACTAGTGGAAAAAGCACAACACATATTTTGTCTGCACCTTTTCTTCTTGACCCCCCTATAGTGACATTGTCTGCATTTTTAGTGAAACTTTATAGTCAGGTCATAAATTCTGTCACACTTTGGGCTGGAGCAGTCTGGGGTTCTGTTTTCACAAAGACCAGTGAAAACAACATCATAAAAAGCTCAGGTTGGAGTACAAGAGCTGTATTTTCTTGTACCTTTTTTTATGTCTTTTATTATCCAAGCTTAATAAGAACATTGATTCTTCCTCTTCCTCTTATTACAGGTCACAGAGACTGGTCCCATGGCAACAGCTGTGCCACTTTTATATTTTTTATGTATATGACATTTTTGGTGTGTGATTTAAATATCAATTTTATAATTTTATACAATATACATAATAACTCAAATTAAAGCATTTTGTCATGTATAATTACAAATGCATGTTTAAAACAATAGAAATGATCATTTAAAACAAAAACAGTACAACATATTATTTTTTTGTTGTGGATAGTTTATCCTCACTTACACATAATTGCCTTTTAATAGCTTTTAATTGAGCAGATATTTAATACCTAAAATACAAGATGGAAAGAAATGTGTTGACAATTTGGTCTATATAGCTTAAAGGTCCCATATTACATTGTTTTCTGATCTAGGTTATAATGTTGTTACCTCATCAAAAGCATTTTAACAAACAAATCCTGAATAGGATAGGATAGGCTTAGTTTTTTTCTTAAAAAGAAACTGCTCAGTTCCACCTTGAGATGTCATGCAGCAAAATAGGAAGTGCTCCACTGTGTTTTTAAACTCCATACACCTTCACTAGAATCAGTTTCAGCCCTGAAATTTCCTATCTCTACTACACAGAAGGCAAAGGGTAGCTGATAACATGAAAATGTGATATAGGACCTTATAGTGGACAGTGAGAGTATCATTGGAAATCTTGGATACTCACTTTAGGGCAATTCACCTTCAAAGTTTCATCCACCTTCCCCCTAAGCCTGCAGTTACCGGTACTCTGTTTATTTGTCACATGTTCCAAGAAAAAACGTTGCATTCCTGTCAGATATTGGCAGGAGCAGGAGCCCGGGTCATCTGGCCTTGTGATCCTTGTCCGATAACAATAGGTTATTCAGTTTGATGACAATGTTGGCAAAGTCTGTGAGATCCACAAAGTCTGAAGTGATGATGTTGACTCCGCCCACTCCTGGTTTCTGAGCTTCCACCCAGGACATGATGGTGGGTAGATTCCTTTTTGACAATATAACACACAAACAAAGGATTTAGAGCAAGAATTTGGTGCAGATAAGCTAATATCACATTTTATATTTTTTCTTGGAATTTTACAATAAATTTCAACTGAGAGTAGAACAAAACCAGGAAGTCTGTTGTTTTCCCCGCGCTGATAAACCACCCCATTTCCTCGGAAGTGCAGAATCAGGGCAAATCCTGTCTCGCCACTGCGTCCTTCCATGAGTTTTATATCCATCATTTCACTCAAGAACCATAAGTATGGACTTTCTAAGCTAGGATTTCCTTTTGGGGCCCTCAAGTTTTGTTCAAATAAATCTGCCACGTTAGCTTGTGTATCTAACCAAAGTAGTATATTTGTACAACTTTAGTATTGGTCTGAAAGGAAAGCTGATCAGTATTAAAGACATAATCACACTGTAACAAATTGAACATCTTTGCAAATAATAAATACACATATTGTGAAAAAGTCTTTCTTTGGGTTTAAATGAGGTCAAGTAAAACATTACAGGTTTGTCATCTAAGAAATTACTATTATGTAAAATTCCATTGTGTATTTGAATCTTGTATCCACAGACCACATAAATAAAGACTCACTTTTCAACCAGGTAGTTACGCAGTCCCCACACGAGACCTTTAGCCACTGTGTTGACCCGAGGAGTGAGGATGGCCTGGGACACGTGGAAGGATCCTTGCTTCTTCCTTTCCTTCAATGTGGTGTCAAGGAACTAAAAAAAAAAAAAAAAAAAAAAAACATTCAAAACTAGTCACTTTTTCATGTTAAGTTTTTACTAGATGAGGTTTTGACTTGTAACCTGCATGAGTTTGTTGGGCTCGGTGGTGTTTGCCCAGGGAGCGGGGATCTTGTTTCCAGGCCACAAAACAGGGACACTCTGCCCTGATGGATGATGGTAAAACACTATGACCTACAAAATAGATTGGGCTTGTTGTCACCACATTGTACCAAAAATGACAGGGGAACAGGGAATTGTAAATTCTTGAACATAAATTCTTGAACATAATACATTAAATATCAATAACAGAAATAATGGTAACACCACAAAAATGTACTGAATGTACATTAGCTAACCAGGTATAAGTATGACATATACATTATACTCAATACATTTCCAAATTCACATATTAAAAAAAAAAATAATAATCCTAAAGGATAGGACAAAACCCTTGTATTAGATCACTTACATTAGGATAAAAGATTATCGCTGCCCTCTGCTGTCTATGAGCATTAAAATCACCTCTACTTTTCTCTTGCCACTTACATTTTTTCCCAATTTCTTTAGCACTACTTTGTGGTCCAGATACAAACTCAGGCAAAATGTATAAACTTATCTAACCCTCATCCAGACACCGGCTGGAGAATGCTCCCATACTTTCAGATGTGAAGCTTGAGAGAGTCAGAGACCTGTAGGACCAGTGTCACAGTGTTTCTATTGGTTTTAAAGTGAGGTAAATGCTGTAAACATGTGTCAGATCTTGCAGAATCAATTTGGTAACAAAAAAGCAAAATGTTAAAATCTGTGCTTTTTAGCAGGTTGGTGTCTAAACTGTCTCAGACTTAGACATCAAAGTCTCTGAATGAAAACTGGTTCACCCAGGTTTGCACTAAAAAATCCTACATTGTGTTTCTAATGGTTCTGTGTCTGTCTATGAAATCTCTTTCAGATTGTCATTATTGTTGATGTTCAGTTTTGTCCTTTGTGTCTTTGGTCTATGGACTTTAGAGTGATGTAAGAGTGTGCAATATTTAGGTACACAGACTATAGCACGTGCAGTGTAACTATTGCAATCTGTATTTCAATAGTTGATTGCTCTGTTTTAGGTTCTGCAAAGAGTTTTGTTCTTTTGATATGATAGTTAAAGCTTGAAAATAGATAAAATGTTGAGCCAACATGACAGGGTACATTTGCTCTTTAAGTGGCAAGTTTCAAATTCATGCTGAAGATTTTGGCTTTAGTGCCAAAGTGATTGAAAAAAAATTACAACCACAGTTTAGGATGGCAAAGACAGTGGTCACAATAATAATCTAAAGGCATTGTGTTTGTTTAAAGGATTTTAAAAAAGCAAATTAAACAAATGAGATTGACAAACTAATGAGATGACACTAATTCCCGAGGACGAGGGTCACCCGCAAGGATTACTTCACCACAGAGGTTAAGCCATTACTGCATCTGCTTGAGCACCAAACTTACTTTAAACTACTGCTGATAATAGTAGAAGAAAACCTTTGATACATCTTTAAATATGAACTCATAATGGTCTGTTTCACCTTGTGATGTGATGAAGGGACTGTGCAAGTGAAGTGTGCAAAGCAAGCAATGGGACTTCAGCCAGATTTCATTTACAACTAAAACATCTAGTTTTTATTGTGATAAAAAGACATTATAGAGTGCAGTTAGTTTCATATCCGTTACCTGGTATTTCTTGTCCCAGAGGAAGTCCAGTGTGACACTCTCCACAGCACAGTCTATACACAGACGGGATCCAAAGACCTGCTGCAGCATGTTGATGAGGTACACGTGGTGCTCTGCGTTCATGGCATAGTAGTGATTGAAGTCAAGGAACACAACCTAAACCACAGTACACACTCTTCATTTAACGAGCCAGTCAATGGTGTTTTGTTTCATTCACACATGTTTGAGTAACCCTTAATTATTAGCTCAAAATGCTCTGTTCCACCTTGTGATGTCATGAAGCGATTGTTTTCAAGTTAACAGCTATGTTTAGGTCTGAAATGATCCAAATTATTGTAGTGATTCTACTGAAGGTCTATGGAGTTTAAAAACACAGTGGAGCACTTCCTCTATTACCACAAGGTGGAACAGAGTGCTGTTCGAGAGAAAAACTCTCTAGTCGAAATATGTAGGATTTGTGTGTTAAATGGGTGAATGAAACAAAACAAAACTCCAGGTATGTTTTTGATGAGGAAACAACATTATAAGATCAGAAAAACACATTGTGTTATTATATGCAGACAATGTTTCTTACCTCCTTTGTATGTTTTGATAAGAAAGAGTTGATTTCTAAAAGCCCATCTCTAACCTATGTGGAGGAGAACAGTGAGTTTAGTTTACCAGATTTAACCATGAATCCTTTAGTTTCAAGGCTGAACAAACAGAACCCATGTACCAACCTTGCTATAATTTAGCAACCACTGCATTGCAACATTATTTCAACAGATTCACAATCAGAATTGATGTGGGACTTTTGTACTGAAATGACAAATAAATTCTGATTCTGAAGATTTTAGTTTACGTTTTGTGAGAAATTATGGCCCAAACAGGAAACGTATGACTCAGATGTTTACATCTGAACTGACCTTTGATTCACTCATGACCGACACAGTTGTTTTTGTCTGATTCCAGACAAAAACTATTTGTTTTACATCCATAACATCAATAACATAAAACTGAGATAAAAATAGACAGAAAACTGAAGTAAATATATGGCGGGATATTTTTTATTTTTTTTACCTTGTGCCCAAACAGTCCATGGATGAAGTATATCTCATTTCCTGGCTCTCCTGGTTTGGCTGACACTCTCAGGTCAAAATATCGAATTCCTGCATCCAGCTGCTCCCTAAAAGTCAGGTTCTGAAACACTTTACACTTTAGGACCATGAAAGAGATACTGGATCCAGTAATGATAACAGACTTACCTGTGTCATTGACCACTTCACCATCACCTTCTTGGCCACTACACTGAACATAGTGGCCAGGTACTTGACATAAACCTTCTGATCTGGGCCAACAGGAGCGGAGACATCCACCCAGTAGGTGAATGAATCATGGGAACCTTTTAAAAAGAAAGAAAATATTGCTAAATATTTGAAATGTAGCTGTGTTGAACCAAACATCCAAAGACAGACTCACCTGGCACAGCGAGGTGTTTGAGAGGCATAGCACTGAGTTTGGGAGGGAGAGATCCCATCCAGTCTGCGCTGGCATCTCCTATCCCAGCCGGTCTCGTCTTCATTTCACAAATTGTGCGTAAAACCAGAAATAAAGTCTATTCCCTCGTAGATTACCGTGCGCTCCAGGTGGATAATTTCTAATAGACATATGCATCTTGTATGTGGTCTGTAGATTATTTCTACATATTGTATCCAATAAATATTTCACTGTTTGTTACAACGTGTTTCTGACCGGTCTAATTCATGTGCAACGCTCCAAGCACCTACCGGCATTCGTTCATAAAACCTCTAACTGGAGAGGTAATCTTCTTAAAGAGGAACTCTGCTGGTCATCTCCGGGACATGTTGCGTCCGTGCGTCAGGTTCGCGCCTCCTCTGGCCGTGACCAAGTCCAAGAGCCGCATGTGGAGAGCAAAAATATAGGGCAAGGGAAGAATTTGCGTAATTATGAACCGCTGCAGCCTAAATTTGCCTATCTTTGTAAAATTCTTTAGTTTGCTCTTCTGTAATCCAATACATAGATTATTATAAAGGAAACAAGGAACAAAGGTATTTTTGTTGTTTTGTATTTTTATTTTTTATTTTACCTCATTCTTGCCCAACAGCCCCCTCTTTTGGTGCAAACACTGTACAGCTACATATGGAACAACAAACCCCAGCAGGCATTGCGGCAGCACGCGCAGCAGCTGTCACGCTTGTGTGTTCGTTTCCATGGGAAAGGTCGTACACTCACACACCCCATCGGAGGAGCTAGGGAGCAAAAGACAGTCTACATCTAACTTATTTTAAGATGAAGATGAGTTGTTTTCAGCTAATTCAGACAACGAAATGAAGAGGAGCCACCGCAGTAAATGGTGAGTAGAAGCCCAGAGATATAAGTCTGTGCACGACTGATTTTAGCAAGTAAACTGAAAACTTGCGACTGCATAATCAACAAACATTATATAACCTCTCCTGGATAACAATCAAAAGAAAAACTAGACTGTGCGTATGATTTACCTTTTAATTACAACACTGTGGCAGAAGTTGTTACCTGTATAAAGATTTGAGTTGGCCTACTTTTCACCTCAGTATTTCTTTATTTCTTTGTAACACTTCTTTCTTTGCAAATCAGTTAAATCTGACAAGTGAATATCCACGTGTGTTTACAATAGAGTTGCCCTTGATTATCTTGATAAGTGCATTTGGCCCGGATGTGTGTCTTAATACCTTCCAATCCCCTCCAGCAGACTGCCATATGTGAGAGCTAAGAGCAGACAAGTCCTCCTTTGCTTGGTCAGTCTTTTGTTCCTTCTTTTGCTTCAGTAATTATTTGATTTTCTTGTAGCATGGGCAAATGAAGATGTTTAAGCACTACAGGAAAAAACAGGCTATTTATTTTTACTTGTAACATATACATTTATATAATTATGCCTTATTTGACACCAGTCTCTTGATATTAGAATTTATAATAACCATTTATATGTTTTCTCTTTGTTGTTATAATATAATGTGATGTGTGAGCTACTGTGTCCAAATAATGTCCCTTGTGGATCAATAGTTTGTCTACATCTAAGTCTATTTCTGATCAAATATATAGTTGAGATTAGAAATGACCCTTGCTTTGAGATTGTTTCATGAAAATAATGAAATGTCTGATCCCTAATAACAACCCCTGAAACATAAAACAGTGTCTATTATTTTGACTGTGACCCACCTGCAGTAAGTGAATGCATGTACCAGGAATACGAATTCAGAATATTAATTTTGAGTAATTGTATTCTGGTGCAGTTTTTCCATTTCATTTGGTGGTATTCAGAATTCAGCTACTAGGAATACATTAAAGTATTTGATCATGTAATTTAGGCTTCAAAGTGCGCATAATTAGTGAGAAAAATAGAAACCACAGCTCTTTATGGTGAGGTATACTTTTCCCTCCCCAGTTAGTGACAGGAAACATTTTTAAAACAGTGAAACAAACATAAATCTGTTTTTAATGTTGCCTCTTTACAATCTAGTTTAAACGCAGGGTTAGTACCAATAAGCAACAAGTGATATAACATCCTATTTACATCTCCTTTGGGCTAATCTGCTCAGGGCTACGCTGTCATCTCCCTCAGGTGGTCATAGGAGCGTCCCACTACTGCGCCACACACACCTAAGCCTCTCAGTCAGGCAGGATCAACAACAGACTTAAGCTGTCTCTATAGGTCACTGTCAATTATCCCGGAGATCTTTACCGGTATCATTTTTGTTACAGGTGTTGAAGAGCAGCCAAAAAAATGCACTGGATTCTGGACCATTTAAGCCTTTTAAGAGTGGAGCTTTTGTTTTGAATGCCAAGACGTGAGAGTGTGAGCTGTGTAACGTAGAATCCTTACCTCAAAGGGAGCAGTTTTTGCCATAAGGAATGAGTATTGACATCGATTTGAGATGATGAACCGCTACACCACCCTGAAGCAGCTGGGTGACGGCACCTATGGGAGTGTGCTGATGGGGAAAAGCAATGAATCTGGAGAACTGGTAGCCATCAAGAGGTGAGGACTAATTTATAAGTATTTAGAATTCACTGCAATGTGGTTAAATACCATAGATACCAAATACCATAATGTGAGATATAAGGCATTTAAAGTGCCCATATTACATTATTTCTGATGTTATAATGTTGGTTCCTCATCAAAAACATACCTGGGCTTGTGTTTTGTTTCATTCACACATGTTTTACACACAACCTCTGCGTATTTAGGGTCCTTCTTCTTTCAAACGGAAATCACTCTGTTCCACCTTGTGATGTCATGGCGTAATGCAGGACACACTCCACTGTGTTTTTAAATTACATACACCTTCACTAGAATCATTTGGTAACTTGAAAACTATCACAACATGACATCACAAGGTGGAACAGAGCACTTTTCACTCAGATGTGTGAATGAAACAAAACACCGGGTATGTTTTTTTTGGAGGTATCAACATTCTAACATGACTTAAAGCTCCTAGGAGTCAATTCTGCATAATACAGGACCTTTAAATCTAACTTGTCCCTAGCTCTCACAAATCTCTTGGCCCATCACTATTATTCACTTGAAATAGTGATCTGACCTCTAGCACAGTTTAGAACAGCTTTTTCAGACAGAAAAGTGAAGCAGGGAAAGCATCATATAGTGACTCACATGGCTCATGTAATAAATAAAATGTTTTATGATTAGATAAAAATGAAGAATTTTAAAATGTATGAGAAAAAACTTTTTCTACTTTAATATTTCAAGGGATTTGACTTTATCAAGAGATGCAAATTAGATTCTATTTACTGTGTTAACCCAGCATGGTGAGAGACTAAATACTGAAGAAGTTGTCATATATAGACCTGTCACAGTAAATACTTCGACTTATTGTTTAATATATGATAAATGGTATAATCTTTTTTTGGGACAATATTTAGTACTTTTTCTTTGCACTATTATGAAATTTGTGGTTATTTTTTGGCTATATAAGATTTGACCTGTAAAAGGTTGAATTCATAACTTCTATGACTCATTACAGATGCAAAGTAACTACTTAAGTGTTAAATTCTGCTATTTATTTATTGCAGCCCATGCTTTTTTTTTTTTACAATATTGTAGATTTAGAATAGTTTTTGGGGGATAATCCTGCTTTAGGTTTATTGTGTCAGTGGCATAAATCAGTTTCAATATGATCCTTTATCGTCTATATTTACTTTGCCTCCGTCACCATGCAAAGCAAACAAACTAGGCAGCATGCTGTTGTCTCAGCAGCACGGCAGCAGCGTACTTTAATTATGAATGGGGATGTGGGTGGATGTGTGGATCATTTGGTTACCATGCAAGACAATACAAGTGTGGACGGTGAAAGGCAGTGAAAGTAGAGGGCTGGGTCAGGTTCCTGACACTGTGGAAGGACTGACAGTAACTGGCCTCTGCCCAAACTGAGGATTGCCATCGGCACCAGCTGTAACTCTTACATAATCCTGGGTGTTTAGGCCTCCCCAGTCAGATCACTTCACAGGTACTTAAAGGTACAATATGTAACTTTTTTGATGAGCTTCTTAACTGTTCCACTGTATGGGATTAAACACAACTATCTATTTATTTTATTAACAATAAACTTAATACTTTTTTAATTGAATTTGAATTTCAAATATAATAAATAGCTTCGAGTCATTAAGACAAACCTATAAATCAATGTGCAAAATGCATACAATACTATTTGTAAACCTGGAAGGAGATGCAACCTCATGTTTGGATACATAAATTGAAATTGCTCAAGCTTTCACATTTAATTTAAATCTTTGTTTTTGCATCCTAGGATGAAAAGAAAGTTTTATTCTTGGGATGAGTGTATGAATTTACGAGAGGTGAAGGTAAGTGTTGATGTTAACATGCATGTGATTTGCTAATGCCTTACCTTATATAAATAAATAGTTTGAAAAATATTTTTGTGTCACGTTCTTACTATTTCTATGTGTTTCTTGTAGTCTCTAAAGAAGCTGAACCATGCCAATGTTGTGAAATTAAAAGAAGTTATCCGAGAGAATGACCAGCTGTATTTTGTGTTTGAGTACATGAAAGAAAACCTCTATCAGCTAATGAAGGACCGGTAAGACCTCCAGTGTCTACAGCATCACATTCTCAGGCTGTAATTACAACAGTTGAATGAATTCAACTGTATTTAATGGTATTTTCCTCACAAACGCAAATAATCTACAATATGTTTATTTGTATATGATGTGCATTCAAAATTGTATGACACTGCACTGGTTTTATTTTACAGAAGAAAATTGTTTCCAGAATCAGTGATACGAAATATAAGCTTTCAAATTTTACAAGGCTTATCATATATTCATAAAAATGGTAGGTAGTGTTGTGTTTTCTTCGTGCATAGTCATTGCATGGGAAATGGTCACACTGCAAGAGTCTACTCATTTTATGTTGTGTGTCAGTGTGTGCCAAAAATGTAAAATGCATGAGAATCTTGTAGTCATTAACTTTCAGCTTTATCCTTTAGATGCGTGGATGTTTCTTAAATTCATCTAAAACAGTATTCGTTGCAGTCTAAGCATCCATTTGTATTTCATCTGTGCAGTTGCAGGCATCCACCCATCATTACTATCTCCTCTTTTTAACATCTTTCTCTATTCTCTCTTGTTTCTTCTCTTTTGCCTGTCTCTTGGCCTCTTTTCGCTGTCAGGGAGAGTAAGATGTTCTCTGAGAATGAAATTAGGAACATCATGTTTCAAGTGCTTTCTGGCTTGGCTTTTGTTCACAAGCATGGTAAGGGCTTCACTGTCACAATGTCATAATGTGGTGTATTGGGAAAACCTTTTGTAGTTTTGTGTTTGTGTTTGTGTTGTGCTGTGTATTTGCTCATCGTGATATGTATCTATTGTGATTACTATGTTAAGTACACGGCTAACGGGAAAGAAACTAGACCTGGTACCACAAAATCCAGCATGTTCAAGTCATGTCTTGTCCCAGTGGAATATACTGTAATTATGTATTATATAACTTTTTTTTTTTTTTAATGGACACCAGTTGGCCCTCAATTTGGTAATGAAAATAATATTTTGATGCAGCCACTGCTTTTAGGAATTAATAAAGAATAGGTTTTGTTATAACAGTGATCAATAAAAAAAAAATTAGGAATGAACTATATTGATTCAATTAATATACACGATCTAAATGTTTCTCATTTTCATTCAAACTTTTCATTCAAACTCCATCTTGTGTCTCATCTTATCTCATAGAATTGGAGTAGTTTTGTATAAATATTTTTACTACTGTTTTGTTGAAATATATAAAAGCACAACAAACGTAGTTTCAAAAGGATATTGTCAGTACTTGAGTATGAAAGTGTGTCACCTCCTATCTAAAACTTTTATGTGATACAGATTTAGGTTCAATTTAAATGCAGTATGCAATTCAATGTTCAATATCTAAATCTTTTTCAGGATTCTTCCATCGTGATATGAAGCCAGAGAACCTGCTTTGTATGGGCCCAGAACTGGTGAAAATAGCGGACTTTGGACTGGCCAGAGAAATCCGTTCCAAACCACCATACACTGATTATGTGTCAACAAGATGGTAAGCTCATATTCTTAACTTAAATGTTCTAGTCTGTGCACTTCAGTTGAATTAGTTTTAACTAATAGTATTAGTATTGTAAATCACTTCCATTAATGCAGTACATACTGATTATTATACCTATGTTACATGACTAGCTTTTACTAAATGCTGTACTGCTATATTGTCTATAGTCTTGATTAATTCTTCAGTCTAATCCATAACACTTTATTATTAAATATCTGTTCTAATTTATCTCTAGGTACCGGGCTCCAGAGGTCTTACTGCGGTCATCCATGTACAGCTCCCCCATCGACCTGTGGGCAGTGGGCTGCATCATGGCCGAACTCTACACTCTCCGACCTCTCTTCCCTGGGAACAGTGAAGTTGATGAAATTTTTAAGATCTGCCAAGTCCTGGGCACTGTGAAAAAGGTTAGAGGAGTCTTAAGGTGGAAGGGCTGCTTGACCTTAGTTCAACCATTTAATAATTCACAGACCCAACTATACCACAGGGGCAAGTTCTTACAAATAGTTCTGAATGTTTTATGAGGTATTGTACAAAAGCATTAAAGATAACCATCAAATTCATTGTTGACGTTGAGTTGATGCTGACCAGATGGTGTTGTGTTTCTTCATTACGTACAGGGGTTCTCAAAGTGCGCTGAAGGGGTCATATAATTCTAATGGTGCACAGCAATCTTACAATTCAAAAGTTTAGATAAATCTGTACTGGGCTGTAGACTTTTGCTAAGACATATTCACCTCATTTTGCTGGACTTCAGATGACATCACAGCATTTTACTGGCTTTTATTAATACAGATGGGGACAACTAAAATGAATATTGTTAAATGTTTTTGTTGTATTACAATGAATTCTTAGGTCTAGTCACTAATAGAAACGATCACTGATAGAAACGATCAGATTGTGAATTTACCTTGTGGTTATTTCATTGCAAAACACAATGTAATCAATAGGGAGTATGACATCTTCACAGTCTAGAATCTGAAAACTAACACTAAAAGGCTGACTGTAAACAATATTGTTTTTTGTATTTAGGGGGACTGGCCAGAGGGATACCAGCTGGCTACCGCTATGAACTTCCGCTTTCCCCAGTGTGTACCGACCCATCTGAAGACCCTAATCCCCAATGCCAGCAATGAAGCTATCACTTTAATGAGAGACCTGCTCCAATGGGACCCCAAGAAGAGACCCACAGCTGTACAGGTAGTTTTACATGTGTAGGAAAACCAGGGATATTCAAAGTATACAGATATTTAGGCATCTAGTATAACTGGATCAAAATGAAGGCCTCACCTGACCTGTTCTGCGTAATGTTTTCCACTGAGCCCACTGTATGACGTGTATAAAGATTAGTAACACTCATGGGAATTGACTTGTTAGACATAATTTATGCCATGTAGAGATGAGTGAATAACTAGGGAACATCCTTCTAATGGGAGTGCTTTCTCGTCTCCCATGTGTGTTCATGCTGACAGGAAGTAGGTCTAAATTTAACATTTTATAAAATGTGTAAAACTTGTTTACATTAAATTATTAATTGAGTGTTGTTTATGCAACATGCAGAGAGCTGTTCCCATCTTGACAAGAGGAGTTTATACAAGTTTCTTCAAAATATTTTTGCAGCATGTTATAAATGTACAATATAAATATAACCTTCAAATAAATATGTAACTCCGGTTATTTAGAGTTTGTATGGATGGATCAGTATGAATCAGTGCTGAGACTTGTCAATGTCCTGAGTGTATCCTATCTAAAGCCCATAGTTGCACAAAGTACATTAAAAAAGAGTAACAAAGTAATTATGTTTGGTGTTTTTAGGCTTTGCGGTATCCATACTTTCAAGTGGGTCAAATTTTAGGTTCAAGTCAGGAGGTGAAGAAGATCCAGGCCAGACCTCAGGCTCCAAATCAGCCACAAGAGCCTAAACCCAAACCAAAACTCCAACAGTCCTCCTCTGGGTCTAAAGAGTCACCATCAAACATCAAACAGCAGAATCAGCAACCTCTTCAGCCCATCTCTGTACAACAAACTGACAACACAACACACCTTAACCAAGCAGTAAGTGTTCCTATTATCACATTTGTTACTATTATATATGTGATTTGTGTATTGATTGAATCTCTCTGCAGAAGGCTGGCTCTCTGGGCAGTGAGAATGGAGTTGGAGGGATTGGGATGGTGAAAAACGGTCGCCGCCGCTGGGGTCAAACCGTGGCCAAGACGTCCGACAGCTGGGAGTCTGACGTATCTGAAACTGCAGCTTCCATCTCCAAAAAGCCCAGCCTAATACAGTCAGAGGAGGAGAAGACTAAGCACCAAACGCAGTAAGATACACAACTGTTAACACGATCTAACTAAATAACACTAACTATTAACAGTAAATTGCAATGAAGGATGTTAATTCAGTTACAATACAATTGTTTTTGTGTGTTTTTTAACTGTCGAAACATGAGCAAGGACAGAAACATTTTTTTTTCTTAATTATTCCATTCTTACAATTACCAGTACATGTTTTTTTATATTATATTGCAGTTGTCTCATTGATATTTCACTTTTTATCACTTCTGAATAGCTTAGTTCTGCATGTAGTTCATGTAATCAAAACTATTAAACTGCAGTCTAATACACTTGTAGCATACAGCAAGAAATCCATGTTATGTTTTACAAAAATAAACATTGTATTTGTTTGAGAGAAGGAAATGTCATAGAAACATTAATAAGATGACTGTTATCTTTTTAGGATGAAGGATCAAAAACCTTTGTATTCCTTCAGCTCTGTTACCAAGCTACCTAGCAATGTTAAGGTTAGCCAAACTGACCCCAACCTTCCTGGATCTGCTGCACGCCAACACTATCTCAACCAGTCACGATATCTCCCTGGTAACAAAGCATTAAAAACTGTGTTGTTATATCACACATTTGAATACTATTTATCTAATGTATTTCTTCCATGCTTGTTTTGCTGTAAGGACTCATTGGTAAAAACCAGAGTGGAGATAAGGAGCTGGGATCTATGACCTTGCGAGACTTGTGGGAGAACTCATCAAACACTGTAAATAAACCGCTGGCACCCATTGGAGGGGGATTATCTGTCACCAGAGCCAACGCAGGTAAAGACTCATGTACAGTGATGCAGTACTAAGCTGAGGTGTCCACATTCACTACTGGACACAAGGTAACAGAAGAGAAAGTTGGTTGGAATTGTTTCGTGTAAGATATGTTATTACTACTGTACAACTAACTAAAATATATATTTAAATTAATATATTAAAGTATTTCAGTAGTATAGTATGGCTTTCACTTCACAGTATATTGAAACCATCACACTAATTAAAATGAAAACAACAGCTTGAAATATTTAGCTCTGTACCCTTTTTTGGCATCTCTATTTTAACTGATGCAAGTATTGAGACAGTCAGGAATAAGATATTATCAAAAACAAAACCAACTGGACTTGGACTGGACAACTTTTGAAGCTGACATTTCATTACCAACCAGGTAGCTTCAGGAAGGCTTGTGTTTATGTCTGTGAGGTAGCAGTAGACCACAAAACACTTACTAGTAATAACTACTACAGTACTAATTAGCCATAGTAAAACATGGAGAAAGAGTTCATTCAATTCATTATGAAAACATAATTTATTAAGACTTATCCAGGTTTAGTAAACAACTTAATACAATAACCCAAAATTAATTAAGTAGTTTTTAAATTATTATTATCATTCAAATCCACAGTCATACTATACAGACATCAACAAAACAAATTAAAATGATAAGCAATTATTAAGAACTTAATGAACCTGTAACCCGTTTATTAACCAAATATAGACCTATTTCTTATAAACATTAATAGAGAAATGTAATATGTACCTTTTGATTCTTATTGCATTCCTATAGAAATATATATATTAGTCAGTTGTCCAATCAGCCCATAACAATGACTTGGATGACTCTTTATTAATAATACATGTTTAAATTGAGCTGAATGACTCGTGACACCTGACGTTATATAATGTGACACTTCTTGCACTCTCTGATTCAAAGACTCTAAATGCTAATGGCGCCGCTAATGCGCTGATCAGTATTAATAGGGCCAGAGTTAGGACCCAGTCTATGTGTCTGCGACTTAGGAGCGCAGCTGAGACCTGTATAATTCATTTGTTATGTAGACAGTCACACAATATCGCTCCCTACTGTGCCCGCATCATTCCCCAGCCTTCTGTCTCTTTCTTTCACCTTGTCTCTCCATCTTCATTTTTTATTCATGAGATTCAGACTTTCAGCAAAAGATCAAGTGCTCCTTAAATGGCTCTTAAATGTACCCCCTGCTCACTGGTCCCACCCCCGAGCAACCACTAATGTTTGTTTTAAGACTACAAAAGACCTTCAGATGTGGAAAACAAGAATACATTTGGGGAATATATTATATTATATCTTTACCCAATTATTACATTATCTTATTTATTTTTTGCTCTTCCTTTTGCTTATCACTTCTGTTTTTCATTTCCCTCTTTGCATGCTGCCTTTGCTAGAAGAGAGTAAGTCTATGGAAAGCCCACAAGAGAAAACTATTGTCAAAGAAAAGGCACTTGAGAAAATTGATCTATCCAAAGGTATTGAAAAGATAGATGTTTTTGTTGTCTGTTGATACTTTGCAGGGGCATCATGCTGGGGGGTTCCACATGTATGTTTATTGGCAGAATGATCACCAGTTACCATAGAGATGCAAACATTAGGAAACACAGCCAAATAAGTTTTAAGACCACCTGAAATCTCAAGAAAAAATACAAAATGGGTTTAAACAACACATCTTCAGAAGGCTGTGATCAATACAAAGTTTCACGGTCCCGTTTAGGAGTTTGATTTTGAAACCTTTTGACTTTAATGTTATTTGAGAGGGACATGTTTAGGAGCTCAAATCAACTCAGTTGTAGTTTAAACTGTTATTTCAGGTCAGATTGTGTTAAAATAAAGATCAGATTAAAGTCTAACAGGCCTCAGACAGAGCGGTGCGTACAATTATCATTTCACCCCCAAGGAATGTTGATGATCAGCTGCAAAGTATCAATATGAATGTAGTAGTAGTGATTATCACATTAGTTATTATCAGCCGAATACTGCATACACACCCATATACAACCAACATATTTACTGAATCTAAACAAACACTAACTTGGCTGTGTGTTTTTCACATTTTTATAAATTTTATGTTTTCAAATTTAATTTAATATTTTAATTGAAAACCATCATTTTTAACTGTGAATGATCAGCTTTTGGCTTTTTAAATAGTCTCAAATGCCAGTCCTTGGCCTGTAAGAACATGCTGGAGCAAATTCAATCTTTGGAGGATTAAATAGGACTGTGGGATTAATAGGAGTTTGATTTGTTTATGTTAATAAAATTAAGATTAAGAATTGTTTTTAATTTAAAAATGTGACCAGTCAGTACAATAAACCATTTATAAAGAAGACATTAACCATTGCAGATCTGTCAGAAGAGTGAAGTTTGGAAATGGTCTTTTTCTTGTGTCTATTTGTTTGTTTGAATAACGTTTCTTTCTTTTCATTTTTATCTAACATTTCAACTTAATATACAAACATTGAAGCAACATCAAATAGCTGGAGGGTGACTGGAGGAAAAACTAACAACCAGTGTGATGTGACAAGCTTTTCACTCAAACGCTTAACATGTGAATGACAGCACCAGCTAACATCCCAGCAGGACCCCCACTAACAAATACACAGTTTACATTGTGAACTAAAGAGGTGTCTCCACTCAGTAGAAGCTTAACTGAGCAACAACCTTAACTGACATAATAGTAACAATACAGCATTTCACTGATAACTGATAACGATCTGCGACTGCTGCCGGAGCAAACCACTCAATGACATCAATCAGTCAGGCTTTTGAATATGCACGACCCACTTCACACGAGACTAAATGAGTGAAAAAGACTAACACAATTTTAGCTAACAAAACTTCTCCTTGTATTGAACTAACACTACTTTGACCTGTTTTAAGGCAATTTTGTGAGCACCAAGTACAACCTCTCTGCTGGATACATGCCTTCGTTCCAAAAGAAAGAGGTGGGCTCAGTGGGACAGAGGATACAGCTCGCTCCTTTGGCTGGGCAGCACTCGAGTAAGTCACTATTGTATTAACTGATTTGCCTCAATACACAACAATTCAAACTCTCCAACTAAAAGCTTTTTTTCAGACTGTGCCCTCTTTTCCTTCTCCTGATTATAAGTCTAAAACCTATATACTAAATCAACATTTTCTTTCTGTTCTTTTCTAGCTAGCCTATCCTGTTCTGATCTTAAAAAAGAAAATTCTAAATCTGCAAAACCTAAGCATCTGTCTAACTCACCTTTGGGGGAAAACAATGAAGGTAAATAAACTATCTACTGTTTCATTTTGGGGCCTTCATTTTAAAATTTCTGTTATCCATTAGTTAAAAGTGCACTATGTAACCTTCTGGTGGACAGTATACCACTTGCTTGTCTCCATGGAGATGTTACTGCTTTGCTGGTATGTTCCACAGCGTGACATTAAACTTGTCTATACGGTATTTATTCAGTCAGTGGAGTTTTTAATGTCTACAAGTTTAATGCTGTATAGTGGAACATCCCAGACAAAGCAAAACATCTCCATGGAGACAGGCAAGTGGTTGGCACCAGGAAACTTGTAGTGCATCTGTAATGGAGTATGTTTTATTCAACAAGCTGTAGCTCAACTCAGTGGTATTTTATTTTAGATTATGAAGACTGGAAAAGGAGAAGTGAGCGCACTCAGCTGAAGGGGAGCAGTTACTCTGCTTTGGGGAAGACCTCTGGAAACCTCCTGCCCAGGGCCCCTGCAGTACAGCCGGTGCACGGGAGGATAGACTGGACGTCCAAATATGGAGGCAATCGGTAGTGTTGGGAACATATGCTGTATACTTGTAGCTGGACTCTTTAAATAATGCACTTCATATCTTTGACATTGTAGTACTTTTATTTACTTGCAATAGTTGTTGTACTCTCACTAGGTTTGCTCCATCGATTTGAAGATTTATCGAACATTGCCATGCACTGGATCTGTACTGTAAGCTTGTACTATGGTTCGGTTTAAGGACAAGCCAACGTTGGAACTATTTATTTTTTCATTGCTTAACTTGATTTAATGCGATGAATGTCAAATAGGAGATTCACCTAAGAAATGGTAATATAGAAATACTTCCCTTTAGCTTAGCAACAAATACAAGCACAATGACTTTTTATACTTTTTAAAAGGGATGTGTTCTTTGTATTATTAAACTGGTAAATTAATGTTTTATTACATTTTATACATTGACATTTTTCAGTTTACAAAAGCAATAAATGAGACAGCTCTGTTTTTTATAAACGTTGTATTTTGTATTTTTTATTTACATAAAATGTTTACATTTTACAAAACTATTTTAAACAAAGACAAATACTGTGTGACGTTATACAGACTTGTTTGGTTTCTGCAGCAGTGTTAGGCCAAGTTTTCCAACCATCAGAAGACTACAAGAATTACAACATTTTAGTAACAAGGAATAACAATAATGTGGGTAGTGGTTGTAATAGTAGAAACAGTTACCTTGCTCCAGCCATTATACCAGCGGGGAACAGCTTTCTAGATGCGTAAAACCTCTTTCCCATGACTCCTGATAATGTCCCAGCAGTAGCTAAAAGTTCAAATAAAACCACGTCTTATTCCATGTCCTTTTGGAGTAGAAAGATTTGAGTTCAGCTTTTTCTTACCGAGTGACACCCAAATATTATTCGGGTCATTGGAGATCTGGTAAGCACCCAAACCAGCAAGTCCTCCGAAGAGCAGTCCAGCACCCAGAGAGGGGACGCTACCTGTAGAATATAGAAAATGAACAGCTGTACTTGACACCTTCAGACCAAACAGTAGAGATCACTTTATGCAGCCAGGCAAATCAGTGTGTTTAGAAATGCTAAAACAACTGGGAATGACCATCTACTTTGACTTGTATAAGCAATTAATTTCAATGTGTATGTATATATATATATATATATATATATATATATATATATATATATATATATATATATATATATATATATACATATATATATATAATATATATATATATTATATAATATTTTTTTTTTTTTATTACTACTTTATTTCTCCACTTACCTGCTTTCACATAGCCCACGACACCCCCAGTGGCAATCAGAGCTGCGTATCCATATCCAACCCAATCCACAGACATGTCGGACACCTGCAAGAGACAAAACCACAATTTAAGACGAATAAATACATCAACAAATGGAACTGTCAAATACTCACAGTTGTAGTATTATAAAAAGGACTCAGAGTAGTCTGTGGTACAGAGCTACTGAACAACACTAAATGAGCAACCAGCAAATAAGGAAACATTATAATCGCCCCAAATCTTCCGCCATCAGATCAAAACAGCTACTGGGTGTTTGGCAATTTTGAGCGTTATAACCGAGCGTCTGGTTTGGTAGATAAGAGCAACTGACGCATTAGCAGGAGCTTTACGTACAGAGGCAGTGCGCTATGGTCATGTATATAGTGGATTAGACCAAACAAACTAAGGCATAAATGTGAAAGAGGCTATACAGACTTTCTACTAACACTTCCCTATTTTATCAAATGTGCATAATTTCAACAAAAAGATTCATCACCTTGCTTCTTGTGGCTATTCCGACGACCTTCGGGATCTCCAGAAGCGTGTTCTCCACCGGGTGAAAAATATGGGTGCACACGTGTTATGACACTGCGTGGTGGCTGATGGGATATGTAGTAAAATACTTACTTTATCTAACACGAGGACATAATCTAATTCATAGAATATGTTCACCACCCTAGATGTGAAGTGGCCTGCACTGGACAAGGAAACCAGACCGCAACAAAATAATCATGGTTTATGAACCTAAGCAGCCAAGCAGATTTTTTTTCCTTTCCCAAATCCATTTTCCTATTAACAATTCTTCAAAATTAAAATCAATTCTTTAGCCTTTAGTCCCAGAATAGTCATGTTTTATTCGACATTTAGGCTCTCTCTCAAATCATAGTCTACTAAAATAATCACCGAGTGATAGTCGTTACATGTATGACCACAGGATGGCGCCACAGGATTGTACATGGTTAAAGTTAGAGATTATTTCATTTGGTTATAATATTTGCAAGTAGAATGCTCCCTAAATTAACTCTATTATAGGCAAGAAACTCCTCCCTACAGTAGGCCTACATGAATACCCTATTCCTAAGCTCATTTATTTTATTTTATTTGTGTGTCTATTCATATTTTATTTCTTCATTTTGCTTGCTGTAATTTATTTTATTTCCATAAAATAACAAATTAAGTTAGGTTTATATATTAATTTTGTAATAGGATATTTTGTTGAAGGAAGCTTCCAAGAACAACGTTGCATGAAATTCTTCAATGTGTTTCTATTAAGTAACGCTACGTGGCGCTCTAACACAACCCATGTATCCTCCCAATATGAATTTGCAATAGTCTCAAAACCCTGCAAGCAATCTTTTGGATTTGACCACGCAGTTCAAGTGGAATAGGCAACAAGTTGGAGGGCGCTGGTGGCACTTCTGACTGGCACTGAATCCGCACAAAACTTACTTTGTTAAATAGTACATTGTGAATATCAGTTATACTAGTATTTAAATACCAATATTATTATTTAGAGTAATCATGTTATTAGTATTTCATATATGGCTGTGAGCTTTTCCTACTGCATGAGTCAGCTGGAATAATATGGTTTATCATCAGAATCTCTGCGCGCAACCACTAATCTTTTTGACCCTATTCCTCTTATACTGGACTGTCTCTCTTCGGGTGGCCGATCAAATATAGAGGCCTATGCTGCACATGATGTGCGCTGTTGTGTGTTTTAAGTTAAACAATAGGCGGGTTTCAAGTACATCAAATGAAGGCTGCTGTGTTAAATAGGAAATATTTTTAAGAACACAGACTTACTTTATTTTAGTTGTGTGCTTACATTAGGCCACTTATACAATCCTCAGACCGCAGCTTCTTCAGCACAACCTACGGTAAATAACATATGGTTTAACTTTACTACTACATTCACTGCATTTCTGTGCGCTGAATTGACTTAACGCAACAAGCCTTGGTCTTAAAAATGACTCAGGCCAAGTTACATTACGTTTTCTGTTTATCTTTTTTTTTAGTTTTCTGTAATTGCGCTCTTTATTTTTAGTCAGTGGAAATAATAAGTTATTCCTCCCAGTCCACGCCCGCAGAATTGCGCATGCGTCACCAGGTGGCCGCCACCGCTTTTATGGCCAGGTGAGACAATTCTACTCCAGGCAAAAAAGTCAAGCTTTTACTTTTCTATCGAAGACCTCCATGAGATTTATTCATCAACACAGAGGATAATAAAACAAGCGATTCCAAAAGCAGCGTCGGACAGAGAATGTCAATTATGGGCAAAATGGGAGAATGGCAGGTATGTGCTTTTTATGACAAAGAGAAAATCTTTGAAAGCTGTCATCATGTTGGCTTTAAATGTAGGTCTATAACACATTCGGGTCTGTTTCAAATACATGCAAACAAAAATATGTTCTATTACCCATTAAATGCAGCTACAGTTTCTGTGGTGTATTTTGCTTTTACATGATTTCTTTTAAATAGTATTTATTTTTTTCTTTGTTTAGGGAGTTAAAGTTTCATGCGTATGCAGACCTGGCACTCTGCTTTGATTGCTCCCTAAACTGTGATATTGTCGCTTACATAAAATGTTCTCTGAGGCTAATGTATAAACAATATTTTCCATGTTTGTTGAGGAGGACTTGGAGAAGAGGCATGTTTTTAACTTTTTATGGGAGGCATGCTTGCGCGTAAAATCACTGCGCCTGTTTTAGCCTGTACCTTTTATGAAACTCACTCTACCAAAACACACGAGCAAACACCAAGCAGTCCCTCTGTCACTGTCCGCTGGTTTCATCGTTCACTACTCATTAATAACAACAGCTCATTTAGAAAATGAGGGGCTCTCCACCAGAAATGGTAATACAGGTTTTAAGGGGAAAATTAAGCCAACGCCTTAAATAGTTGGCAACCTGTCTGCTGACCCACGACCCGCTGAGGTGAAAGCTGGGTCGGCGACAGAGCAGAGCCAGCTCCCCGAGCCGCTCATTCACATGAATCAGGCCCATGTTGTTGTGTTAATCATTTACACTGCCCCCTCCATGCTCCAAAGCCAAGCGCGTCTATGGGCTGTGGACCTGTAGATCCAAATGACCCAGACTTTTAACATGACGTTTACAGAGAAAGGGCATCTTCTCACTGGGATTAAAATAACATCTTAAAAAAAATCAAAGGTGACACTGACAACAAAAAAACGACTCACACATTATTTGCATACGGATTCACAAGTCTCTGCAATTGACCAAAATCAGACTCTGAACTGCTATGCATAAAACACAACAAAAACATAACAAAATCGAAATAAAATTTTTGTTAATGTCTCGTGGAGTTTATAGTTGCATAAAAGGCACACACAGAAAGAATCACATTTATTCAAAATTTGATGGCAAAAACCTCACATTTGTGTAGCCTGCAATGAATGGCACCATAAGTACAGCTCAATATAAAACATTTCTAAAGTTATTTATGTCAAAATATATTTACCATGGCGTGTTTTATCTGCAAAAAAGTCCTATAGATTTATTGTAACGCCAAACAGTCCCAGGTGAGCGCTCGGACCATGCATGTCTACACCCCTCCCCTTACACAAACACCTGAGTGAACAGTAGAAATAATACGCGCGTGTCGTAAACTTTTTTTTTTTTTTTTTTTTTTACCTGTGCGCTGTCCATTGGGCGCAGGAGAGGCAGATGGGAGAATCAAAACGGCTGTTGATATGCTAATGAGGCCCAGTGCACTGTGTGTATTATACACTGCACAGCCCTGCTTCAACTTCCACCATTAGAGGGAGACCTCAGAGCGCCAGACAGACAGAGAGCTGCACAGCTGCAATAAAAAGTAGTTTTTCTGAGCGGGAGCCACAATCCACTGAGTGAAAACAAGACCATAAGGCGATACCTATATTCTACTCAATAGCCACCTCTGCAACCCATGAAAATGCTCTGGAAATTAACTGATAACATTAAATATGAAGATTGCGAGGTAAGGGTGCTTTATGAATTTTTCGATTTTGCTCATTACATTCAACTTCAAATATTATTATTTTTAAAATATATCGTTTCATTGTTTTACATCGTTTAAGACTAGACTGTAGCATAAATGTCCTTCCTCCATATAGCTTATTTTTTTCTTATAATGTGATTATTATTACATTCTCAATCAATTATTATTATTATTATAATAATTATTATTATTATTATTATTAATAATAATAATAATAATAATAATAATAATAATAATAATAATAATAATATATATATATATATATATAATATAATGTCCGTAAAATATTGTCTTCATTTAAAAGCAAATATTAATTGTTTAATCACAAAAAATATGTCTTGCTGGTGTCATACTTTTATTAAAATGATTTGTGTTTTTTTTCTCCCCTGCTAAATATTTTTATATTAATATAATCCTATGAATTGCTTTATTCATTTGGTTAAAAGCCTTTCTTTTTACCTGATGCTTGCAAAAGGAGCGTGTAAAGTGTGTGTATTGGGAGGTCACTGCTGCCTGCTCTGTGTGCTCTGCTCTGCGTGTTGTTACGGGCTAACTTTGACAGAAAGTCAGGGAGTGGAGAAGCCAGTCGGACGTGTTTTTTGAAACCGTACGAGGAAACGCGGCAGGGAATGCCATAAGTGCTGCCCTGTGTTTTGAAGATTTATGAGTAAAGTCCCAATTGTTAAAAAGGATTGAACGAATTCCTTGAAAGATATTACGGTTCTTCATATTTGGACGCGCGTAAAGGTACTTAATTTTTGCGTAATTTTATTCGCTTCGTCTTTCCGGGTTAAAGTTAAAAGTTAGCAGGTGCGACACGGGGCTTTGGAGGCAGACAGCGATCTGTGGGACTCGCTGACCCAATGGAAGACAGCTCGCAGTCGGACTCTGACGTGGAAAACAAAGGGACGAGCGCTAGAAACGTGCCGATGGTGGAAAAGTCTGTCGCGGCGTGTGCTGGACGCTCACCCGGCTCAGAGGTGCACATTGTTTCCTTCCATTGCTCCTTCTTTTTGTCTCTGGTCCACCTCCCTTTATTCCTATATATTTCTTTCACTTTTTGCGCTTTGGCCCTGGGACCCTTTTAAACTGCCCCCTCCCTCTCTACTCCCTCCTCCCTCCCTCCTCACTCCTGATTCGTCAGACAGGGAGTGAATGTCCCTCTTTTTTGTCTCTCTCTCTCCCTCTCCGCTGCTCTGATTAGATATACTGATTCCTCCTTTCAATGGACGTCATTTAAGCGCAGACTCCTGCCTTGAGTTGCGTCCTCCGCTTCACGCCTGATTTCCGAACCAGTCTTTTTCCTCCCCTCTTGTTATTATTTAGTATTGCTCTAATATTAATAGTCATGAGTGCGTCCGATTAGGAGTCTGAGAGGGAGACGAAGAAGCGGCTCTGTTGCTATAATGAGCTCAAGCAAGAGGACGGCTGCATTGTGATAGAAGCCAGAGGGACCGAGAGAAACTTTTTGAGGCAAAAATCCGAAAAACCTGCGTTGTTCAGCGCCAAATGAAGGGCAGTGGGGATTTTATCTATCATTTCTAATGGATTATCGTCCTGCTGTGGCACGCATCTGATCGCTGGGCCATCGCGATCTTGCAGAAGAAAACATATTTTGTTTTTGTGGGAGATTCCGGTCGTTGTTGCTGTTGGGCATACCCATCGCTTGCACCGTCTCCCTAAAACACGCAGAAGTGTGTTGTGAACTTTCCTACTTTAGACGCACCAAAAATCTGTAAAATGTTAGTGCACAGTTTTTCCGCGATGGTAAGTTTGTGAAGCCTTGGTGTGTCATTCACTTAACAAGTTCTGTTTTTACTACAAACGAATTCTGCTTGCAATATTTGTGTTTCCTTAAAAACACACGCTTCGGTGTGTTTTAATTGTAAAACTGTGAGATGCTCATTTATTTTATTGTGGGCCTATTTTTTTAAACAAGAAAAAAATGTATTTGTAAAAATGAAAAGCCTTTCATTTAGCCAATGGAAAATCCTAACTGCAAAATAATATAGTCCTTCGTAGTCATCATCCAGTCCAGCGCTTTTTAGATTTTTTTATACAAGCTGTAATTATTTCTGGTAATCATTTCTAATATACCATTCTGTGCGTCTTAGGATCGTCATGACGGCACCAGCAATGGGACAGCCAGGCTACCTCAGCTGGGCGGCGTGGGCCAGAGCCCGTACACGAGCGCGCCTCCGCTCTCCCACACACCCAACTCGGACTTCCAGCCTCCGTACTTCCCTCCACCCTACCAGCCTATCTACCCGCAGTCTCAGGACCCTTACTCACATGTCAACGACCCCTACTCACTCAACTCGCTACACGCACAACCACAGCCGCAGCACCCGGGCTGGCCGGGTCAGAGGCAGAGTCAGGAAAGCGGCCTGCTGCACCAGCACCGAAGCTTGCCCCATCAACTGTGCCGGGAGTATCGCAGGGAGGTGCTGCTGCCGTCCGGACACGGCATCGACACGGGACTCTCGGACTCTATCCCTATCCATGGAATACCTCACTCATTAGAAGACGTTCAGGTAAGAAATCTATAGATTTAATTTACAATTTATTGTACTGGAAGAAATCTAAGCTATTCCTGTTACATTTTTGGAATAAAAAAATGTTGTAATCAATTCTGCTAAAATGTAATTCAGCTTTATATAAGTTTGACAGACAACGTTTCAAATAAATATGGGCATAAATTACATTAGATATGTCTATGTGATTTTATTTTTTTAATAACAGTGGGCCTATTATAATATATTTACAACAAGCGCGTATTTACCACTTTTACGCACGTTTTAATATAAACCTTGTGTTTGTATTTATTGTGTAATAGTGCAGTAGTTCAGACATTAAAATCATGCCAAATATAATTTTACTATCTGAGGTCTTGTTTTAACTCCTCGTCTTTATGAAATCACTCATAATGAAACAATATGAATTGTGGCTCTGTACCGGCAAGCAATAAAACGCAGCACTGACTCTCTGAAAATAAATAGACTAAATGAATAAATTACATATTTTTCTTTTCCAGTGTATTTTGTGATTTTAAATTGGGAATAAAAAACAATAATTCTCTAATTAGTTTATAAGGCTTTATTGGGTTACGCTGCCTTAATTACTAACCAATAGATTACAAGTTTCCAAGACAATCTAACACAAAATGAGGTCAGGATTATGGGACGACACAGCTGCGTTATTTAAGTCTGAGGAATCTGTCCGTGTAACCTGCTAAAACATAATACAAATAATAACAGGTATGGGCCTCGGGAACCGTGTGTTTGGCTGCTTGTAGCCGCTAATTGTGTGATTCTTTGTTATAGCACCATGTGGAGCGCTCAGTTCCACACAAGTGAGAAACATATTTTGACGCTTTGTGCTAAAATTGTCCATTTTGTGTCTCAGGCCGTTGAGGATCAAGGAATCCACATTCCCGACCAGACTGTAATTAAAAAAGGTAAGCAATTTCCTCTGAGATATCATGCATATTTCCACCACTAGGCTACACACGCACGCGCACATACACACCATGCGCCATTCTGCTCCAGAGAGCTCGATGCAATGCGGTAATGCCTGACTGATCCTAATACGCAGTAGCCTATTTTTCATTACATGCTTTCCAAGTGCATCAAACGGGCTGCAACCCTTTTTCCTCGCGATGATGGAATTTACTGAGAGCGTTTGAAAGCAGCAGGGAGATGAGTGAGGCGGTGGGTTTTGTAGTATAGGCCCGTGGTGTGGATGATTAAAGATACAGGCCTAAATAGGGACATAATGTGCCGGCTCTTCGGCTGTGAAGCTGGAGTCGGGCTGGTGCTCGGATCTAAAATGGAAGCTGGTGGCTCAGGCCTGTTCGGAGCTGCCGGTGATAGTGACATTAACGGAGGGGATCCAGTTCATGCTCGTGTCCTTTCAGCAGTGTAATAGGTTATTGGAGCAGAATATGGCAGGCATTGCTAACATTTGAGTTTATTCGTTCCACGGTTTACTATATAACACAATTACAGATTTTTCCCCCTTTTATTGCCGTTTTAACATTTTTCCTTTTTGAATAATTGCATCTGCAAATCAGCTTGATAATTGGCTTCTTATATTAGTAATCTCTAGAGTTCGTTTAACTCCTATTGTCTCTATTAGGCTCCCCTGAGCCATTAATGTCACAAGTGATCTATCCAAAGGCGCGCGGTCGCCTTTGTCTCCGGTTACTGCACTCACACCAAAAAACGTGTAAAGCCCAGTTGTGCCAGAGCCCCCTCCCGGCTTGAAATTTCACCCGCTGTTTCGCTTGTTCTCAAAAGGATATGTCCAAATACTTAAGAGAGCATCTTTGATTGCATGGGAGCGTCATGCGCAATGTTGAGAATAATTTTAATGACTGCAGGCTAATGTCAACATATTATTATTATTATTATTATTATTATTATTATTATTATTATTATTATTATTATTATTATTATTATTGAAAACTCTCTTTATTGAACGTATTAAAGTAACGTTGAACTCCTAAATCCGGGGACTAAATCCCCTTTCTCATTTAGTTAAGGCTCTGCATTGCATGAAATTCACTGAGCACGGTCTCTCTCTCTCTCCTCTGACTCCCAATTCCATCCCTCTTTCCCCTGACCTCCTTTCCCTCCCCATTTTACTACAGGTCCAGTGTCTTTATCCAAGAACAACAACGTGTCCATCCCAGTCAATAAGGATGGTCTTTTCGGTGGGGTAGTAAACCCCAATGAGGTCTTTTGCTCGGTTCCGGGTCGTTTGTCTCTGCTCAGCTCCACATCAAAGTACAAGGTCACGGTGGCCGAAGTGCAGAGACGCCTCTCACCGCCTGAGTGCCTGAACGCCTCGCTGCTGGGCGGGGTGCTGAGGAGGTGAGTGTCCATGTCACAATCTACCTGCGTTTTTATACAACGCTCCATTCTTGTACTCAGCCTGCTTCTCCCCCCTCTCCCCTCTCTCTGCTCTGTACCAAGAATAATTAAAATCGACCAACCATGACACCCAGCTCCTGCATTTAAAGCAGAAGGGGTCTGTTAAATTCCATATTAACTTCCCTCTCCCTCCTATCTCAAATGAATGTAGGCCTAGTCAGTTTCAAAGCCAGCTCTATAGGCCCAGTGAAGGCATTACGCGTGAAAACATTGGTCTCCAGTGAACAGTCTTGTGAAGTGCTGCACACACGCAGCCTGTAATAGTGCTGCCTATTAAGTAGGGCTTTATTTATTCATTTTCTACTGTAGTTGTCTGGCAAATACGCTCCCTCTCCTTTAGCTGTATTTAAAATGGGAATGAAAGAGACATAATTCTTTGTGATAATCCGTGTTAGAATATCTGAATTCACACGCAATAAAACAAACACATCTGAGCAAATTTTGTTATCCAACTAATAATAATTATAAAAATAGTAATAATACATCCGAAAAAAAAAGCTTGAAAAATACAATTGTTTAACGCAGGGTGGTCATATTGATAATTATGGAATTTGCAGCAGACTCTTTAATATCCTACCCTTTCTTTGTTCACAATTGTGTAGCATCCAGACATTCCTCCACGCACACGCCTCTACAATGTCTTTCTGCTTTGTCTCGTCGTCTGCAGGGCCAAGTCTAAAAACGGTGGGAGATCCTTGAGGGAGAAGCTGGATAAAATCGGCTTGAATTTACCTGCGGGCAGACGCAAGGCAGCTAACGTCACCTTGCTGACGTCACTCGTAGAAGGTAAGTTTTCAAATCTCGTTTTCACTCTCTTTATTCCCGCGATATCTGATGAGGCCCCCTCCTTTCTCTGCTCCTCTTGTCTCTCCCTCACTCGCTTTCTCTGTGTTGGAAATCAGCATATGCGCTCATCCGTGTAATGTGGACCGACTTTGCCTCGCAAGTAATAAAGCATGAAGGATGTGTGAGAGACACACACACACATAGATAGAGCCAGAGCGAGGCTGGGAGAGAGAATGGTGCTAGTGGCTTTGCAGCGTTTGGCCTTAGCTTTGAGGAGCGCAGGTCCACGCCTGGCCTAGTTTACCCACTGGATGAATTTGTGTTGAAGTCCAGTTAATTATTGCTTGTTTATTAGGCACCGCTGAGCCGCTTCACCTCTTGCAAGAGAAGTCGATTGATTTATTAACCCTGCATTGTTTCTAACATTAATACAGTCTGGATATGGCGGCACAGGGCTGGGGTTTAATGTTGGCTTAATTCTTTCGTTAATAGCTTCTCTTGCTTAGGTTTTTGCTGAAGATTTTCTGTTGCATGCAAATGGCATGGCACTGACCTATTTGGAGCTATATGTTTTGAGTCTATTAAAGAATAAATTAGTCAATTATGGTGCACTGAAAAGATGCCTTTTCGTGACTGGATAAATCCATTCCGCTCGCAGTTGAACTGATTAGCCTATTCAGTGCAGTGGTATTTGGTGTGCTGTGGGTTTCCAAAGGTGAAAGCACGCGCTGGTTCATTGGTCCTTGTTAATCATTATTGCAGGAGGACCAAATGCAATATTCATTGAGCTTCGTAGAAATTTGGTGGTGTATTGTAATGAGCCGCGAGAAATGTATGATTGTAGGTAATAAGGAGGTGGTGGCACGTGGGGGCGGGTGTGCGCACGTGCGTATTTGTGTCAGGACAGCTGGTTAGTGAAGGGACAGTGCGTTTTCTTAAGTACTGTCATTGTTTATGATCCGTTCCTTTTTATGGAAACGAGTTTACTGGACTCGAGCTTTGATGCTAATTGGCGCATGCGTTCTTCCGGAGCGCAGGCTTTGGGGCAGGAAGCCCCGCAGTAAAAACTCAACTGCTTCAGGAAATTAAAACCAAAAACGAAGAATGAGAAGAGACGCGGAATGTCGCGTAATTCTCTTAGTATGTCTCAAGAATGCGACATCTTGTGTAATCCTTTCAAAGTGAGTAGGCAACCCATGCCTGTTTGATCTGTGGGACCCTCTGTAATGCGCACGCATTGTAATCAATGGCACGGTGTTTAACAGGACGTCCAGTCTATGATTCATATTTGCCTATTTTAAACTCCGTATTTATGCTGCCTCTTCTTGCGGTGTGAATGCAGTCAGAGCCGCGTTATTGTAGTTTGATTGCTCTGTACAGATCAGATCAAATCCATAATATGTGAGTGAAGCGCAGTGAATAATCACCAATTCCTCTCTCTATTTCCTAGGCGAAGCCGTGCATCTTGCCAGAGACTTTGGTTATGTCTGTGAGACTGAGTTTCCAGCCAAGGCAGTAGCTGAATATGTAAACCGTCAGCATTCCGATCCAAATGAACAAGTCCAAAGAAAAAACATGCTATTGGCCACAAAGTAAGTGCTATCATTAAATTTCACATTGTCACATAACATTAATCAAGTGTTGTTTTGATACTTTTAGTGCCATCCATGTGAACCGTTTTTAGTTGTTGTTTTTTTAAAAGCCCATATCGTTCGTAAAAGACTGGAACAGTAATTTTACATTTGCTGTGGATGTGTGGAGATATTATGCCTTCACTTGGCAGATTTTTTTTTTTCTTCCAGCAGCAATTAGTTTAGACTGTGATTTCAGTGCCACTGACATATAGCTGGTTCCCTTCCAACGCTACCATTGGTTATTTTTACTGCGCGTCAAACTGAAACACGGAATTCCTAACACAGGCGCAAGTGCAGGCCTGTTTTCAGTATTGATGGCGCGCCATTTTATCAAACTCTTGGTAGCTATGGCAACTAACAAGTAATCACGAAAGGATCGGCGTGCATTTATTGGAGCAATTTATTTCACGCTTCCTTTGTGCTTTTTGCACTCAAAGATACTCCTTTACATGTGGGCTGATAGCTTAGCGTACAAAACGTTTTATTGCACCGGGCTTATTTATTTGAAAGCCTACTCGATATGTCAAACGGATGAACTGTAACAAAAATATATTTGACTGTAGGCCTGTGTGTGCTAAAAGGTTGATGCTTGGTTTGTTAACACGCGCTTCTCTCTGCCTCCAGGCAAGTGTGCAAAGAGTTCACAGACCTGTTGTCGCAGGACCGCTCGCCATTGGGTAACTCACGGCCGCAGCCGATCCTCGAACCGGGAATCCAGAGCTGCTTGACCCACTTCAGTCTCATCTCACACGGTTTCGGCACGCCGGCCTTGTGTGCGGCAGTCACGGCGCTGCAGAACTATCTTACCGAGGCAATCAAAGCCATGGACAAAATGTACCTCAACAACAACCCCAACAGTCACTCAGATAACGGCACTAAAGGCGGAGACAAAGACGAGAAGCACAGAAAGTGACGCTACCATCTGCTTCCAGGGCCCACATTTCCACCTGCTCAATTTTCCCGTTCCCACCCACGTCCATTCAATATAAATATTATAAATACCATATAAATACTATTGATAAAGTTGACCGTGCCACTTCCAGACCTGTTTTGCGTCTTTCCTTTTTACGCACCACTTCTTTGGAATCATAAGAGGCCATCCTCGTCTTCTTATTAAAAAATAAAAAGAACGCTGCAAAGGAACAGCTCCAGGAAGGAAAACATTTTGTTGTTGCCTCACACAGAGAGAACTTTTTTATGTACTCTCCCCTCTTTATTTTTATGAGCTACAAAGACTGAAATCCTGCAAGCCCATTTACTTCTCAATTTGCTGATTGTGACACGAACTCTCAACGCAAGAAAAAAGCTGAACACGGATGAATTCTTATCAGTATTGTGAATAAATATGAACTCTCCAACAGATCTCCATCAGTTGTACTCCTCCAAGTGACCAACTTGAACTTTTTTTTTGAATTTCAACACGATTCGCGGTTATATAAGGGAATCAGTGTTCATGTATGTATATATTTATTTATGTGTAATTTAATGGGAATTGTAAATATGGTGCGTCTGTTCTTTTTTATTTATCTGGTGCCTCCTTGTTTTAGTGGGTTTTGACTATTTGGTTAGTTCTTCATGTGATTTTATGGTTCTTAGAAAAACTGAAGTTTTTGGGGTATTTTTTTATTTCTCTGGGATATATTTCAATTCAGCCCTCTTGTAGCATGTTGAGGCGACATTGAAGCAAAGTGAACAAATTGACCAGAAATAAAACTTCAATTTCACTCTTATCTCTCTCTCTCTGAATATCATCCAGTTTATTTGAAACGTCAGTGACACCCGCGAGAGTTTTATTTGTTTCTATTTTTATACAAGCTTCTGTGTTGTGCCAATCAGAATTCACCTCTTGTTCTCTCCTCGAAAGCACCATAAAAGCAATAAATGGTTGTCTTTTTTAAATGTTCGATTCAAAAGAAACACGTTTTTCATGGGACCACCTGATATCTTGTCCTGTCCGAAAATGTCCAGAAATTGGAGGCGGTTTTAGCTGTATTGTATAGACACATGTGCTGGCAATAGTTCCCATGCCTGTCAATGTATTATAGTCCTTTGTTGCCCAGAAAAAAATAAATATTTGATACGCTTCATCTCGATTTTATTCATATCATTTAATGTTTTATTCACTGGCCGCTGTTTTCTTGAACTTTTTTAGTCGTGCTTGTATTTTTGCCCGTTTTCAGCTGCTACAGTAATTGAGTTTAAGTCTCCCTTGACAATTGCCCCTTGCAATAAGCAGCTGAACTCATTGTTTCCCTCAAGTATAATAAAAAAAATCTTACTTTAAACTTCGTAGTTCAGAGCGCAGGATCCAATGCAGGCCAAATGGCTCACAACAATGGTTAGATGCATGTTTGAAGTGCGCAGCGCCACCCTCCAGCTAAAACCCTCTGAGATGTATATGGGCCTGGTGTGCAATGTTTGCTTGTTACAGACTATATTTGGATCCTTATTCAAAGACACGCATCAAATATTTGTGGTGTTGTTTGCCTCGCTGTGTAATCAATGAGCGATCATCTCTCACTCTGGTGGATGTTTATGTATATTCCGAGTGTAATCATTAGACTTTATAACGAATATTCTCCAAATGGTGCTCTTTGTCTGGCCCTTGCAAAAATGACAGCTGGCCTTTTCTTTGGTCTATTCTGGAGTGTTGAGCAGCCAAGCGGAGGCTTGCGTCATATTTTAACATGTAGGCTATTGGTGGTCTATACATCAATCTAGATTAGTCAGTTTGGATGCATAGCGCATGGTATTATATTGTTTCTTCTTGTTTGCCTCATTTCACAGTGAAGTCGCGTTCACACAGCATCATATCCTCTTTATCTGTCCAATCTCAGCAGCCATATTTATTATTATCATTTTTCAGGCTTTAATTCTAAGCCACTTGTGTGTTGTGTTTTCTCCCGCAGGAGGTTGGGTGAATGAAGCCTAACTGTACATGTCCTTGGCATAATTGCGATGCACAGTGCCGGAGCAGGTGAAGCGAGGCATTGTCTGTCAGGCCCCTGTTTTTGTTGGCTCTAGTCCTCAGATTGTGTGTGGGATCCTGTCCTCGGGCACAATAGCTCACTTATAAAGGGAGAGACTACCCGGCTGCTCCGGCTGTATTTGTATGCGAGCTGGATGGGGAAAGGGCATAAATAGTCAAAACAATCGTATTAAAACTGGATTCAAAAGGGAAGCCCCTCACGTGTGTCATTAATGCTAATGTCGTTTAATAAATGTATCAGAGAGTTGCTTGAATTGCATTCTGGGAGTGAAACGAACGCATTAGAAATAGTTGTGTTCTGTGACAATACTGAATATCTGGTGCGTATTAATAAGTCAAATAGAGGGCGGAATCAGTGCATAATGGTATTGGAGTTGCTAAAAATCCAGTTGTCTTCTGTTTATTTACGTGTTTCAACAGCTAAAATATAGGCTAATTTTATTGTAAAAATGTAACAGTTACATAAATGGGTGTAATTTTTGCAGGTTTGAAGCTTACTCAATAATTTTCTCAGACCTACCGCTGATTCAAGTCCAGCAGACTAATTAGGTGTGAGGTTCTCACATATCGCCGTGGTGATAATGGAAATAAATTATTGGACCATTTGGACAGGTCTAGGGCTAAAACAGTCTTCACACGAAAATGTGAAACTTTTTAAATTTCATGATTGCCTGTTGATGATTGTATTTATTGATCTTATGTTGGGTATTATATATTTCATTTTTAATCAGTGCGTAATCCACGCTCGTTTACGCAACACATGTGCGTCATGTTTGTGGTCACACGCGGTTTGGTTGATGCTGCTCAGATCATAGCCTGGTGAAAGTCTGCGTGGCCTAATTAGCCCGTAGCACCAACACAACAGTGCAGAGAGGCGCAGGGCACAGCCCTGTTGTCTGAAAGGGGAGATATAGGGCAGCAGTCTACAAGGCCCAGATCTGTTCACTGCGTTTCCACTAATGCTGGTTTGTTGGCATGAGTGGAAGTGAGTTCACTTCGCTTTTAAACATTCAGATTCAGGCTTAGTCAATGAGCGCACTTTAAAACGAACACTCGAAGGAATCATGGCTGCTAATGCCATGTTTTGTTTTGTCTTTGAACGTTAATTGCTAGAGCTGCTTATCATATTATATTTACTGATTTGGACATGAGGCAAGGTTTCCTGAAATGACATTTGATACGGTTGTTGGTGCAATCGAATTATGGGACTTAAAAGTTTTCAGTGAAGCGCAAAATGGCTAATTGTCCTCAACTCTGACATCAGCTGTCAACTGGGGCTTTCTGTGTCTTGGCCCCCCGCCCAGTGCTGACCCTGTACGGGCCCCTTGGCCACTCTGCAAGCCGGAGCTAAGAAGCCAACAGAGGTCAAATACTCCGCCAAATAGCCCCTGATTACTTCAGACATTAGGTAATCGATTAGAAAACATTAAGTGACTTTGCATAAACATTGTATCCACTGATAGGCCTCTGCAGGTACAGAGCGCCACAAGAACCATGACATTGGTTGATATTAAACTTTCAATATCTGATTAGTTTTACTCAAAAAATAAAGTGAAAACAAAATTATTAAACATTATAAAAGTTTTTTTGTGTAACTGATCTTATTTTAATAAACATACATTTTAGCTGTAGGCCCATAATAACCTGAAGCAGACCAAAATTGAAGCTATCGCCTTAGGCCTGTCCTGCAACGGGACAAAGTGTTATTTTGAAAAAGGAACATTCTTACTGCTCTTGCACTGGTTTGACTCAGTTGGTATTGGAGTTTTAGTCATTCCCCGTCTCTCCCTGCCTCTCTCTGCATCCTCTGCAGTGAGCCGGGGGGAGTGTCGCCCCGGGCCAAACATATGCTTCTTTCCATTGCACTAATCCAAATGCAGCGTGGAGGAATAATTGCTCGAGTGGCCGTGGCTTCGCACAGGCTTTGTCCCTCACTGCCTCCCGTCAGCCAGGCACACGCCATTTCAATCAAGTCTCTTTCTGTATCAAACTGAGAGCTTTTATCAAACCAGAGCCTCACGCTTCATAAGCACACAGCCACATCCTTTAGAATTTCTTTTCTCTTTTGAATTTCCCCTGGTGCTGTTGTCCTGCCGCTGTCAGGCCCTCATATCTGCACATCATATCTGCACATCATATCTGCACATCATATCTGCGCAGACCCTTCATTAATATTGACACTATGTGACTTTGGTGGGATTTATTGGCAGGGCGGTCTCGTGAGCACTGACTAAAACGAACTGACTTTTGCTGGGATCTTGTAATCTACACCTGTATAATATATATTAATTATTATTATTATTATTATTATTATTATTATTATTATTATTATTAATTATTATAATTAATAATAATAATAATAATAATAATAATAATAATAATAATAATAATAATAATAATAACAATAATAATAATACATTTTATTGATTACATAAATAATAAATTCATACGTTGTCAGGTTGGCCATGTGTTGTTTCAGCCTGTATAACAACCAGACAGTATGTGGAACTACAGCATATTTTCTATGAATAGATGATAAAAAAAAATAAAAAATCATTCTAGTAAAATGGAGCATTTGTAGGAAATCACATATTTCTGTTCGGATAAGAAATGAAACAGAGTGGGGTGTGGGTACGTGGGGGCGGGGTGCAGCAGAACCGTGGATGTCTGACTGAATTAATAGACATGATAATTTCACACTATTTCATAGTGAGCTATCTGTTCCATCACAGCAAAATAAAAGGGTCACTGCGCAGCTGTGGCAAACCCCAAGCGTTATTATGAAGTTTGATGATAGACCCCCCCTCTCTCTCTTTTCTCCGGCTTTTTTCTCCCTTCTCTCTGGTACTTCGCTCGAGGCCAGCAATAGCTCGGGGCCACGCCGGTGCCTCCCCATGATAAAGGACTTAGACTGTGTCTGTGCGCACAGAAAGCGCAGCAGCTTCTCTCCCGAACCTAATCAACTCAGTGGCTTGGCCCTTTAACGATTGGTACACAGCCCCTCCCTTACGCATTTATTTTACCACTTCTCCCCCTCTCCAAACCTTACTTTCTGACGTTAAATGAAACAACAACAACAACAACAACAACAATAATAATAATAATAATAATAATAATAATAATAATAATAATAATAATAACAATAATAATAACAATAATAATAATAATAATAATAATAATAATAATAATAACACATTTGCTTGTTTCACAATAGTTGGGAGTGCATCTGTGTGACACGTGACAGAGGTCAGGAGCCACACTTCACTTGAGGCAGAGCATGTGATAAGTTTATAACCAGTGACTCTTCAAACACTCTTTATTTTGTTCTTACTCTGTGACACTCTAATCAAGTGTTTGTTCTGGCATTTCACATTTAACAAAGTAAAAAACTACCACGAAACTTCAATTGTGTTTACAATGGATACACTCACTGAAAAAAAAAACAAAAAAACAAAAACAAATAATAATAATTCAAATTTAGATCCCTTTGCATTTTGTAAATTCATGGAAAAAATACACCATAAATAGAAATTAGCTGTGCAATTTTTTACTGATAAGTTGAAGCAATTTTTCATATAGCCTTCTTGCATTTAATATAAAAAAGCTAAATAACAACTAAATTAGCAGTGGCTGTATTTTAAAGTAGCATATAAATCCTTTTAGTTGGCGTGAACACTTGACAATGACTTGCACAATAAACAAGCACATTATTAGGTGAAAGGGGAGTGTGCTGTT